AAAGTTGATCTCACATAACTGCAACAGCAGCATCTAAGGAGCATGGACTTTGATAAGAACTGGTCAGACATAAAGAAAAGCGAAGGACTGAATCCTTTAAAATACATTTGCAAAAGTGTCTGAATGAGTTGAAAAGTTAGTAGCAGAAAGTATTGAGGCGCTTTTGCTCGGTAGTGCCAGTCTGTTTATCTCAACAGGTGACATCTATGAAAGATTTAGGACTTGAGAAAGCTCAGAAAGCCGCATACGACTACGGGATTTGCTCAATCCTTCAAGTTGCTGGAGAAAACAAGGGAGATAAGATGGATGCCCCAATACTGCAGTTTTCGCTACCTTCTTCTTTCAACACACAAACTGGATTGCTCTCGAAGCAATCCGAGTTCAAAAGCGGTTCAAGTGAGAGTAAGTATCGAAAAAAAAAAAAAAAAAAAAGCTTTGTTATTTTTTTTTTTTTTATTTTTTTTTTTCACGCAAGCGAGGTCCCTTGGATACGAAGTTGTTGGTGTCCATAGGCGTTGTGCCAGCGCCGAATGCCCCTGCTCAAGTGCAATGCATCCCTGAAAAGCCATGGTAACAGGTGCAAATATTGTCGAAGTTGTCAGATGTATTTTGATCGCGACATGATCCGGGGACATCGCGCCTTAATAGTTGCTTCATGTTATACACATGTTGTCTTTTTATAAAAGAAAATGGACAGAATATACTGTATCAACCTTCCGCGCAAGCAAAAGGATGCTACAATATCGGTTCTTTTGATTAGCTTTCTTTTAAAGGAAGAGAATCGAAGATGCTCCTTATTTACTTTTTTTTGTTGTAATTGATTTATCAAGTCAGCAGTTTGTGTAATACCTCCACCACTAATTAACCGGAGAAGTTGGTGTCAGAGAGCAGAGGCAGATTGGCCGGGCGAAGTGAATACAGTTTCTCTCTTTTCCTATTTTTCTCCAGCTGATTGATAATCTGACTCAAAGCGATATCAATACCGGCTATGACACATAGCACATCAAAGTCCTCTCCTTGATGGACACAGACATGGCGATATCTCTAGACTGTTGCCAGGATGGTACTAAGGAGTAGGAAGGCAGGTACACCGTTGAGTGGATTGATCTTCGTCGGGTTGACATAGAAATAGCATTTCCAGTAGGAAGGCTGACCCCTTATTTCTCGATTGATCATGTGACTACATCCAGGTGCACCAAAGTGACCAAACTCAAACTCCTACAATTTACACTCTGGTCAACACATCTGGACAAGTCGCACATTGAGCTTCTCTCCAAACTTCTCAATGAGTTCGATACCCGAGCTGGGCGGGATTTCCGCTACATCAAATGATTCAGTCACACAAAAACAGCCTAACGTTTTCACGAGCCATTCTGACTTAAACAAACACGACGAACATGCAGCAGATTCGAGAAATAGTGAAGAAGACGACGGGGAAAAAGAGAAAGAGAAGAAGGAAGAAGACAAGGAAGAGGACGAGCAAGAAAAGGAAGAGGAAGAAGAAGAAGAAGAAGAAGAAGAAGAAGAAGAAGAAGAGGAGGAGGAGGAGGAGGAGGAGGAGGAGGAACAAGGAGAAGAGGAAGAAGATGAGGAAGAAGAAGAGGAAGAAGAGGAGGAGGATGAAGAAGAGGAGGAAGAGGAGGATGAAGAAGAGGAGGAAGAGGAGGATGAAGAGCCAAAACTGAACTATCAACGACTTGGTGCAGGGATTGGCGACATGCTCAAAAAGGATTCCGCAAGCGCGACGACTGTATCTGAGCGCTTCTTGGTAAGCATTTGATTGCAAGTAATATTGTTTCTTTTATCATGGAATGTGCGGAATAGCCCTCATCAACGCGTATTTATAATTTCTGCTTAAACTCATTTAGGCAATGGGAACTCACTGGGGAGTCGTTCACATCATGGATTTTGAGGGAAACGAGAATCAAAAGTTTCAGGCCCATCAGGCCACGGTGAATGACCTTAGTGTGGATTTAGATGGAGAGTATATTGCTAGTGCTTCTGATGATGGTAATTGAATCGCGCAAGCTATCCACGATTTTCTTCCAATTGCTACCCTATTGTTACGAAGGAGCAAAAACCCTTTCTCAAGTACACAAGCTGCAATTTGCAATATTTTACAATTATATTGTTAATAGGCAAGGTCGTAATCAATGGATTGTTTCAAAGTGAAAACCAAGTTTTCAATTACAAACGTCCTGTGAAGGCTGTCGCCCTCGAACCACATTATGCTCGATCTAACTCTCGCCAATTTGTCTCAGGAGGCATGGCAGGACAACTTATTCTCAATGAGAAAGGTCAGAACAATATGAGTAACAGAGATAGTAAAAGAAGCATTTTTTTTTTTTTAAACAAATGCGCAATTCTCATCATTCTTTTTTGCCTGATAGGATGGCTCGGTAACAGGGACGTTATACTGCATTCAGGAGAAGGCCCCATCTATGCAATTAAATGGCGCGGCAATCTGATAGCATGGTCTAATGATTTGGGAGTCAAAATTTACGACACTACAACCGAACAACGTATCACTTTTATTGATCGACCTGGGTCTAGCCCAAGAGCAGATTTATTTAAATGTAGATTATGCTGGAGAAATGATGTAGAACTGTTGATCGGATGGGCTGCACTGGTCAAGATTGCTGTAGTTAAGAGCCGACCCAAGGATCAAATCAAGGCAGGATTTCCAGCACAATATGTCGAAATTACGACAATGTACGTAATGATGGCTCCTTCAAGTTATATATTATACTCAATAATAGGTTGAAAACTGACTGGACGCTGAGTGTCTCTTGTAGGTTCCAAACCGATTTTATCGTATGTGGCATTGCACCTTTCAAAGATATGCTACTGCTTATGGCCTATGTAGTTGATGACATTGATGAAATTGCTCATGTTACTGGCGCGGAAAGGAATGTGCGCAAGGTAAAGCCTTTTTTTTTCTTAATTCTGGTCTACGAATATTTTCTCTTCTCATATGTCACTCATAAGATAATATTGCTTTGTAATTGCGTCTATCTATATTATAGCTTGCGAAGCGACCTGAGCTGAGGATTATCAACGCTTATAATGAAGAGATTAGCTCTGATGCTTTAACTCTACATGGATATGCACATTACCAGGCCAATGACTACATGTTTGAATATCTGACATCACAGGATATGTTTTACATTGGTAGCCCAAAAGACCTTGTTGTTGCAAAAGAGCGTGACCTTGACGACCATATTGAATGGCTCATGGAGCGCGAACGCTATGAAGAAGCCTTGGGACATGCTCGTGAAGCGCAAGTCTATGGGGGCAGCAAGAGATTCAATGCAAGTGAGATTGGGCAAAAATATCTCGGTTGGCTCCTTGATCGAAGTAAGCAGAAACATGACATTGTTGATCGTAACAGAATGTGGTGTTTTCATATGATTGCTATACTAACTACTATGCGGTTATATCTATTTTGTGTTTATGCATCACCAGATGAGTATGGTAAAGCAGCAGAACAATGCCCCAGCATCCTTGGTCAAGATGCGGAACTTTGGGAGCATTGGATTTATGCGTTTGCCGGTGCTAGACAACTAAAGGCTATCGCCGGATATATACCATTCAAGGAGCCTACGCTCAGTAGCACCATTTATGAGCTTGTCCTTAATCATTTCCTTTTGCATGACCATCAGGTATGTCTTAACACAATTTAAAGTGAATGACGGTGATACTATATACTAATGATCAATTTTATGGCACTAACAGTCTCTGAACAAACGGTGCACAATACACAAAAGTCTTTATTCAAGACTGTTAAAAGTTTTCCACCCGGACTTTATAATATCCAAAATGTTATTGCAGCTGTAGAAGATCGCCTCAAGAAAGACAAGGACAACGTGCTTCTCATGGAATCTCTTGCAGAACTGTAAGATCAAAGGAACAAAGCATCCTGCTTTCGCCATTTTGGAATTTTGAGGAATTACTATATTTTGGATTATTGCTAATGGAGACCGATCATTTTCACTTGATCATTATTAGATATACCCGAGATGGCCGTGCCGACCGCGCACTTGAATATTTCTTGAGGTTGAGGAGACCAAACGTTTTTGATCTCATCCGTGGGCACGACTTATTTTCTGCAGTGCGCGACAAAGCTGTACTCTTAATGGAGTTTGATCAATATTTGTACGATCAGGAGAAAAAGAAGCGAGAGGAAGCACGGGCGAAGGAGAGTGATAAAGCTAAAGATATGTCTGAGAAGGCTGAAATACCACAACCTCACGATCCGACAGCGGAAGAAGAGCTTGTCAAAGGACCTGCTGTACAACTTATGGTTCAGCACACAGAGGAGATTCCGGTAAAGTTATATATATATACATATATATATAAAGGTTTGTTAGCAATAGACCATCTAATATGCATCTGAAATCTAGATCAAAAGAGTCGTTCCGCAACTCAAGAGCCACCCTCGTCTGCTGCATATTTACTTGGATGCGCTTTTTTTGCGGGACCCGCATCTTAGTTTTGAGTTCCATGATCTTCAAGTGGTTCTTTATGCAGATTATGCACCGGGCAAGCTAATTGATTTTCTAAGAGCCAGCAATTACTATTCATTAGAAAAGGTATTCAGCTTTTCTTCCTTTGACATGAAGAATTGACATAAGAGATATTTATTTCCACTTACTTTCGTGTGTGAATAGGCTTACCGTGCTTGTGAGCAACGTGATCTTGTACCAGAAATGGTATTCTTGTTAGGCCGTATGGGAAATAACAAAAAGGCATTAATGCTGATCATTGAGCGTCTTGGCGACGTGGAGCGTGTAAGAGAAAACGTCTTAAATCCTGTCTCGATCTTTTTGCGCTCTGTGCGACGCTGTCATAAAACATAGTTTGACCTTTTTCATTATTGCTCCATATTCCTAGGCAATTAATTTTGCAAAGGAACAAAACGATGACGATCTTTGGGAAGATCTCCTCAAGTATTCCATGGATAAACCACGTACGTATACAACAGAGAGCATATTGCACTCCTTGGGGACTATATCTTCGCCATTTTTTTACTAAAGCTTTTTTCTTTTGACGGCTAGATTTTATTCGCGGTCTGCTCCAGAATGTTGGCACAGAGATTGATCCAATTCGCTTAATTCGCCGAATCCCCAATGGACTTGCGATTCCTGATCTGCGTCCTGCACTCTTGAAGATCTTGCAGGATTTTAATCTCCAAATGTCCTTGCGTGAGGGCTGTAGACGCATTTTGGTCAGTGATAGTGTTGCTATGGCTGATCAGTTGCAGCGATCTCAGAAGCGAGGAATTTCTTGTTCAGGTACAGTTACTGCAAGAAACAAGGTCATTTCCACTAAGGATGCGGAAGTCAGAACATTATACAAGATACTAAAAGCTTTTCATCTCTAGAAGAAACACTGTGCGCTCGCTGTCAAGAGCCTATTTTCATCGCAGGCGAGAACCGGCTTCCTGGGACATCCATCTCGACATTCGTGATGTTCTTTTGCAGACATGCATATCATGATCGATGCTTATTCATGGATGATCAAGATACGATGCCTAAAATGAAGTCGACCCTAGCAAAGGTCACACTCAGGGCTAAAGCGAACCATGCGGCTTTAGTACGTTCAAAGCGTGGTCGCACACCTTGCCCACTCTGTGTAGATCAAGCAAAAGTAGACATTAGTGCACGATAATTACTATCACTAGGGTAGACTATCATAAAGACCTCAACAAGTACGATTTCTTTCGTTTGCAAATTGATATAGTTGTTTATTTTGCAGTGTCTCGAAAATATAATATTAATTGCTACGTCGAAAGCTAAGTAGCCGCTTGATACTGAAACTGAGCTAGCTGTTGTAATTGCATTTGTTCGTGTCTGAGCAACATTCCTCCTTGAGATGACTGTACATCCACTTGTGCACGAAGTTCACGGACCTTCATTTCGAGGACATGACGCTGGAAAATCATTTCCTTCAGTTTCTTGTATGCCATAGCTGAAAGCATCTCAAATTTCTCACGAGTGTCTTGCATCGCAATTACTGTCCGCATCCGTGCCCTGGTTTCTGCAACGAGGTCACGTTGCAGCGATGCGAGTTGGGCTTGCAACAGGGCGTTTTGTTGACGAAGTTGGACAATTTCATTGGATTCCATGGATACAGTACAAGACATTGATGTCGGTGTGCTATCAGCGTTAATAGTCGCTGTTGCCATAGCGTCGCTCAATTTAGGGCTTGTGTTTGTGCCGGTATTAATATTATTATCCTCAATGCTTTGTCCTGGTAGGGAAGAGGATATGAAAGGCGATACTGGGGAAGTAGGACTAGTAGCCGTGCTGTTTAAGACCGCAGTCTTAGCTTCAGCAGTAAGTTGTTCATTACTATTTTCTCCCCCGCACGAGCAATTCCTTTTGTGAGGTGATGAACAAGATTTGCTACTAGCTTGCGTCAATGATGTGACATCGCTGGTCGAGGTTCCAGCATCGCACGACACTTTCAAGGTGCTGTGATGGCTGATGAGGCCGGATGAAGAACAGACCCATGCTTTTGGCTCGAGATCGCACACGAAATCCTTAATGGGCTCTGTCTGAGTATGAACGGGTCGCATGATGCAATGCTGGGTCTGGATCTGGACGTGGCGAACCTTCTTGCGGGAGACCGGCTTGGGAAGGATGATATCTGAATAGTCATTTGTGGAGGAAGATACTGATGCTTGTGCATGGCTACTAGAAAAATTAACAGGGATTGAGGTTGATTTGATACCGCCCTGGAGCTGCTTTTGTTGTTGTTTGGCTTTGTGGGAGGCAATGCGTTGCACAAGTGCTTCTGAGACAATCCCCTCATCCAGAGGTACATTGATCATTGGGGCACAGAAGGTGACCTTGTTTGTGCATGTGGAGCTACCTCTTGAGAGATCTGAGCTTGCATTGTTTGGCATATTGTCAGCCCCTGAATTCCTTAATATTGTGGAAAAGGACCGTTGAAGATCCGAGGTTGCGCCCCCTTCTGCTCTTTCTGCTCCTGTGGACGATAAACCATGCATTGGGAACGGTTCGTCTCCTAACGCGCCTCCTTGCAGTACGATAGAGCGACGAACTCCTGCACTTGCACCCGCAGCTTCATCCAATTGGTTGCTCGTTATCGACGCTCTCTTAGGCTCATCTATCAAAAAGGACTCATCTAAATCATCAGGAACTTGGCTCTGGCGTCTTGAAGTCACATATAATGAATTAGCTGCTGGACGAGCCGCATGTCCGACAGCCCTTTCTTCTCCTCCATTCTTATCACGTTTGTCTTCCTCGAGCTCATTATAATCTACTGCGATCATGATATATTTTTTACCATTTGGTATGGCAGCAGCTGCAACATCACTCTTGTTGCCACCATTTCCACTCACAGTATTCACGTTGCTGTTGTTGGTACGTGGTAAAGGTGTGGTATGTAGGCTATTTCTTTGATTGCTTTGACTGCCAGTCCCAACAATTCCCGCATTGTTATTTAGTACCATGGCTGATTTCTTAGGACGAAGGCGCTGTAAGATTGATTTTTTCTTTTTTTCATCATCGCCTCCACCAATAATTGAAGACGTCTTTCCCTGTAAAAGTGTTGATGATGTTGCTGTTGATAGTGCTCCCCCGGAAAACGCTCCTAGTCCTGAAGTAGTCCCGACACCAGCACCAGCGGTGACAACTAGATCAGATGGTGGTGCTGACTTGAAGAAATCAACCAAGTCTTGTGTGGTTTTACGTTGAGCTTTGTAGTCAGCACTCAAAAGACCACCATCTTCTTCATCACTCTCATTGTCGTTGAAATCCATTGCAGCAGCTGCACGAGGTTGTAAACTTCTGACTGTAGAGGCTCGTTTAATGGTGGCCGCAGATGGAATCGAAGGTACCGAGCTTGAGCAGCTGTTGGGTTCTACAGCTATGTTTGAGGTAGTGTCACTAACGCCAGTCTGGATGGACGAGCGGAATGAGTTCATATTATAGAGGGAGAGGATGGGCAAGAAAATGGAGTTTTTTTATTCACGAAAGCGGATAGGATGAGGGAAGGAAAATGTTGATTTGTTGGAAGAAAAGAGTATAATAGTAATAACGATAGCAATGGTAATAAACTGTTTTGTTGTAGTGATTAACATCTTACCGGCCTTCACGAAAAGTGGACTTTGACGTTAACGGTCTTCATTATATGCTTTAAAGCGAGCATCTGGTTTTACCAAAAATAACGGAGGCAGAAATGGAAACATTCGTAAATATGAGAGCAATCCCCCCCCTCCTTTTTAAAAACTGTGCATATCATTCAAAATACTCGCATGTTCCAATTAAAATGATCCAAGAAATCATTATTAGTTTGACTTGCCTCAATTCACAGCTATACGACAGAAGACAAATAGATATACATTCTTAGGGAGAATTTGAATGAGGTTGAACGCTGGTTGAATCACCAGGAATGATCTTAAGATCTTAAGAATATAGAGAAATAAAATACGTTCATAAATATAAAGGAATATCATCTTTATTATTTCTGCTCATGGTTATGTGGTGCTGCTTCAAGTGTCCTAAGTTCCCTCAAGAAGAGCTTGATGACTCGTTTGCCCGAGTTCAAGTTCTGCAGCCGGATCCTCTCATTGTTCAGATGCGCTTGATCAGATGACTATTATGCAAAGGCCAAAAAATAAAATAAAATAAGTAATAATAATAAAAATAAAATGGAAACGAAAGAAATTGCTTTATTTGAATAGATTCTGAGTTTATCTCTTACCTGACCCATAGGAATATGAACAGCAGCGGCGCCCAACCGCTTTTCGAGCCATCGAATTGCTGGGACAGACCCACCTTCTCGGATGAAAAGAGGTTTTTGACCCCACTCTTCTTCAATCGCTAGCTCGGCAGCCTTGAAGAACCGATCTTCAGTGTCGCCTAACCACCAATCGGCAACTACTTTAATGTTGATCTGTATGCATCCAAGGAAAGAGTTATGTAATTCTGTGAGATGGCATCAAGCTTGGTCAACTTCAGACAACACGCATTATAATGAAAAATGTAGAGTGTGATACCTCAATCTCGTTCTCGGTCTGTAGCTGTTCAAAAACCTTACGCACATGTTCCTCAAATGACTTTGTAATGTCTGCTACTTTTTGATCAGGTACAATACGCATACTGACTGAAGCCTTGGCTAGGCGGGGGATGACGGTCCTATTCTTTGGTCCTGAAACATCAACTTGATGAATGGTCAAGGATGGATTACGCCATCTCGCCATCAGCTTTTTCTTGAGTTCCTCTCTTGTAACCCCAGTTGCAAGAGGGTCCCAGTGGCGCTGACCAGCAGGGTTATTGAACATGTCCTCGACAATTGGATCGTAAAGTGCGTCTTCGTGTGACGTCAGAGGACGGATACAATCATAAAAACCTAAAATATCAAAGGATAGTACGTGATACGTGCCAGGATCAGCATACGCATTTTCGAAATAAGCTATTAAATTTATATAATCAAATTTTAAGACTAAAGCCTTACCAGGGATCTTGGCCGTTCTGTCTGAGTTGATGAGCTCCGATAGCACCTTCACCATATCGATCAGAGGCTCGGAGACTGCGCCACCATCAACACCAGAATGTAGATCCACATTCTTGCTAGTGATAGTCAACGTTGAGTGGATGACGCCTCGAAGCCCATACGTTAGACAGGGGATATCTTCTCCTAGCCAATATGAATTGCTGCAGTCCGAAACGAGGTATAGACTTTAGCAGCAAGTTTAAAAAGTGGGAAACTGGAGAGCTTCCCATCATCATGTCATTTTCCACTCTAACCTTAGCAAGATAACGTCCGCCTCTTGAAATAGCTCAATATTTTGCTCAACAGCTTGGAAGAAGCCCACACTTCCGTTTTCTTCTTCGCCTTCAATCAAAAACTTGACATTGACATCCAGTTGTTGTTCTTCCTGTAGCTCGCTAGCTGCGAAGATACACGCGAGGATTGGTCCTTTATTATCTGACACTCCACGTCCGTACAAGTATCCGTCCTTTCCTGTCATCTGGAATGGAGGGTAGTCCCACTTCTTTATATCCGCCGCTATTACATCGTAGTGGCCATACACTAGCACGTTAAGGGGACGGGCTCGGCCACCAGATTCTGCGGACCTTGCGCTAAATTGCCCATATACCAATGGATTGTGTCCAGGAGCGCCAGGGATAAGTCGAGATTCAGCACCGAGTTGCTGTAGCACTGCTTTCAGGAATTTTGCGCCACGACGGCATTCCTCCAGCTGCGATGGGATACCAGAAACTGTTGGCATTGCAATCCATTTCTCTAATGCGTACAACATCACATCTATTGTTATCCCACATAAAATTGAGTGTTAGTTTACTTCGTATTCTTTTTGAGGGCTGTCATGACATAAAATCGCTTGACTTTGAGATCGCACCTTCTGCAGTCGGCTCTACAGACTCTGTCTGGGCGCTTCCTTCCGTGATAGGCCAAAACTGAATAACATAAAGAAATTCTTAAGCATCTATGCGTCCTGAAAGAGATATACGGCATTTAAAATACTTGCTACAACTTTAATTCAACGTATTATTTACCTTAATAAGTTTGTCGCTGCCTCCACTGACCAAGTAGTTCTGCGTACTAGTCAATGAGAGCACGCTTCCCTTGTGGTCGCGCCAGGCTTTCAGAGGCTCAAAGCTTCTATTCCATTGCTAATAAAGTAAAAAAGATTAGCTTTTTTCCTAAATGTAATTTTAAATGCAGCACAAAGTTTAAACACTGGATGTAGAAAGCGCATCAGTGCATACCTTGACAACGCCATCTGCAGATGCGCTATATACTTGAGAGCCTCGCACCTCCAGGGACAGAACATCATCCTACCATTAGTTTTTTTCCCATTAAAATAACAAGTCAGAAAATAAATCCCTATTACCTTTTCAGTAACTCAGTAAGTATCGTTATACTTACCTCATGCGCAATAAGCGACCGGATCAATTGAAAGGTTTCTAGATCGAAAATCTATATCCAGTTTATTAGAAGTGATTGCTTAAATAAAAACAATTATATCCTCTTATGATATAGTCTTTAGATCCTCCATCTCTGTGAAATCATACCTTAATATTGCCGCCTTGCGAGCCACAAAAAAGGAAGCCATCATGAAGAGCCAAGGTCAATGTACTGGCATCCACACCTGCTTTCAACGTCCTCAAATGTTCGATTGGTCTACTCTTGCTAATATTCCATAGCTATAATTCTCGAGGAAAATGCTTTAAACTGAACTGACATTTTTCACATGAGAAAAACAAAAAAGCCAAATGAACTATATAGTCATATCTATACCTTGATATCACCTTCACCAGAACCGGAAAACAAAATTTCGCCTCCCACGTTAGGTACTTTTCCGAGCAATAGGCAGTACACATACCCAAAGTGACTATTGAGTGAGATGCAAGAATCAGGGATGCTTCGCCGAATCACATGTTCCTCAGGATCCTTTGCACTAATATCTCCCTCAAAAAATGTCGGTAGTTGTTGGCGAAGAGAATGTGTGATATTTGGTGATTGTGGAACATCCAATACCGATTCTGAAAAATCGAGCCACTATTTTGGAAGGATAAAAAAGGTAAAATACAATTAATGAGGAGATGCGAGCCTTAATGGTAATTCAAGTTGCAGTAATTAGCCATATCCGTAATTTATGGCTCAATATCATTACCTGGATGCTTGTATTCTGACATCCGATGTACATAGTATTCAATGTCTCCGAGAAAACTACTGAAAATACATCGCCAACATCTTGGCTTGAATGAATATGGTATAAGCAACGGAATGTCTCAGTATCCCATACCCTCACAGTGCCGTCGCCTTTAGAAGCAGTAAAGATTGCGCTGTAAGAATTGGAGAAAAAAAAAGGAAAAGAAAAACGACTCTTTTTTTTTTTTTTTTTTTTTTTTGAATAGGAGGGCTTTGGTCTATTTACCAGAGGAACTGAATAACCATCTACCGTCAGCACGCAAGGTTAGGCAGAGAATACTTCCGAGATGTCCCTTGAGATTTGCCTTGAGCTGAAAGTGAGCTAAGTCCCAGACCTACACAAGGGGTGTAGTAGATATAAAGCGTTTATTGTTTTTGCTCAATTGGACGATTTTGTAGACTGTTACTGACACACAATCACGACATTTTTGGAGAATTTGACTGCTGATCAAACATACATGGATATCAGAGCCGTGAACACCCTGACCACCACTGAAGAGTAGCGTCTCAGTCGCAGCCAAAGACAACACCGAATCCTCCTCCTGAGTCAGGGTGTGGATGCTCTGCTGTGATTGGCCGTTGAGGCTGGATAAAGAAGGCCGAGAGAGACTCGCTAAATGAATTGCATGAAAATATGGCGATATAAGGCAAGTTGCATGCAATATAATATTTTTGTTATTATTTACTCATTCCATGAAATAAAGTAGAGTAAAGCATGACATGAAACAAAGTTGATCCATACAAATGTCAAAACGAGAGGACATTGGTTCAATGAATGGCAATGGGGAGATAGAATAAAGATAGAATAAAGAAAGAATAAAGAATAAAGAGAGAAATTGAGTTGCACACCAGCCACTGATTTGTACATAAACTAAGACGAAAGGGGCTCTGCCATCTGTTGCCAACCTGGAGTATCTTTATCAGCCTCATGACTTTAAAATGCTTCCTGTGTTACTTAAAAGCCCGTTTTCTTTCCTTTGTTTCCTTTACTTTTTTCTTTCTTCACTCGCACACATTTCTTCTTCCCCATTCCCACATTCTGCGATCGTTCATTCTATTTTCCACAATGTCTTTATCTCATGCTGATCCCGAGGTTATTTCGCGTCTCACTGACGCCTTTACTCTTCCCACTTCAGCCTATGATGCCCTGGTCGATCAATTCATCAAGGAGCTTAATCAAGGTCTAGCTCATAAAGGCCAGATGGTACACAGACTATTGCGTCTTACATCATATCAGCGCCAGGTCTAGTCAGTGCAACCGATTGATCCAATTACTTTCTTACTTTCTTACTTTGTTATATTAAACTGGATTGGATTGAATATGGTCAACGAACGCTTTGATCCGTAAAAACAGCCCATGATCCCCACATTTGTTTATGAACTACCCACTGGTGAAGAGACTGGAGAGGTTCTATCTCTCGATCTTGGTAATCAAAGACCAGAACAACGTTCAATAAAGTGAAGCTAGTCGCACAGACACTTTTTCTCCACACTGAGAATATACTCACGCGTAATTTTTCATATTTTAGGTGGAACAAACCTTCGTGTGTGCAAAACGACTCTCTTTGGTAAAGGTCAATTCGAGATTATTCATAAAAAGTGGGCCATCTCTGATGCTCTCAAGAAGGGTCCAGGCAAGGACCTGTTCGCTTGGATCGCAGATAGGATCGAGGAGTTCCTGGCACATCAGTGTGGTCACAATGACAAGGAGAAAATCTACCCTCTTGGTATGACCTTCTCCTTTCCCTGTGAACAGCTCGATATCAACGTGGGAAAGCTATTATTTTGGACTAAAGGTATCATTCGTTAATCGCGCTCTTTATTTTAACCATAATAATAAAATCTTTACTTGCACTAATTTTTTTTTTTTTTTTACATCTGTACATTTATTTTTTAAAAACGGCAGGCTTTAGAGGTAATGACATCTTAGGACAAGATGTCGTAAAGATCCTTCAGGATTGTATTGATGCAAAAAAGCTCAATGTCATGGTGAATTCGCTAATCAACGACACTGTTGGCACTCTTTTGGCCACAACCTATAAACATCCTGGCTGCGAGATTGGCATCATCTTTGGTACTGGAACCAACTGCGCTTACCTCGAAGAGCAGTCCCAGATCACGAAAATTAAGTCCGATGCTTCCAACTCTACGGCTCTTACGGATCAACAGCTCATTAATACTGAATGGGGCTCGTTCGGAAACAAGAGCGGTATACTTCCTATAAACGAGTACGACGTGCATCTTGATGCCAAAAGCAGCCAACCAGGCAAGCAACTATACGAAAAAATGGTTTCCGGCTTATACATTTCAGAGCTGGCCCGTATCGTCTTCCATGATCTGGCTTTAAATGGCAAACTTTTTGTTGAAGAATCTGGTCATTTCAAGTCTTCTGAGGAGTTGGGGGATTTGGCACTCAAAGAGCGTTTTGATGGTGCTATGATGGGTGCGTTGGAAGGAGACGAATCCGCTCAGTTGGATGTAATTGAGAACCATTTCTTGAGCAGCTACAACCTGAAAACGTCACTCTCAGATCGCGAGACAATCAAGTATATCTGTCAATTGATTTCTACTCGGGCTGCCCGTCTTTCAGCGGTTGGTATTGCAGCACTGATCAAGAAACGTCAGATGTTGACCAAGCCTAACCAGACGATTGTGGGCATTGACGGTAGTCTCTTTAATAAGTATCCCAACTTTAGACCCCACATAGAGGGTGCCCTCAACGAGATTTTTGACACAGCAACGGTGAAGGCTAAGATCGCTCTGATCAGCGCAGAAGATGGAAGTGGCGTGGGAGGAGCCATTGCAGCACATTTGACATGCAAGCAGAAAGGACTTCCAGTTTGAGTGCACTTTACTTTGTGTTGGATATAGTGGCCGTTCATTTCGACTGTAATAAGCCCGGCGTGGAAATTTTGCCCTTGTGCAATCAATAAATTCCATCATACCTCCCCAGCTTGATCTATGGCTCATGTTTGTATTTTATGCAGTTTTATTAATAGACGGCATTTGATCTGGTACAAGATTGGAATTGTATGAGAAACACGTGCTTTAATGTTGCTGTAAATAATAGGTGTATCTTTGTTTAAGGGACAAAAAGATAGACACAAAATCAGGAAAAGACAGGACAAAGAGTGTCAACAAGAATAACAAGAGGAAATAGAGGCAAATAACCTTGACGACAAACAGCGCCATAGGATGCCAAAAGAGAAGATGGGGGCTTTATAGGTGAGCTTACAAACTGAGTTATCGGAAGACAAATGCTTGTTGTGAAAAGGGGAAAAAGATAAATGGCAAGATAAACTGCAGGTCAAGAACAAGTATGGGTAAACTTAAGACTTGGGTAGACTCAAGGTCTATGGGTAAACTGAAGACTTTATTGAGAAAGAAGTTCCTTGGCTTTTATAACTTAGCCTACAGGCCTGACTGTGGTGCTCTCTAGGTGAGGTGAACTCAGCTATAGCTTATAAGACTTTGCACAAAGATTCTTTTAACTGTGGATCGACAGAATGTCCCGATTAGTAGATACAAAATAAAAATAAAATAGTTATAATTAATTTATATAACTATTAATGACCAGCCACAACAATGTTGGCCAATTTTTTTATAAGTAGGACGAGGATAGAAAACAAGGGTGCCGCTGTTTATATCCATTACAAGCGAATACTCGACATCATCTTCTTTTTCTTCCTCTTCCTGTGCCATCTCCCTCTTATCCCTCTTCCTCTTTGCTTGAAGAATACGACTTAAAACTATATGATATAAAAAATAATTAGAGTACTCGAAGGTTCAAATGTGAATATCTCGTTCGGCCTTTATGGATTATCCTTTCGATACTTCCTTGCAAGATCCACATAAAATATTTGGCTCAGGAATTGTGCAATTTGTCTAAAAATCACTCCTCAAAGGCTTTGTACCAACACAGCCAAGGCTCCACTAGCGATTATATAATATTGGTTGTCTCAGTAATACTTTGTGCAGAAGCTTCGTGCTTGGCCCAAATATTATTACTTTCGGCTCAAGATTTTTACCTAACGTAGTAAATCTCGAAGCGTAAAAGACTTGGGGCACAGAGCCAGAACTATCACAATGATAACAAATCTAAAGGCCCATTTTATAGGTATTTGCAAGGTGAACCTCCATATTGATGGTTATAGGACGCATGGCTACATGCATCAAAGGTCGATTCTGACTGATGGATACCCCACACAGTTATTTGCATTTTCCAGCCCCACTACCTATAGCTACCTTAGCAAAGCCAGCGAGGGGTCTTCGAGAGGCTGTCCGAAATGATAGTTGGTACCTACCGCGTTTTGGACCTACTTGGGCTCGATATACGCGGGTTAGCATTACATTGGGTAGCTGTTGTGGAATCCTGACCAAGACTCGCCTTGTTATAAGTCAGTAATATTGAATCTAGGTTTCCCTTGATGAAAAATGAAGACTGGGCGATTTCCTCGTTGCACCAAAGCATCCGAATTATGTTGCGCGAAACTCATCGCAAAAGGATTGTGTGGACCTCATGGGATTGAAGGGGATCTTCAAGTGCCGTTGAGTTGAAGACTGGGGGTATGCAGGCACCTTCCTCAGTGTAAAGGAGGCCATGGGTGGCCTATAAACCGTTTACCACGAAAGCAAAAGGAAATGATGTGAAAAAGTATTAGGAAAATGGATAAAAGAGATCTGGCAAAGCAATACAAAGGGTGCATTCGACAAGAGCTCTCAGTGTTAGAGCCATTTTCGCGAACACCAAGCGAGCAGTGAGCAATAGGACTGACTTGGCACCTACCACTGGTGCTTGCCTCCAAGCTGTTGATGAAGCTCAAACTGTCAGAGAGCTATCGCCCGATATCGAGCGCCTTTCTATTGGCAACATCGATGATACAGATAGAATGCTGCTCAACATGGCCTGTCCGAAAATGAATGGTAGCTAGGAGGGGTCCGAGGAAGTTGATGAAAACATTGATGAGTGCCTTGAAAGCGGCTCACCGGGAAACGACCAGCTTAGCTTTCTAGCCGTGCTTGCCCTGTGCACGTACAACCGTGAACGTCCCAGCAGTACAAGGAATGAATTGCCATATTTAACTTTTATCGAGAGAGCCAAGGGCTGCTTGCCATCCATTACAGGCTGCAGTAAAACCAAGCTTGAGCAAACATACCCGGATTATGCCAAAGATGTATTTCTTAACATTGCGCCTGCCTCCCTCACTCAAAATAACCTCAAGATTTGACTATTCTACAAAGAACCTGGATCCCTGATAAACAAGCTGATCACTGACATTGCGGGCCATAACACAGAGGAACACTGAAGGCTCAAAGAATTCAAAGTCAAGGCTTCATGATGCCTCTATCAAAAATGAAAGATCATATTCAAACCATCGAGATGGTAGCTTTGAACCAGATCCTTACACGAAAGACGACTATTTTGCAAATACTGATTCGAACTGATGGCTTCCTCTTTCAGCTGCTGGCGCTCAAGCTGAACGAGCTGAATGTGGTGAAATACTGACGATTACCTGAGAATAAACTACCTCTCCTCATCACTTCTACAGTTGGCGGTATAGATTGTTATTTGACCGAGACCAGGAATACAGTCAAGGCTTGTCAAGATGTTCTTAACCTTTGGAGTCTGAACTAGAAAACATCGATTTTACGCCTCGGCCTAGAGCAAACTTGTATGGTTGGTGCCAGTGCTTTGTTGCCAAGCAATAGGGGCTCCGTTAGCACGACTATACAGTCCAGGCTCTACAATCTGCCTATCAAGCAAAAGGTGGTGTATCAACCCACATACTGGATCGAATGAAGGAAAGCAGCAGTCATTGATCCATCAGCGATATTAAGAACACTTTTCCCCTTCTCCACGACAATAAAGCAAAAATCAAACCTACAACGACATGCCTGCAGAAGTTGAGATATCCCTTGTTCTCTTCAATGGGGAAGGAGCCATCAAAAGGCAGCGGAGAAATACGAAGAGGATCTGAGCTGAAGAATACGTTCAGGCTGTCAATCTTTTGTTCCAGATGATTGGTAGCTTGGTTGGAGCGAAAAAAGGGAGACTAGCAGGGTCGTGATCGCTGTAGGCTTGGGAAGGTTTTCTTATAATGCTAAGCTTTCCTCTTTACATTTGTCATTCCAATCTTACTTCACCCGAACAGTAGATACTATTTTTTTTATTTTTAATGCTACCGGCTAATATTCACACTTTCACATCCCTTCCAGGCTAGATCCCTTAGGTACATTATTGTCGGCGTGAATGAATAACATACCACCAAGGAATGCCAGCCCTGGCAAGAATCTTTCGAGCAAGCTAATATTCGTCGGCTTTATTGCTCCAAGTGCAAGACATTTATATAGAGTTGTGATGGCTGGCCACAAGATAACCAATTTGCCTGTGGCCATCTACTCTACTAATAGTGGCATCGCTACTTTTAGCTGATGGATAAGGATGGAGAGCATCTTTGGATGAAAGGTGGTCGTACAGTGTGCGCCGAACGTCAAACAAGTTTAGAGTCAGCAACCTTTCCACAGTCACACGCCATGTGATACCCATTTTTTGTTTTGTTTCTCACAAGAGGAGTCCATGTCATTCAACTTTGAAGTCTTTAATTGTCCTCCATCCCATCACAGTCATTCTTTACTAACTTAAGCCAAGTCAAATCCAGATCGAGTTAACACAAAGCGACTGGAGATCTAGCCTCACATTAAACCATATTAACGATGGCTGATTCAACACAACAGCCAGATTACTATCTACATTTGGATCTAGCTGAAGGCGGACTGGATCCTCAACCCCATGGTGATACAGGAGAGAGTTTTCTTGAATTTCCAGAGTCTGGAAGCGAGGAGGCGGCTGCTATGGCTCAGAATAGCGCCATTCATGGTGTAAATCAGTGGCCGGACAGTAGCGTCAAGACTACTCCTACTTTAGATAATGCTGTATCAGTCAGAGAGCCTACATTGGATGACAGCTCAGTTGGAAACTACACTGTTCTCGGAACACCAGTGATCATTGAGCCAAATACCGTTCATTGGAATAGCGCACGTCAGGTGTATGGATCTCTTATGGACATGGAACTTAGCAAACTGTCGCCGCCAGAGCAGGTCTCTGACTGTATTACACCTGACTTGATATTTCCATCAAAAAACGCACAAGATAAATTTTCTGTAACCGAAAGTCAGGCTGAGGATACCAGAATCAAAGCGTCAGAGGCATCTACGTCGGTAGCACCCCTCCCTACCACGACACAACATTCATCTGCAAAGCAAACATCGGGTGACTCAAAAAAGATATCCATACAGTTGATGACCGCAACGCAGTCCCTTACAGATATTAGAAGGAGTACACGAGCTAGGAAACCGTCAAGTTTAGCGACGCAGAGCGAGGAATATCTTGCAATGGGATTGAATATGATATCTGCACCAGCAGAACGCGTTACCCGATCGAAGAAGGTTTATTGTTACTGTCAAAAGCCGGATGATGGCGAGGTCATGATCCAGTGCGATAACTGTCGGCAGTGGTAAGGAGCCTACTTCTTTATCTTTAATTTAGAAAGCTTTGCTTCCTTGGGCTCTTACTGAAAGCATGTCACTAATCAGTAGTCGCCGCTTTGTTATTTTAGGTTTCACGGCGCGTGTGTTGATGTTACGGATGAGATTGCTGAGCTAATGGAGCTTAAGAATGAAAAGTTTTTTTGTGACCCATGTACAGAAAAATTAAAAGGTAAGATGATGTTGCTGTTGTTATATTTTCTGTGTTCAGTATACTCTCAGTTTGTATTCTTTTGGATTCGTATATCCTTGTTTGTTTTTCTTTTTTCTTTTTCTTTTTCTTTTTTTTTTTTGCTACATAAAATATAATGTCGTAAGAAATCGATCATCTGGGCAACCATGTCCATTGTACCCTTGAATGGCTCGGGCCTATGATGTCCACCAGCTTCAGTGAATTTTATTACCTTGATTGTATCACGGACGTTGTTACCTGATAACATAGAATGCTCATACAATTGATTTGAACTATCTAATCTTACCAACTATTCTTGTCAAATGGCCGTTTTTTAAAAAAGGAAAAAAAAAGTTAATGTTGCATACTGTTCGATGGGATATATCACTTGTGTCACCAGAATATGTTTTTCTGAACACCTTTTGCTCAGCTATGCTTCCTCTACCACTCTTACTATTAATATATTGCTGTTGCTTTATTTTATTATAATTAAGAGGGAGGGTGATATTGCAAAATTATCGCTGTCAATAATCCAATAAGGACGATCCTCTTGGGAATATAATTTATCTATCCTATATTGACGTGAGTTGTATTTTTTCTCTGCATATTTGTGTGCTCCGTCATCTGCTTTATATTTGTATGACTGCTCCATAGTTAGAACTAAAAACCAAGTGGGAGGCAAAGGTTTAAAGTTGTCAAGAATTTCGGTAAGAGAGAAGAAAAAAGATATCTTGAACAGAAAGTGTGTCCATTCTGCTCAGTAGAGCATTGTTATCTGATACTCAAGCCTTGTGTCTTTCTTTGTCTGTATGTAGGATGCACGAGATTGTGCTTTACCAACATGTCTAAACGAAGCCAGGGCCACTAGCGATTACTGCAGCGAAGAGTGTGCCATCAAGGGTATCGAGCTCGAAGCATCACAAGCTGTGATGAACAAAGATTACAACAGGCCATCTGCAATCATTATCCCCTCTAAAAAACCTCTTCCTTCGCCGACTGCTAAAAAATTGCCCTCGCCAGCTCAGCCTTCTTCTCCATTAACCCCAAAATCTCCTGGCTCTCCTAAAGCTGAACAAAACCCTGTGCGATCAACAGCGCTTAAAGGTCTTACTGAAAGTTTGATGGTAGCCTTTGAGAATAAGTCGGAAGCAAAAGGGGTAGATACAGAGCAGGCGAACAAGCTGGCAGCATTAGTTGAGAAGGAGCTCTACACGTTCACGGCTACGCCAGGCCAGTCTGGCTGTGGAAAAGATTATAAAGCCAAATTCCGATCATTATTTTTCAATCTCAAAGATAAAAACAACGAGAGTCTTAGAGCTCGTGTGCTTTCTGGAGAATTAGAGCCGCATGAGCTTGTTCGATTGACACCTGAGGAATTGGCAAATCCAGAATTGCAGAGCATTGCTGAGGAAGTGAGGAAGAGAAGTATTCATGATTCTGTATTGACCATTGAGCAAGAACCCTTCATCAAGAAGACGCATAAAGGCGACGTAACCTTTATCCCAGGGTCCTCTAGACTTAGCAGCTCAGCAAGTATATCGGACCCAACGGATACGGCTCAAAAGGATGTCAGCGGTAACGCTAAAAAGGACATTGAAGAAAAGGCAGATGTAGTCAAAGATGCGTCTGAAAGCACAGTGATGGGGGAGATTGCCCAGGAGCAGCGGCATTCGAATAAGACAACGCCAGTGGGGTCGCCCACGACAGAGGCCTTGGACAAGTTGTTGGCCAGAATCCATACAAATAAACGTTCTGGAGAAGAAATTTTGAATGATGCACTCGTTAGCGGGAAACGCACAAAGCAAACGGATGTTAATGTCAGCCAGGAAGGGGCTTCTTATCTGCCACGAGAGCCTTCGCCTTATTCTCCATCCCCGTCGCCTGTAGGATCGCCTGAGCTAGTATCGACAACGCCACTCAATTCCCCTCCGCCCTTTATGCTTGAGGAGATTGAGAAAAATCTCAAGGTAAAATCAAAGGTGCTCCCAGTATGGCAAGGTACCATGGAGATGGATCAAGTTGCAAAGTTCTTTACTCGCGCAATCCAAATCGGTGGCAGTAGAACTATTCCAGGGCGACATGATGTAGATCCTTTTGTGGATATGTTTGCTTCAGGATGGTCTGATATCCTTACTAGGAAAGTTCTGATCGAAGGCCGCATCCCTATCCCAGCTGTGGAAAGCTATGTTTCCCAACAAATACAATCGTCGACAAAGGATTTGATCATAGTGCAGTTCGATGTGGATGACAAAAACAAAACAGAATTTCATAAACTGTTTCACTATTTTCATGAGAAAAGCCGTTATGGAGTTGTACCTCAAAAGGCTCGTCTAGTCAAGGACATGTATTTAGTCCCATTGGCCGCAACAGAGACACTACCTGAATACCTTCAAAGGATTGTGGAGAGTGACATGCTTCTCCGAGACGGAGAGACTGGGAGAGAAGACGCCTTACTTGGAGTGCTTATAGTCAATAAAGCGTCGCAACCTCATCGACATGGACATGGACACAGTCATAGCCATTCACCTTCCCATGGCAAATCATCACACCATCGTCACTCTGGTAATACAACGAACTCTTCACGCCCTTACCCTCCGCCGCGCCACGAGCGGCGTGAGAGCAAGGACTTGCAGCAACAACAACAACGTAGCAGTGAATATGCCACTGCTATACATTCTCCACGTCCACATCAGTCAACCTCTATGCCATCCTCAACTTTCTCCGTTGGAACACCCATGTCAGCTTCATCATCCGTAACCACACCGATAACGCCAGTAGCGTCGAATCCATCGTCGACGGCAGCAGCCACTGCTGCTCATACTCCTATCAAAGTCCCTGCATTGGAACAACTACAAGGGCTTGTTGACCAACTATTCCATTCTGGCAAACCGTCAGGCTCGAGCGCAGGAACTTCATCTGGCTTGACTCCTGCTGCGGCCGCAGTGACAGCCCAGTTGAATGCTGCTAGTGCCTCGAGTCTGATTGCAAGTCTACCGGCAAGTGTCACAATGAATCTGTCTCAAGCCATGGCACATCTTAACCAGCAGCAATATCAGCACCAGCATCAGCACCAGCATCAGCACCAGCATCAACAACAGCATCATCAACAACAGCATCATCAGCAACAGCATCAGCAACAGCATCATCAGCAACAGCAGCAACAGCAGCAACAGCAGCAACAACAACAGACATCCTCTGCTTTACAAGCTCAAAGACCGCCATATTTCTCGGGCACTCCTCATCCACCTGTCCCGCCACCAGGATTTCCGCCTTTGCCCTCTCATTTACTACCTCCAAATATGTTGCCTCCGCATCTCGCGCGGCCTCCCATGCCTCCGATGCCTCCTATACCCCCTATACCTCCTGTACCCCCACATCAGCTGCAAGCATTTTTGTCTCAACAATCGCAACATGGACAACAAACGCCGCCGTTGCCGCCGTTGCCGCCGCCGGCTATACCACCATTCCCATCTAGCTTCCGTCCACCACTTCCTTTGCACCAACACTTACAGCCACAGCAGTTGCAGCAACCACAACAGCATCAGTCATATCTTACACAAGCGAATAGTCAGTACCGCCAAGAAGATCCACGGCTTGCCAAGCAAGATAACTCTAGACGACGTTAAGACCTATGCAAAAAAAATAAAATAAAATAAAATAAAATAAAATAAAAATAAAATAAAAAATAATAATAATAAAGAGCGATTGAAAATATATAGAGCTCATCATGCTTGATAGAGTTCTCTGATACTTGCGTTGAAATATCGGTTCAACAATGTAATTACTAATGTCATGCATTACGGTTAAAATTGGTCAATGCGTGCATGCATTCACAAATCCCCCATGTTGACGCACAGTTGATGATGCTGCAGTCGATCATTAAGAAAGACACGCGCTCTGTCTAGATAATCATTTTATGGCTCGCAACATAAACACTTACAGCATAAAGTTTACAATATACATACTCATACCCAATCCATGCTGTCCTATAGTCAGATATGTAAATGCATTGTTCTCTTATTGAATGGATAAGGTGTGCTAGATGAACTTTTACATCTTTCTATCTCCTACACTGTCTAAATTTTTTGCAAGGTCAACTCCTCAGGACATTTACAAGGCTGAGCTGATCCAGCACGGGGAGCTTGAACCTCTTTCTCAACATAAGAAGGGCTCCTCAGCTGCCCTGGCTTGTACAATCGGTGAATATCGCCTAATGCATGAAATTGCTTATATTCGTGTCTAAACTATCACACCAACATCTCTTCTTTTCCTGCTTTTCCTTCTTGATAAATACACCATTAGCTAACGCCCAAGCCCACGGTCTCAAGGGCGAGTATTGTTGGCTTGAAATGGATGAAATCACATAATCAATCAACGATATGCATATCCACAACTGATCATGTGCGATACTTATTTTAATTGACTCGGCCAATTTAAAAAGCACCAACAGGAGACAATTTCCCATGAGCTGCTAGGACATAGCGCTCGAGAACACAAGAACCTTGGATGTTCAAAAACTTACAAGGGTACCCAAATGTCATCGAAGGGGCCTAAAAGCCCTCACCAGGACTTGCTATCAGTGGTTGATGATATAAACACGGGACCGGTACTGAGGATCATCATAGTGTCGTTGCTGTTGGAGCTAGAAGAGAACTGGAGGAAAGTTGGGCCATTCAACTTTCTCGGTATGGCATGTCAAATTCATGATCATCTCTTTGATATCTTTGGCCCAGCATCAAAGGAAAGATTGAGGATGGCGAGGCTAGATGTAAGCTGGAAAATGGGGTTAAACGTGCAATGACAATGAATACATATCATGAGGGTGTGTCATTGCAAATCAGGAGCATCAAGTAGGATAGATGTCTCAAAAACTTTGATAATGGGCTGCATAGCTCTAGCCTTCTTAGCCTCACCGTATCCTTAGCGATATTTACAAGTGTCGAGCGCCGTGCCCATGATAAACAAGATCCTGTGAACCATTCTACCTCTTAAGGTTGAATTTGTATTGTATAAAACACCTTGCGACTAGGGAGCACGCTACGAGACTCTTCTTGGAGAGGAGTCAGGCAAACATGTTGATAGCTTCTGATAACTCGGAAATCAGACTGATGGGGCGACAAAAAAAAAAAAAAAAAAAAAAAAAACGCGCCTTCTTTTCTGCTATACATTTTTGGTAAGAGCTGAAAACACAATAAAATTAACCGAAAAGCTGGACGCATCTATCGGGTTGGCCTTATAATACGTTTCACCAGGGTCCAAATATGAAAAGTTGTCGAAAGCTTTAGTGGATACTATAATCTGAATCAATACAACCATGATAGACGACCAGCGTCATTTATGAAAGAAAGAATAATAAAGTATGAGCGTATAGCTATGTATGAGTATAAGACGTTGAAAAGCTGTAGGTCACAGGCTATGAAATCCCTAGAGAAAACAACCCTATCATTCTGCCCTTTGGCTTAGAACATCGACAGGCAGTTCGCAGTCTTGGCGATGGCCGGATCGAGTTGGTTGAGGACGAATTGAAGGACAACCTTGGTATTGACCATGGTAACTAATAAAATAAATAAAAGAAAAGTTAAACACTGGACTTATGCCGTGTTTACATCTCAGTCTTACAAATAACAATGACTTACGATGCTCGTTCAATGACAACGCGCAGAGATGCTGAAGTAAAATGTTTGTAATCCCAGGGCCTTCCTGGAAGCATGTCTCCCAAGGAGTAACGACCTCATCGTATCTATTGATTGGTGAAAATTAATAGTAATAATAATATTAAAAGAATTAGTATCAAAGAGTGTCGCGACAGAGCGTGTCTTATAGATTTATAATTCAAAGACATACTTGGTAGCGATGTTGGAATGGATGACCCCAGGGGCAGTGTCACCTCCAGCATTCAACTTTTGCATAAAAGTGGAGTTCACAACCATTTGATAAAATGATGGTGCGAATGAGTCGAAGAAGGGCTGGGACGGATCGAACATCTTCATAGCCTTGGCCATTGTCGTGATTCCACTCAGAGTTGTACCATGGTTAATGGGGGATATTCCAACATGTCTGTAAACCTTGCCGGCTCCGCCCAGGTACTTCATCCAGTACCTTGCCAGAATACTACCTTGTGAATGCCCAACAATGTCAACTTGGGACACTTTCATCTTGCTCATGACTTCGTTCGTAAAGCTGGCAAGCTCCTGGGCAGAATCCTCGATCGGAGCAAGGCCCCCAAAACCAGGGATTTTCTTGTATTTGCCATAGGTGAGGCCAAAGACGCAGTAGCCGCGCTTGGCCAATTCGGGCGCAAAGGTGGACCAGGAATCGACGGTAAGTAGAGTTGCATGAACCAAGATCACAGGACGAGGATGAGCAGGAGTCAACTTGCAGTCAAAATTATTCAGGCCCTCGATCGCACGCTTTCTAAATGCAACAGGCCTTGCAGGGTCAGTTGGAAGGGAATAGACTTGAATGGCCGAAAGAGAAAGAATCAAGGCGGCGGTGGCAGCGCTAACGACGGAAGAGATAGTAAACTTCATTATTAGTTAAATTTTTTTAGAACCGTAGGGGAAGTGAGTTTGCTGGTGTCGTGAAGAGGATGATGATATTCAAGAAATGAGGGATTTATCTCGCTATTTGTACCTTTCTCTGAGCTAACCGGATACACTCTTTGTTAATTGGTTGGTTAGCCAGAGGAATACACATAGACGTCTTTTATAATAGCAATGGTATTGACAATGAGGAGATCGGCGCATCTTTCGGATCTCATGTAAACAGTCAGAGCACTTAAAGCTAATTGATATATTCGATAGGCCTTCTGAGTAATATTAGGCAATGCCAGGATGGCAATTATCCTTATTGATGCATGCTAAAGCCGAGATCAAATATTGTAATCAATAATCAGTAATGTCAGTAAGCGAAGGCATATTTAACACCTCTATTTCTATTAAAGAGAACGCTTTAGCACTGTTACGAAGAAGTGCGTACTACGGAGTTGCTTTTAGGACAAGCAATAGAGGCAATGACCTTTGGGGGAAAGACAAAGCTGAAGTACAGGAGCAAACACAAATTGTTACACACTACACTTTTGAATTTTAGCAAAATGAAAAACCTCGTGAAATCAACTTGCCGAATCTATTGTGAAATTGAGACGCGTATCAGAGACACAGTATGTAACGATGCAGTGATAGTTGTACAAATTAAGGGATAAACAATTGGTGGGTTGTCATTGTATATGAAAAGTGTTAATTATAATGCGTGAAGGAGCTTTTCCCATCGGGGTGCTTTATCCTTGTTGGTGCAAACGCGTTAATAAGCTGATTTAACAACAAACTTGTGTGAAGCCTATCATTTGATAGTCCGTAGGCTCTTTGTTTATTTTTATGCGTTGTTTGGCTTTTAAAATTTTAGAAGACCAAGACCCCGCGGGCGAAGTAGTTGTACATGAAAGAATGAGCCACTCACACGAATCAGCGACATACAGGAGTCAATTAATGCATGCATATGCTTCTCCACAAGAACAGAATTGCTGCATATACAGAAGTTGGCGGATATGTAGGCAAGTACATCATTTATTCCAACACCTGTGGAGCAAGAAGAATGGCACCCTTTACCTCTGATTAACTGGATGTAAACCGTCGTGTCTCATGAGTCGAAAGATGAACAAGCACCACATTTATTATAAATGATACAAAGACATACCAAATATATCAAGAAGCGTGACCATAATGAAGAAAGTCATTCCTTCTTGGTCATTTTAGAAGAGTTCATACAAAGTCAATCCATACACGACTAGGGCCGCTAATGAACACCATACATTAACTCTCTGTTTACACATCGAAACTTCATTTCAATCAATTGCGAGTCATATTCTAGAGCAACGAATACTTTAACAAGAAGGGGCACTCAGCCTCAACATACTTTTTAAATGCTCGGTCGGATTCCAGATAGGCCATCATGGATGTAAAGGCACAATACTGTCCATTTGTTATCAAAACAAATATTTTATTGTATTAAATGGTGTTATATATATTCTTGCGAATCGTCGAGACTCGCATGTATAATGGCCCATGTTATAGCATTGGCGCTTTATATTTCTAGTATGAGGACAAGTTAAGAATATGCTGCTGTTGAAGTGGAGGCTTGAAGGTAGAGGATGACTTTATCTTTGTACTAGCGGTACGTCCTTGCGGATGAATAGTGTAATCAAGGGACCGCAGCAAAGTTACGAGTCATTTTAAGTTGGACCTGTCTCATTAGAAATTATTTCAGAAGACGCGTTTATTCAGAAATAAAACTTGCAATTCAAAAATGTCACAGAATGCGTGGATCCTTTCTTCCTTTCCATTCACCGATTCATGGCGTCCGTGTTATGCACATCCACACATCCACTGCTTATGTGGCTTATTGTTAGGAAGAAGGAAACAAGGGGTGTGTAGAACAAAAGCTTTTTACATCTAACCATTCCAAGACATCGAACATCTTTAACACACATAACATGACCACAAGATTAATTGCTTTTTCACCCGAGCAACAACAAACGCTTTCCTCGTTGCCTTTAACATCGCCTTCATTTTTGAGCTACCTTCTCCAATATCAACAGGAAACCATTCGAGGAATCCCTGTTCGTCTGCCAGGAAACTTTGTACATTATTCCCTTTTATCAAAACAAGATATTGTGCCTGGTCAAACTACTGTTGGAGATCTCAAGATGAAGGTCTTAAATGTTGTCTATATGACAGATAGTCAAGAAAGAGTTGAGGAGTGTGTATTGTGCCAGAAAGGCATCCAAGTCGAAGGCTTGCATGAAAATCCTGCGAGTCTATTCTAGGCAAGATGGGAATACATGACGCTTCTTTCTGTTTCAACCCATGGCACTCTGGCTCGACTCTACACGTAAATTAGTTCTATATCTCGTTTTCTCGCTTTACCATTCTTCATGTACTCCCATACCAAACGTAAAATACGTTGGTCAGCTTTTACTCCAATCTCATTTCTGGTAATGTTTAGCTGTAATAAAGAATTGCACATCGGTTTCATGATAAATTTGATGCTCATTGATGCCGTCAGATGGCGGCAATAAATGTAATAGTTTTGACCTGATTAAAGTCAACCATTAATTTTGTTTTATCCGGAAGGATTATAAGAATCCTTGATAGGAGATATTTCTAGCTCATATTAGACTTAGGAACTTTTTTTTTTTATTATATGGCGTTCATTTGTCCTCGCTATAACAAAGCGGTTCGACCAGGCGGCGTATCGGATCTTTTATCAAATTAGCTTATTCCTCATCGATACCTCGTATATAAAGGACATTGTTGCATCGGATCAGAACCTCTCCCAATGTTCCAGCTGAAGTCCCGTCTACAAATTCTTCTGTGTTTGCAAGCTAGAAAGAATATGATTTTAGTAAAATGCTGTTGGAAACGATGGGAGACACTTCAACTTCTGGAGCAAAAATATAGTCCACTAAACCAGTGATTTTAATTCGAGAAACAAGAATAGAAAGTACCTGCAAGTTCATGTATGAATCAACTGAGACCAAAAATCCTTTGTATTCCTGTCCCCACTTCAATTTGACCATAACGGGCTTTCCTGTGAGTCCATGAAGGAATGGTGTTGGGTTGACAGGCACAAACTAGTTATTTCCAGTCGTAATCAAAATGAAATAAAAAAGTAATGGTAATAAGTTTTCAGTATCCAATCTCGGAAATGTTGATTCAATGACTTAAGATGTACACGTCTCGTCTTCGATTTATGTTGGCTCGATGAGGTCTACAGTTACACCCTGATTCTGCCTTGACTTACAGTAGACATGGTTGGTGAAGACAGGATTGATGGAAGGACATTTATTTAGCTTGACTTCATTAAGGCAAGACAGAGAAACAGAGTAGCTCAGCCACTGCTACTCCATTGTCAATTAAAGAAAACACCCTTAATATCAAATCGCACAAAAACTTTTTGGCAAGTCCATTGCCACGTTTTAATTGCTTCCCCTCATCAAGACATCGAAACATCTAGAAGCTTTTTGTTTCCACCAGCCTCACAATATGGCAAACGAATTATGACTTAAATAATATCCGTCTGGTGTACCTCTTTTGTTTCCTTATCCTTCTCTTCCCTGCACCCCAAAATTATACGCCATGTCGACCGAGACGTTTTCTTTTCAGGTACGACAGCTTTTTCTCATGATCAAGACCAATGACGCTTATGCATGCAGTGGTATACAGTAGAGTGCAGGTGTCATCGCGACTTGCCTCCCCATGATCACTTGTCTGCTTGTTTGTCTGTTGGGCGGAAAGTTCGGTGGCGTAAAGAACTGGAAGCTGATCCTGTTGATCTTGAATGAACATCAAAACAGTATGCGCTGATCACCAACATTCATCGTTTGCATTCGTATAGGCTGAGATCTCTCAGTTGATGAGCTTGATTATCAACACTTTCTACTCAAACAAGGAGGTTTTCTTGAGAGAGTTGGTTTCCAACGCTTCTGGTACGTATTTCACCGCTTGATATACCTCAAATAAAAATATTTTTGTCAACATTATAATTATTAATGTTCAAACCGAACCTAACTAATGTTGACCATTTTCATCTGCCATTTTCATTACTTACATAAAGATGCTCTCGATAAGATTCGCTATGATGCTTTGACTGATCCTTCCAAGCTCGATTCCGAGAAGGAGCTATACATCCGCATTACACCTGACAAGGAGAACAAGATTCTCTCGATTCGTGATACTGGTATTGGTATGACGAAGGCTGATCTCGTCAACAACCTTGGTACCATTGCTAAGTCTGGTACTAAGGCTTTCATGGAGGCCCTCAGCAGTGGTGCTGATATCTCCATGATTGGCCAATTCGGTGTCGGATTCTACTCTGCTTACTTGGTTGCTGAGAAGGTCCAGGTCATCTCGAAGCATAACGACGACGAGCAATACATCTGGGAGTCAGCTGCCGGTGGCTCCTTCACGATTACTCGTGATACTGTTAACCCTCCTCTTGGTCGTGGTAGCGAGATGCGCCTCTTCATGAAGGAAGACCAACTCGAATACCTCGAGGAGAAGAGAATTAAAGAGATCATCAAGAAGCATTCCGAGTTTATTGGATACCCCATTCAGCTCGCTGTCGAAAAGGAGACTGAAAAGGAGGTTGAGGATGATGAGGAGGAGGAAGTTAAGGAGAGTGACTCTAAGATTGAAGAGATTGAGGATGAAGATGATAAGAAGGAGAAGAAGAAGAAGACCATAAAGGAGAAGAAGATTGAAAATGAAGAGCTCAACAAGACAAAGCCTTTGTGGACTCGCAACCCCGAAGATATCACCAACGAGGAGTACGCCACTTTCTACAAGTCCTTGAGCAATGACTGGGCCGATCATATGGCTGTTAAACACTTTGCCATTGAGGGACAGCTTGAGTTCCGTGCTATCCTCTTCGTTCCTAGCCGTGCTCCTTTTGACATGTTCGAGACTAAGAAGAAACGCAACAACATCAAGTTGTATGTCCGCCGTGTCTTCATTATGGACGACTGTGAAGACCTTATTCCCGAGTGGCTGAATTTTATTAAGGGTATTGTTGATTCTGAGGATCTTCCTTTGAACATTTCCCGTGAAATGCTCCAGCAGAACAAGATCCTTAAAGTTATTCGCAAGAATCTTGTCAAGAAGTGTCTCGAGATGTTCGCTGAGATTGCTGAGGACAAGGAGAACTTTGCCAAGTTCTACGAGGCTTTCTCCAAGAACATCAAGCTTGGAATCCACGAAGATTCTCAGAACCGTGCCAAGCTTGCTGATTTACTCCGCTATCACTCGACCAAGTCTTCTGATGAGATGACTTCTCTCAAGGACTATGTCACTCGCATGCCTGAGAAGCAGAAAAATATTTACTATATTACCGGTGAGTCTCGTACTGCCGTCGAAAATTCGCCTTTCATTGAGGTCCTGAAGAAGAAAGGTTTCGAGGTTCTTTTCATGGTTGATCCTATTGACGAGTATGCTGTTACTCAGCTCAAGGAGTATGATGGTAAGAAGCTCATCTCGGTCACCAAGGAGGGACTTGAGCTTGAGGAGGATGATGAGGAGAAGGCTGCCCGTGAGGCTGAAGAGAAGTCCTATGAGAATCTCTGCACTCAAATCAAGGAGATTTTGGGTGACAAGGTCGAGAAGGTCTTGATTTCCAACCGTATCTCCGAATCGCCCTGCGTCCTCGTCACTGGTGCATTCGGCTGGTCCTCCAACATGGAGCGTATCATGAAGGCTCAAGCTCTCCGTGACTCTTCTATGTCCTCTTACATGGCCTCCAAGAAGTCTTTGGAGTTGAACCCCAAGAACTCAATTATTAAGACCCTCAAGGCCAAGGTTGAGGCTGATAAGAATGACAAGACCGTCAAGGACTTGACCTTGTTGATGTATGATGTTGCTCTCGTTGTCTCTGGCTTCAGCATTGAAAAGACTGATGTCTTTGCTGATCGCATCCACCGCATGATCAAGCTTGGCCTTGCTATTGATGATGATGAGGAGGAGTCCACCTCTGACATGCCTGCCCTCGAGGCTGAGGATGTTGTTGAGGCCAGCGAGATGGAGGAGGTCGATTAAACTGTATTCTAGGTTTCATTTTCCTTTTATGGTAGCTTTAAACTTTTTCTCTCCAATTCATTGTACTTTTGTTCTTTAAATACACAAGCATAAATACAAAACATCGCATCGCATCACATTCTGGCTAGTATTTTAATTGGTATGGTTCTTGTTACTAAATTGATGGATTTGGTAACCGAGGCAGAACTGGTATGATACTGTTGTTATGCTTTGAGGACATGCCAATGTATGTCCCAGGAGTTGTCGAATGGGCTTGCGCCATTGCCATCTGTCCAGATTGCTTGAGTGCATATTCTTCTTGATGCTTTCGAAGAATCTATTCAGTCCATCAGGTAAGAACGACTTAGCATGATAGTGCGGATTAAATTATTTTATTAATCAGGTGAAACACTTTACAAACTCACATCATGATGTGATTTTTGACCTTGCTCAATGGGTCCGATAGGTGGCCCAAATGGTGTTCTAGTAGCATTGGTGCCTTGTCTTAGTTGTTGACAAGCATCAGAAAAGGAAATTGTCCAAATAGCCGTTAGCAGAAAAGAACGCATGTAAAATGTTCCGTAAAATCAAGCACATAGTATTTAAGAAACAGCCAATCAAGCACAAACCCAGTTCCTTGATATCCCATTATTTGCGTGGAGCTTGGTTGCACTAGGGATGGTGAAGGCATACCGGACATAAATCCACGCGAGTTTTGTTGGCCTATTGGTATCTGAATCTGCTGTGGTGGCATGTTCATTGTTGGCGGTTGCTGCTGTAACTGTTGTCCTGGTTGCTGGGACTGCATCATTTGAGGTGGAAACCCACGCTGTTGATATCCTGTTGACTGCTGTTGTGACATGTCATTTCTATCGGCGAATGGATGTGTACAAGTCAATTAGTATTGCTAGTTAAGCATCCAGTAATGTAATCTCCTGAAATTAAAAGTATGTCCGCGAAAAAATCCCGCCATGCCTGTCACTCACGGAAAGTTCATCCCTCCTGATCCCCCTCCACCACGAGGCTTTGGCTGCATGCCTCCAGGTCCACCTCGTCCATGTCCTCCGCGGTAGCTCATGATGTAATTATCTCTGAATGTTTGAAAAGAGATTGAATGAAGCAAACAAGCTCTTGGAAATAGCAGTCTCATTAAGCCGAATACCCCTCCTTTCTCATTCAACACTTTTCCATTTCTGCATTAAAGACGACCACATTAATTGTTCGCTATAATTATGGCATTCACCTCAACACAGCAATACTTAGCATCAGTTAATGGATCTTCCTCACCAAGCAGCTCTTTTCCTAGCGCATCTTTTGGAGGAACCTCTAGTGGCAGTCGGGGTAAAAAAAAAAGAATAGTATTTCTTTTTGAGGGAAACAAACCCATGGGAATATGTTAACCTGACCTATTTGCATTTATTCCATTATCTTCGAGTAGTTGTTCCAGCCATCAACCTTGACGAAGAAATCCGACTAACAACAAATAACCGTGAGCGAGCACAGATGGATAATATGGCAGACTTGTATTCCATTATTGTTGTATTAGAGCACCTAGAAATGGCCTACATTCGCAGTGCCATCACGCACACCCAGTATGTGAGCTAGCAGCCCTTTTTTCTTTTTATCTAATCTCTCAATTACTAAAACAAGGTGTTAACATTCCTTTCTTTTTTTTTTTTTTTTTTTTTTTTTGGTATAGATATACTCCAGAATGTCGAAATCTTATTGCACAATATAGGACAGCATCCAATCTGTTAGGAGACATTGATTTGGAAAAATTCATGAAGGAATATAATTTGGATTGCCCTGCTGCAGCCAAGAGGATCAAAATTGGAGTACCAGCTACAGTCGAGTTTGGAGATGGCGGCGCATCAGACGAACCTAATGGTCATCGTACTGCTAAATATGTTGCAGAAACTGTTCAGGTACATGTGTGAGAAAGAAGTGCATGCTCTTGCCGTTAATATATCTGTTCTATTCATCACCCTTATTTCTGGTCAACAAGCCTGTGTATATATCTTTGACACTTCTCAACACTCTATGTCCATATCTTTAGAGCTATATTACGGTCGTTGATCTGCTCAAGCTGGGAAGAACAGCAGTAGACGAGATTCATCCTCATTTGGCTGAACTCATGCAATCTCTCAATAACGTGCGATCACTACCCGCAGATTTTGAAGGACGTGCTAAAGTGCGCGAGTGGTAAGAATATTTGTATCAACTTCGTTTTCTAGGAGACCGTTTCATAGATTCAACTCTTTTTTTTTTTTTTTTTTTTTTTTTTGAAGAGAGCTTTCATCTAAACGCACTGTCTGTGCTCAATGACATTCCGAACTTTAGGTTAATTAAGCTGAATAGCATGAAAGCTAGTGATCAATTGACCACAAGTGAAAAAAGACAGTTGGAGTTCGACCTCGAGAGTAATTATACTGCGTTCCGTGGATGGCTTGATAGTCAATAATAAACAAGTATAGAAAGGAGGATCCTCTGACAAAAAATAAGAAATGGTAGCTGTATACATATCTCTACTTTCGATTTGTTGTTTATGTGCTGACGTGGTGAGAGAAATCCTGCTGATGTTGATAATGATGAATTTATTACAATGCTGGGATTCAATTCCATCCCCCTTGCAAACTCAATGCCTCACAAACTGTGACCAGGGTGTTGTTTATCTCTATGCATTCATATTAACTTCTACTCAGCCTTCTTTGGCTTCTTGGTACCGTATTTTGATCTTGAGGTGCGCCTGCTGGCGACGCCTTGCAGATCCATGGCTCCCCGGACCAAATGATAACGAACTCCTGGTAGATCGGGGACACGGCCACCACGGACCAAGACTACTGAATGCTCCTGTAAGTTGTGGCCCTCTCCAGGAATATAAGCATTAACGACTTTGTCGTTCGAAAGCTTTACACGAGCGACTTTGCGGACAGCTGAGTTGGGTTTACGAGGCTTTTGCACGAAGACACGAACACAAACACCTTTCTTTTGAAAGCAAGCATCAAGGGCTGGGGACTTGGACTCCTTTTTGAATGTTTTGCGACAGCCGCGCATGACTTGGTTAAGAGAAGCCATTGAGCGGATTTGTTGTTGGTTCTGCTGTCGGATAACAGCTGTAATGGCAGAGATGGACATGGATGATTTAGCCATGGTCAATGGGGCTCTGAGAGCAGCGCCGCCTCCTACTATTGGTGATGGCAATGCAGTAAGGAGTGATCGTAAGTTGAACATGAAGGGCGAAGGGCGAAGGGCGAAAGGGGACTGACAAGACAATAGGTCAAAGGTATTTTGATTTCGGGTGTGGCTTATTTATCTGAAGGCTGGTTCTTTGGGCCTTATTATTTTTTTTCGCACCTTTCAGCCAGCCAGCCATGACGACTTCGCTCAATGGACCTTCAAATTTCGCAGACGATGGCTCAGCTGTAATTGCTCGCCAGATTGAGGTACAGCATAGTCGATTGGCATCCGAAACACAGAACAAGATCGCCGCCTGCACCGACATTTATGAAATTGACCGTACGGTCAGTATTATCAAGGAGCGTGGATTCAAAAGAGTAAGTTTATAGGATTATAGAGATGTCTTTTGCCATCCTAATGTCTTGGAAGCGAAATGTCCAACGTATGTAGAGCTTTTTTGTTACAAAGGCTGACCCCAATCTTGATCTCTAAAAAAACATAGATCGCACTACAATTTCCAGATGAACTTTTACCAGATTCTGGATTAGTAGCGCAATTAATCCGAGAACAGACGGGTAGTGACATTTATGTACTTGCAGACACCTCATATGGAAGGTGAGGAGACATAGGCTCTTTTATTTCATCTGAGCAAACAAACATATAAAAGAATAGCCCTGATTTAGATTTATTGGTCAGTTATACCTGTTTCATTGACTTTTTATTTTTTTTAAATATCTGTAAACGGTAGCTGTTGTGTGGACGAAGTAGCAGCACAGCATGTTTCAGCTGACGCAATCATTCATTATGGACGTTCCTGCCAGAGCCCGTAAGTTGATGACTTTAGATCCTCAAACATGAGATCATTGAAACAAACGCACTGTGTCCTGATGTATTAATATTAAAAAATATCTGGTGTCGATGGTCTTGGTTCTGTTAAACCCTTTTTTTGCTGAATAGAAGCTCTCGCCTTCCCGTCATCTATGTGTTTGGAAAACAGCCTGTGGATGTGCAGAAATGTGCTTCAGTATTCAGCGAGCTGTTTGGTCGAGATAAGTCAAAAAAGGTCCTACTGATGTATGATGTGGTTTACGCACATTGTATTGGTAAGAACAGACCATCAATTAGCTTTGCAGCTTGCTATTCTAAAAGGAGAGAAAAAAAAAGTGGTTGAACATATGGTTTTTTTTTTTTTTTTTTTTTTTATCTTAACGTACTGAGATAGATGATCTCCTGAAATTACTGGAAAGAAACATGGAGTATAGCAACATTGTTAGATCTAGAGTTGAAACCGAGTCCAACCTTGAATATGTCCTATCGAGTCAAATCGTTGATCATAAGTCCAGGAGCGGATGCTGTCAGCAGAACGAAGTTCGTTCCAATCAAAGTGATGAGGGTCCATGTACTCCAAGCGCCGAGAAATCATCTTCATACTGCCAAAATAGATCGAACATATCCCCTCCATCAGTATGCAATAATTCATCACGTCAGGAAGCTACATCCATTATAATGTCTCAGCAACGACAACAAAAGAATAGGGTGCCAAACGATTACATGGAGGATGGAAGCAGTGATAAAAATGATCAGACCAAACGGAGACGATTTGGGAGGACGTATGAACTCCCTGGAGATGATAAGGTTGAAGACTATGCCCTTTTCTATGTAGGAAACGAAAGCCCCACGCTTTCCAATATCATGATGACCCATAGTGCATGCGATGTTTATTCTTTCAACCCTATGGAAAATGAAGGGCGATTAGAATCAGCAATGATCAACAGGTCTCTGATGCGCCGATACTTTTTAGTTCAGAAGGCTAGGGATGCAGATGTCATTGGTATCGCTGTTGGAACTTTAGGCGTTGGTATGTTTTGACAGGATACCTAACATATTCATGTTTTTTGGAGAATTGACTCATGACGTATATTATTTGAAATGCCTTTTGATAATGATATAGTGTATTAACCCTTGTTCACGACATCTCTAAAATATACTAGCCTCATACATGACCATGATACAGCACTTGAAGACATTGATTGAGTCGAAGGGTAAAAAAGCCTACACGTTTGTGATGGGCAAGCTTAATGTGGCCAAGATGGCGAATTTCATGGAAATTGATTGCTTTGTCTATGTGGCATGTCCCGAGAATAGCTTAATAGACAGCAAAGAGTTTTATCGCCCCATTGTCACACCTTTTGAGCTTGAGATTGCACTTAGTAAATCCCTAGATTGGACTGGGAAATATATCACGGATTTTCAGCAACTGCTACCTGAGGATGGGCAAGTTGGTGTAGACAAGATCAAGCTTTCTCAAGCTCAGCTCGATGCTGCTTCTGATCGCGAGGATGATCAAGATGGTGACAGTCCGTCCGATCGTGCAAGTGATGAAGATGAAATACCACATTTTTCACTCGTAACAGGCCAGCTTAAGAAAAGTAAGAAGTTTACGTCCAATAGGGAAGACTCGAAAGAGCTTGCAGCCTTGCTTGAAGGATCGAAAGACTTGACTGTTAGGGATAAGAATACGAGTGTAGCGTCACTAATGTCAAGCGCTGCAGGGGAATATCTTCGGTCAAGGCAATTCAAGGGCCTAGAAGTCAAGCTGGGTGAGACATCAGTTGAGTTTGCTACGGAAGGGCGCGCAGGCATTGCTAGGGGTTACAACTCAGAGTCTGGATATAATAATCGCGAAAAAGAAGCGTACTAGCCTAGATTAAAGTTTGTCTGCATCATTTTTTAAAAAAGGAATCACCTCATCAATACAGGGCTCTGTATCTTGAGATTTAAGATATTCATTAATACATTCTACATTTCACTGGGATTAACTGCCTATCTTGGGCCTCTCCTCATTTTGGTTTATTTTGCCTTGAAGTGAGGACAGAATCTTTTACTCGTAATTCAATCAACAGTTCTCAATTGAATTGCAGCAACAATAACTACAATAAGACAGGATGTCAGCGCCTCGCTATTCTTCAGTTTCGGTTTCAAGCATGCTGTCGTAACTAAGTTTAGGTCACCAGCTCCAAGGTTTATATTCTTGAACACTATGTCAAATAGTTTTGCGAATGACTGTATGAGCTATGCTAAGACCGTAGATAAGATGGGGTAAGCGTATTAAAAAACTGTGTCAAGAATTCGCCTTTTATATATATTGCAGATGTATATATATGCCACACTCATCCTTTGTTGATGTTGAGATCAAGGTTGAAGACAATATCAATCAATCTTCAAAGATTCAAACGACTGAGATGTAAAATGTAAAATTCTTTCTAGAAAGTAGCTAGAGAGGGGAATAGTTAAGACATGGAGCTTTCCTATATTTACTGAGTAAATATTACTTGTTCGCCCATAACGAACATGCGCCCCGTTAGTTTATAAATATCACTGTTTTATGTTTGCGAGAAGGACGTGCACGGATAGGATCTGCATAAATTTCGATGTTTAGACATGTACGCACAGAATATTAAGAGTTTGGAGTCTAAATTGCTGCGGGATTTGGATCGCATGGACTTTGCACTGCGGAAAGACTGTCTTTTTCTTTTTGTGTGGCGATTATAAAATGGCGAGCAGCTTTTTTTTTTTTTTCCTAATTGTCATTCGCATTCTGAAAAAAAAGTTAAACAAATATCATCCAATTTATCCCCACCTCCTTTATTCCCTAATTACTGTTATCACCATGACTGTTACCGCAAAGACCTTCATTGCCCGGTTGCCTACAGGCGTCAAGCTTGATAATGACGTCCAAGATTTTCTTGCATCGATCATTGATGGACAATCTTTTGCCTCAGTGGAAACCCTTCGCGAAGAGACCGAGCATTTCCTTGTCGATGCTGGACTTGAGGAAGCTGATTTGTCCTTGTTTTACAACGGATTTCATGAACTGCTTACGGAGAACAAATCAGACGGAACAAAACATACACCTAACACCCTTGTCAAACTAAATTCGTCTCTTGAAGATCTCTCTATGAAAGACAAAGATCGAGGAAGTACTGGAAACAGTAGCGAATCAGATGATAAGCGGCAGCAATCTGAGTCAAGATCACCTAAAAAGAGTTTCAAGGCAAAACCTGTCAAAATGACAAAAGCCGCCAAGAAGCTTGCTGCAAAGGCAGGATCAACTTCTCCAGCAGCAGGAAGTGCGGCCGCTTCAGCTACTGCTACGCCAGTCCTTAATGAAGATGCATTTTCGGGCAAGGATGCTATCGTTGAGGCATTTTCTCAGCAATCACGATTCCATGAGGAAACGCTAGAAACACTTTCGAAGGAGGTGGATCTCAAACAAGTCAATATTAATATTGGTGAGAAGCCCCTACTTAAGGATACACGCCTCTGGTTTAAGTCTGGAACAAGATATGGATTAATTGGACGGAATGGTACGGGGAAGTCAACCCTGCTCAAGGCAATTGGATACGGACAGCTGATTGGGTTTCCGTTGAATCTCAGGACGCTCTACATCGAACAATTGCCTTCAGAGACTCCGGAGAACCAGACTGTTATTGAGACAGTGCTTAAGGCGGACACAGAGCGGATCCTATTGATGTCTGAATCTAAGTTGCTGCAGCAGTCTATCAATAAGTACCCGAAGCAACTGGTTAAATGCATCAAGAAGTTGGAATGGGAGCGAATTAAAGTCAAGTTGGCTGCCCAACATAAGCTTGCCATACGAAGGAGTGGTAAGCGTGGAGCAGAGGCACGTGAGGAGCTCTTAATCGTTGAGGCGCAAGAAAAGGCTGCGCAGGAGGCGTTCGAAGCGGTCCCAATTGAAGGAGTTGAGCCTCCTCTAGACATCTTGAACCAGGCTCACGAGATGCTCGAATCCGTCTATAACAAGCTTCAGCAGATCGAGGCTGATTCTGCAGAAGCGAGAGCACGTGAATTGCTTCGAGGTCTTGGCTTCACGCCAGAGAGCCAGGATTTACCAATTAAACAGTTCTCAGGAGGCTGGAGAATGAGGATTGCGCTTGCGCAGGCCCTCTTTTTGAAACCAAACCTTCTATTACTCGACGAACCTACTAAGTATGTGCTTTTCTTTTCCTTTTAATTTTCGTATATTGCGTGTTTTTGCTTTCATAAGTGTTTAATACGAATTTGGGTTATCTATTTAGTCACTTGGACTTGCCTGCGATAATATGGCTACAAAATTATCTACTAGAGAACTTGGACGAAGATCAAACAGTGGTGGTAGTTTCGCACGATCGTAACTTTTTGAACGCCGTCACGGAGGAAATTATTCGACTGCGCGATTACCAGTTATCTTACTTTCCAGGCAACTATGACGAATATGAGATGAAAATGGAAGATAAAGCCAAGATGAAGGACAGGATTGTGGCAGCTCTAGAGCAGAAGCGCAAGCATGTTCAGGAAACGATCAACAAGCAGCGGTCCATCATGAATAAAACAGGAGATGAAAAGCGTGGCGCTGTTATTGCATCACGGCAAAAGGTATTTTTTGCGAAGTTGTTTGTTTGCATGAATGTCATTGACCATACGACATCTGAAAAGTTTGGTTTACTGACTGCTTTTAATTATAAAAAAAAAAAAAAAAAAAAAAAAAGAAACTCGAACGGCTTGCGGGTTACAACAAGACAGAGAGTGGAAAACGATTTAAACAATCTTACCATGCTGGATTCCATCATAATATGGGGCTACTTATTGAACGGGATGTGCCGGAGCCTCCGGTAACAATCCCTCTGCCGATACCCAAGGAGCTTCGTGGCAACCCCACGACCTTGTTATCTCTCAACAACGTAACTTTTTCCTATCCCGGAGCTACTACCCGAAAGTCTGGTCCCGTGGTCCAGAATATCAATCTTTCTCTTCATCAATATTCTCGAATTGCGCTCCTTGGACCAAACGGGTGTGGAAAATCTACTATCATCTCATTACTTGCTGGGGATTTAACACCTACCTCAGGGACAGTGGAACGGTTCTCTTCATTGGTCAATATCGGATACTTCTCTCAGCACAATGTAGATAAACTGGATGGATACACTGCCAAGTCAGCAACACAGTACCTTATGGATACTTTTCCTGATGACTATAAGAACCCGGAGATGGCACGGAAATATCTTGGATCATTCGGTGTTGCAGGCCAGATTGCGCTATTGCCCATGTCCTCATTATCGGGTGGTCAAAAAGCACGAGTTGCCTTGGCTATTTGTGTTCAAGGGGGACCACAAGTTCTGTTGCTGGATGAAATCACAAATCATTTAGACATGGCGACGATTGAAGGATTGATTGTGGCGCTCAAATCGTTTGCAGGAGCTGTTGTACTGGTATCTCATGATGCCTACTTTGTGAAGTCTGTTTGTGAAGAGGATGAAGATGACGAGTTTTTCGACGATGAGGAGGACCAAGCTTTAAATGAGGAGGAAGCCGGGGTCGTGTACCGTGTTAAGGGTGGAAAATTGATCAAGATGGAAGGAGGTGTGGATGAATATGTCAGAAAGGTTGTTGCAGAAAATAAGAAGGGTATGCGTGCTGGAACCGGAAGGCCAATCTAAAGCGGCGACTTTTATTTCTTGGTTTGACAACATTTTGCACTTGTATACAATCATAATTTGTACAGTACACTTACATCTCTGCATTGTTTTCTATATAAATTTAATTATGGAATAAAGTCGATTTGCAGTTGATTCCAAAGATATGAAGTCCTCATAGTTGGGCAACCTTTCTACAGCCCTACTTGATTGAATGAGCAGTAGTCGTCTATAAGAAGAAGTTGACGACAACAATCAAATACCATCAAAACAAGTGATAAGGAGTTCCTTTCTGGGCCGAAAACACACTTTGATAATTTTTATTGTTTCTTGCTTGTCTGGCTTTGATGTGAAAGCATTCTGGCCTGCCCCATTGTTATTGTTTTTGGTACTGCATTTCAATAATGCAGAGTGGCTAACTACAACAAGGTCTGTCGTAAAGGGATCATTGATCTTATCTTATCCTTTCTTTTTTCTAATGTTTATTGTTTTATTGTTGTTACAATTGTTACTGTTGTTTGGTCTTGTGCTGGTCATATCCAGGGGTTTCATTCATCCTCTTGAGATTTGTTGTTTGCATCGATTGCTTGGCTGGTATGAATCTTATCACTCACTTGTCCTTTTATATCCATAGTCTTAGCTTTAATAAACCAACTTTTATGACCTAGACACAGTATCCATCCAAGTTATTTTTTTTTATCCTCTAGTTTAAGCCTAAGCAGTGTTACATCAGGAACAACTCTGTTTTGTATGCATTACGTTGCTTTGTTTATCTGAGCCTGTTTTCATTGTTGTAGACCCCCTGCTTTCCTGCCTGTGTTCAGATACAGATCCGTTACGACATTGATCCATCATTGACTTTTCTACTGAGAACTTTGCGCGCATTTTATTCTTTCTCGAAGTCCACTCTCTTTCTTTACTGTCCATTTTAGTTAATGTGTTTGTCCCTGAATAATCGCCTTTAAAATTCACACCGAATTTCTTAATTGTCACTCCTTCTCTCTTCTCTCTCTTTTTAAACCTCTGTTTCCTCATTCTTAACATCATTTATTAATATACCACATCATCACGCCACAAAAGTCCGCGGACTCGAATATTCACCCCCCCCTTCCCCCTCCCCCATCTTTGCCTCATACCACTACCTACACACAGACTTTTTTTATCTATCTCTCTCTCTTTCTATCTATCTATCTATTTATCATTTTATCTATTTCATTGGCAAGAAAGCTTTAGATTGTGCCATCTGTATTTTTCCTTTCACGATGGAACACGGACTTCCAGTTGTCTGCACTGTCAGAGTGATCTACGCCTTCACGGCAAAAGAGGAAGGCGACCTTACTATAAACAAAGGTAATGTCATTACATCTCATTTCCAATGACATGCATTCGGCCAAATTGGATGAACTTGTACTTTATATATTGGTTGTTACTAATAATTAATTAAATAAAATGATTCTACGTGAATAGGTGACATTATCAAGGTGCATGACAATGGTAAGACAAACGCCGAAGCGTGGGATCCTTCTCTGCTCATTAGTGCATAGATTTAATGCAAATATGACATAACAGTCTAACACTGCTAATTCTTTTAAATTGTTGCAGATGGTGGATGGTGGAAAGGCACTCTTCTTCCCGACGGTATTTATGGCAACTTCCCCTCCAACTTTGTTGAAGTCATGTAAGTCTATCAATTTAACGTTTTTGGATGCGAACAGATTGCATGCTGTATGCTGTTATCATTACTTTTTTATTTTTTATTTTTTATTTTTAATATTCTGATTATCTAACTTCTCGAGCTCTACTCATCACAGTAGCACAAATGACGATGATTCAGAAAGAAGTTCGCCCCGCTCACAACCCCAAAGCTATCGGCGACAACACTCGCGTCAAAGTTCTGTTGATAGCTCAAAGTTTACAAAGCGCAAACCTGTCAATACAATGTTGAGCAATACGAATGGTACAAATAAGACAGGGCTAACCAGCAGTAGTGCCTCACATTTACCTTATTCTGGATCTACTAATGCATCTAGTATTTCTCTCGGCGGTATGTAGATATCAGCACCCTTGGGTTGTTGCCTTAGGTTCACCATAAGATTCAAAAAAAATAGTCTGCAGTAAGTGGCTAATCTCAAGCATTTTGAATACAAATAGCTACATCCAGAAAGAACCCACAAGCAATCATTGGTGACTCGGGTCTATGCACAACTCTGCCAGGGGCATTTCCAATTGCATCAGACACTGAGAAAGAGCCATATCTTGATTCTCCAGGGATTCAGAGTGATGCAGACTATCATTTAGAGTACACTTCAAACCAACGAAGAAACAGTACTAGCTCTGCGTTAATGGATCCATCAAGTCCTGTTCATACGACGACGTATGCTGCAGCTGAGAGCGCGGTTAGGCAAGTATCGAACCGCTATTCAATGCCTAATTTAACGGATGATACAAGAACGCAGCAACGACATCATCCACAACATCGTTCAAGAGACTTCACTCGGCCTGCGTCTGCCATGTACCTCCAAGAGTCTGACATGGGAAATAAGAACTCTTCAAGTATATGGCGTGGTAATTCATCCGGTGTCAGCCTTGCCGCATATAGCGATTATGGTGACTTCCAAAACCAGGAACTTCAGGATGATCAGGATTATTCAGAAGAACAGCACCATGTTGAATCTGAAATATTACCTACGCAACAATACGATTCATTTGCCGGAGCACCCGTGCAAGGACATACCAACGAGAGCCTTCGATACCGACCAAGCTATAGGCACAGTGGTGTATCCACCGGTTCAGCTCCGTTTGATTATGCTCCACAACAACATCAACAACAGCAGCAGAGTATTTACTCAACCAATTTATCAGAATTATCTCTGGAAAATCTCGCTAAGCATAATCGCTCCCAAGGAGCATTGGATAAACCCAAGTCTCAAGGAACGTATGGCGGCGGTCATCGGCGTAATTTGAGTCAGGTTAGTTTAAAGCCCGAGGGAAGTGCCGCATTTAATCCCTACGATCATCAAGCACAAATGTATCAAGCAGAGCACCAGTCAACATTCCCAGTGTCAGCGCGCCGCTCGTCTTTGCCACGGGCCCCAAGCATTGTGATCCCGCAACCGAAAGCACGGCCCCACTCGGCTTATGCTCTTTCTGCCCCGTTTCAATTTTCCCCTACAGAGAGTTCGCCGTCAAGTTATAGTGCAGCTCAAATGCATCAGCTATCAAGGTCACCTTCATCCTCTGCTACAGCGGACTCGAAAGGGACTGCAGAGACTCTATCGAGTGGAGGTACGGCTATGTCTGGAGCTTCCGCTATTGGGACAAGGGACGTCAGGCGGAAGAGTGAAACAGCCCGGATGCCTCAGAGTAATTTAATGACTGCATCAAACTTCGCTACGAGGAGGTTTTCAGTCGATGCCAAGGATCCCCTGACCTCTGCTTCAGTAGTGGGAGTATCTGGGACAGGGGAGTCAGCCGCTGGAGATAAAGCAATGGATGATGCATCAATGTCTGAAAATCTTGAGTCTTTAGGCGCCTACACCGCTAAGAAACCCAAAGCGTCACTAATGCGTGCGTTCAAGCAGATCCTTAATCCCAAAAAAGTTGCCGAAAAGGACGCAATTCGTAATAAGAATGAGCATTTTGCCTGGATTGAGATGCAAAAGAGCTTGAAGCGGGTTCACTCTCCAGAACCAGGCAAGGAGGATACCCAATTTTTCGCTGATGAGGATAGTGCTCAAGAGAATCAAGATCCATTCGAAATAGTGAAGCGGTGCCAGCCGATGAGAGATAGCCCTCCTGTTCCTGGTGGCATCACTTCAAACAACGCTCTCGAGCTTGGACCTAGTACGTTTACTCAGATTGACAAAGTTGCCAGGAATGTGAACCAGCGTGGGCCACATATGACGCCACAACTCTTGTCGCAAAAGTACCTGACACGCCCCTATTCCAAGTCTCCATTATCCAAACTACGTGTCTTATTTATCTGGGTTAGTGAAAACATTAAGCTTGAGGGTGGTCCTGGTCGAGATGTCTCTGGTGGACGATACAAGTTGGGGCCAGCAGATGAGCATATGGCGGCCTTGAATACCATGGCAAATAGCAATGGTATTGCTGCAAGTGGCTCGCATGTCCTGCGTTCCGGTGCTATGGCACCACTTCCAGCGGTGTTCATGGAAGGCGTGGACGACTACGTGCGTGGATTTCTTCAAGAAGACATGCCAGAGCTCGCTCAGGATGTATTGACAAGCAGAACATGCAAGACAGGAGAGGGTTTTGCAAATCTATTTGCAGAAATGGCGCTGGCTGCAGGTATTGAGGATGTGGGTGTTGTGAAGGGTTATATCAAAGGTCCTATGGATGTTTTTTCCAAAGATATCCCAGCGGCCAACCATGCATGGAATGTGATCCGTATTGATGGCACCTATCGATTTATTGACTGCTGCCTTGCATCTCCAACTCATCCAGCCCATTATCCTAATAAGCCTCAGACAGCTTCATCGTTCTACTTCCTAACTTCCCCAACTGAATTGGTTTTGACTCATTTCCCCATGTTTTTGAGCTATCAATACATCAGTCCATCGATCCCGCCACAGGTATTTCTGCAGCTCCCTTTTGTGAGGCCTGCCTTTTTTGAATTCGGATTGAGTCTTCCGGATTTCAAACGTCGGACAAGGCTGGAAATCAAAGACGATGAGACTGTTGAAGTCTTTATCCGGATTGATGGTGGAGGTCCTTCGAGCTCTACAGCGCTAAGCACGGGTGGAGGGCATGTCGCAAGGCTATTTGGGGGGGACTGCTTAGGTAAAGGTTGTGGAGAAGGCATTGAGCTACGAGCTGAGGTGGAAGCCATGAATTCGGAAGGCAAACTCATTAGAAAACGTGCTCTTGCACAGATTGTGATCTGGAATCCTTATCAGCATCGCAGTAGCCATAAGTCCACACAGCCGCAGAAACAACAACTTCCGCGGAGTCAGATACCTGTGCCACAAGCTGGATCAGCGCCTTCAACGATTAGCGCTGCCAGTGGTGCACGTCTAGCAGCATCGATTGCAGCAGCTAGCAATAAGTTGTATCAGCCACACCATTGCACAGGTATTAGGATCGCCAAGATCAAAGCTGTTCTTCCCCCTGAAACTGTTGAATGTCCTGGCGGAGTCAGGAAGGGAGTTATCCATATTTTTGCAGGGCGCAAAGTGGACCATGTAAGTGGCAGTTAGTGGTCTGTTCTAAGAAGTCCAATTTTAAGCGTGTGATCTAATATTGCCTCAATTCAATTGTTTTTTTCCCCTAGGCGCCAAGTAATGCTACTCCGTATGCACTAGCACTCACCCTCCCTATTCATCACATTGGAACTATTCCGAAAACTCCACTCAACTTTGTAGTTCCACACTTTTCGCCTTATGAATTTTATGTAAAGTCTCCACAGACAGAGTTCCTCTATTCCCCACACACCTACAAATTCTGTATCCTTTCCCTAGCTGCTCAGGCACAGGCTTCGGTTGCATCAGCTAATGCGATGGCGCTCACAGAAACGGAGGCTAGCCTGGGGTCATGTACTGGAAGTACCAATGGCTCGAATCTTCCTATTGCAGCTACTGGTGGAGCAACTGCAGCTTCTTCCAAGACTGCGGGAGGTAGCGTCGGATCATCCGCAGTAGCCCCTGTCAACAATAAACCTCAAAGGCAGCCAACATTCAGAGCAAGAAGCAGTCCAAATGCGCAAAGTTTAGGTCTATCTGGTTCACGCAATATGACGCCGTCGTCAAAGGCTTCCACAGGAACAACCACAACTGCATCTCATACGGTTAACTCGGGCTCGTTGCGAGGCTCCAAGAACTATGCGTCTGTGCTGAACGCTATCAATAATCCAACAGCTGGAACTCTTATCCCAAGGCCAGAGCGTCTTGTCCTGAGAACTCAGACAAACAAAGTTTACAAACTTGTGTATAACCCAGTGAGACATTGCCATGAAGCCCAAATTGATATTAAAGAGCGTGGTGTTTGGGAATGCGTGCGTATGGACGATGGAGGCAAGAATCGTGTGGGACGAGAGGGCAGTGGCGGCGTGGTAATTGCATCTTGGAAATGCGTTTAAACTAGAATGCTCATATCCTATCCAAAAAGACGGAATAAACCTTTCCACACTCTAAAACTAGTATATGAAGGCGTTTAAGTTCTATTCATCAAGGAATATCCTCGGGTTGTTCCTGAATATTGAGCTACACGGGATAAATTTTAGTAGCTCTAAGTAGTGTACTGAACAAACGAACTTGGAATAAATTTTTATTATTATTTACTTAAACATCGGTAAATTTCCAGTAAAAATCGGTAAGTATATACTTACTGAAATTTACTTTTTTTTTTTTTTACTGATGTGAATGTTTATCATACAAATTTCAGTAAGTACTTACCGAGTTTTACTTCAAGTTAAGTAGTCGCCTATCCTTTCAGAATACATTGTTGTCCTGAAGTGGACACTTTATTTGCTTTCTGTTGAGGACACGGCAGGTTAAAACTGGATGGCTTTCCATGAACATATCGGCTATCCGCAAACATTTCGGCTATCCGCTTCAAAACATCACAAGCACTTCAGGATCAATCTTACCTTTACTGATGTTTCTACCATGATAATCATGCTAAGCCTTGACTTGGTTAGCGGAGTCTTTATCCGAGAAGGAGCACGATTTGCAATATGATGTGAAATTAATACCAATGACTATTTGGTGGTACCCCAGTTAACTTTCAGAATAGACCTCATTTTGAGATTGAAAACCTTCTCTCCGTATCAATGCTGTTTTTTATCGCTAAAATCCTCGGTTGTCCTCAAGATCTCGGGATAAAGTATCTCCTATAGCTCTATGCGCATCTATGCCTATTCGGATGCGCGCCGTCGCCAAGGTAATGACGTTGACAGATTAAGCAGTATCTCCATCTCCTGATTGGCATTTTTTTCTTTCACTTTCTTTTCCTCCAACTTTCTGCTCTTCTAGGTTATCCCACCATTCTGTCTCTTAGTTCTCTTCCTAATGTTGTTCTTCCTTCCAGGCAGAAAGACTTTTATGCAATCTTCAATGTTACTCAGAAAAGTATAAAGCGAGTCACGTGCATCATCCAGCGCTTCTCCTTACTTTTGTCTTTTACCTTTCTGTAAATCTCTCTGTTGTCCAAATTGTGTAAAGAAAAACTATTGTCCAAATCAATCGTAAACAGCATTATGTCTCACTTCAAAAATGCCACCAGCGAATTCAAGAAGCGCCTAGCTGATCAGCCCGTCATCAGACGTGCAGTAGTTACACCATTACTAGCACAGGATGATGGACCTATCTACACAGGTTCTAATGCCAATCCTAACAATAACGGATTACAAGTGTTCAAGTCAAGCAAGAAGAGGAAGGCGGAAGGTGCATATGAGAGCGATGAACTACCAATCATTGGAATATTACCCTTTTTTTCTCTCCAGTAATACTGATTTGATGCATTTTCTTTTAATAGTATATTCTCAACCACAAGAAACTGGGGCGGGAAACCATATAAATAGTTTACTCCTCAATGCGATCAATTTCTTAAAAGTACTTTTGAGTATTTTTTTTAATGAAATTACGGATTGTTCTGGCTTCATAGTGATAAATGCTAATGCTGACTATTTTTTTATTTCCATATGTTAATAGACATCAGATGAGCCACAATCTGTAGAGGATTTGAAACGTAAAGGAAATATTGACCTGGAGACAAAACCAAGACTGTATGAGTTGCTCAAATCGAATGAGAAAGTAGCATATGATGAAGTCAATAATACATTTGTATACAAGGTACGTTGCTATTATGCTTCGTATCCCAATAGCTGCTGAGCGCGAGAGCAAATTATCTGACAGATAATACCATGATACATTAGCCAACGTATCAGATCAAAAGCAAGGAGGATCTTCTTGCAATGCTCGAAAAAAGGAAAAATGAAGGAGGTATGGACTACAAGGAGCTCAAGGACTCGTATTCCAAACTGCCACAGGCAGTTCAGGAACTCGCTAGTGAAGGACGCATCTTGGTGGTAAAGAATAAGGATGGGCAGCCAAGGGTACTTTTTTGGAACGATCAACGCTATAATACAGCTATGGATCCAGGTATAGTTATATGATCAACAACTCATTTTTGTAACAGAATGTTCAAGTGCTGAGTACTTGAGGATGTAGCAAGGAGTGGTGTAGCAAGTGGCTAAACACATCCACTTTTTGCATTCACCCTCCTTGATCCACCTCTGTTTGCCTTCCTTTATTTCTTTACTCCCTGCTTCCTTTATCCTCCTAATTATCCTTTACAGAGTTTCGAGAAATTTGGCACCGCTTGCGAATTCCGGACGAGATTGATCTGCCTAAGGAATTGGAGAAGGCTGGTTTGACTCATATGCAAGTGTTTGATAAGAAGGGACCAGGTGAAGTTCCAAAACGCAAGCAAGTGCGTAGGAATCGAAAAATGAAGATTACTAATACACATATGAAGGGTCTGGATCTCACTAAAGATTTCGTAATTCAAAAGTAACAAGGGTAAATAAAGAGCAAGAACAAACGAAAACGGGAGCTTTTTTCATTTTAACGTCATGTCATGCCCTGAGACAGCGAGAAAAATTGAATAGATAATAATAATAATAACAATATTTTTTTTTTTTTTTTTTTTTTTTTTTTAATTTTCTTTATTTCAAATACTCTTTCACTGTTTGCATAAGCTACAGCTTTTCTCAATTGATATTTTTTTTATTATTTTTTTTTAAAGGATTATTTATACTACATTTAATATGAACTTGAGTTTCCAGTGGATCGGAGTTTTGATGCTACCATTTCTCGCATTTCATTGATAATCTTGTTGTCTTTTTTGATTTTCTCCTCTTGATTGAACATCATGAGGGCTCGCTTCTCTTCTGCACTGATAACTTGGTTTTCCTTTCGAACACGCACAGCGTTCATGCGTTGATGTCTATTTTTTTTTAAAAAAAAATTAAATGTTAAAATCTGTCAATACTGACATGTCATAAACATGTATTTGTGTGATATTTTGAAAAGCTAAATAGTTCACGTACCGACTGCCACTCATTACAAATCCTGCGCTCTCATAATTCTGGATTTGTTCGCTTTCCAGGCCAATTTCTCCACGACGAGGAATACGTTTGCCTTCTTGCACATAGGCTGCCATCGCAGTACCTTCACCAGCCCTAAGCGCTCCGCCGTAACTACGCTCGTTCATCTTAATATCATTCAATTGCAAAGGCATAGGACCAACCTCTTGATCATCCTCTGGTAACTCCACTTTTTTTTCAACCCACATATCGTCAGGATATTCATTATCACCATACGCTGTTGCCACAGATACTTTGGATGGATCAATATCACTACGTGAATGTGCAGAGGTGGACGAGCCACGACGGTCGGCCGATTGGGAAGGGATTTGTTCCATTGAATCTGCCTTGGTAGGGCTTGAACTACGTCTCCTCGAAGAACGTCTGCTACTCCTGTGGCTCTTGTGACGAGATCGGCTCGATTTTCTATGTTTTCTCGATTTAGACGATTTATGGCGTCGCTTACGATCCGAATCAGAAGCCTCAGTTCCTGAGTCACTATCAGAGTCTTTAATAAATACAATTGCGAATAGTTGTTAGTGACTAGGACTTTTTTTTTTTTATTAAAATAATGTCGTCAAGGTTAGGTTCATAAGCCATACATGATCTCTTAGACTTTGATTTAGACGGCGTTTTCTTTTTAATTTCTCTGTCTGGCGATGGTGATCTGTTACGAAGCTCGTCCTCAGTAGGCGAAGGTGCCCAGATCGAAAAGTTGATCGCTAGTCGTTGCTCTCGGCGGCTGATTCAACAAAAGCAAGAAATGATTATTTATCATGACTCTATTGATCATTACATTGTACCCAATAAGTCCTTCCAACTTTTAGATTTTTCAATTAACTTACCTGTTGGAGTATTCAGGTAGCATGTTCTGTGGTCTTCGTCCCCTTCTGTAAGGCTCATCACGGCGTCTCTCATCCCTAGAGTCATATCCGTGATCATTACTTCTATCGTGTTGGTCTCGGCCTCTTAGATCTTCCTGATTTCTGTCTCGCGGTTGGTAGTTGTCATAACTTGGACTTCGTCTCGTCCTGCGCCTCTCCGGCTCATAATGAGAATATAAACCTCTGCTGTTCCTTCCACGATGAGGCGATCTTGATTGAGACCGAAATGTACTGCGTTGGTAATCTCTTCGTCCGTCATCATGCTCGTCATCAGCCTCGATCCTTCTATAGTCTGCATTATTAAAATTTCTATCCTGATTACTATCGCCATTACGCTGCCTACTTGAACTTTCATGTCGATACCGACCTAAGCTCCTGTCACGGCGATCTGTACTTGGATTTCGTCTAGAGCCTCGCCGTTCTTTCTGCATCTCTTGTTTTTGAGTTCCTCCTGATTTAGGCTCCTCTCGGTTGCTATGGCCGTTTTCAGTGTCACGCTGAGTTTTGGCATTTAAAAGCATATTCCGCAAAGTGTCGGCTTGCGTTGTTGGCGAAAGTGAACGTCTGCGTTCGACTACTGTAGAGGATTCAAGTGACATGAAGGATCTTTGAAATGTTGGTTACTATACTAGAAAGTGATTGATGGATGGACCGCCCAGAAAATGAAAGGGAGTTGAAAAAAGAGCCAAGCAGCAAATACGATTTTTATTTTAGTGACAAGTAACAAACAAATCAGTGGTTGATTTAGAATGCGGTGGATAGCACTTTTACATCTCGCTCTATCTGCTAATATTGTGTGCTATTGTCTCTAATACCGACACAACCGCTCCTCGACGCAAACCTTTCGCGAAATTTAGACAACCCATTACTGCAGCTCGCTTTTGTTCCTTATTCCAATTCGGTGCCTCATTAATTTGCCAAAGAAGATTGATAATGGTTCCTTCGTTATAGCCTATAATAATAATATGTAGTGATTAGGACACATCTCAATCAATCTGTTTACCTCAAACATGGGATTAAATCAGTACATACCTTTAGGTCCCTTCTTGAGTTGTGCGACAATTTTATTTTTGATTTCGGCTGGTGTCTTTTGAAAACTAATGTGCTCTTGTTGTAACGATAAGACCTGCTCCTGTGCTACAACATATTCTTTGTCCAGGTTGCGAGCTTCCATAGAGCAAGGGTCATTCAATTCAAAGGTTGAAGAAGTGATTACTGGAGCGGAAGTTGAAGGAACAGGTTTTCCTTGCCTTGGACTGATTGATGCATCGTCCAACACCATACTTTCCAACGGACTTCGCATAAGTGCCAAGGAAGCCTCTGCCGATACATTCCCCTCCAATGATACAGGAATAGTGACCGTTTCAGAGCTGTGAATATTATTCTCAGCTGAAGGTGAATAGAGAATAGGCACTGGCGTAAGATTTTGGGAGGACTTCGACAAGTTGCTCTCAGCATCTGTGGCAAGAGAAATGTGTTCCGACTCACTGTCGCCATGCATTGAAAGATCATATGATGTTGGTCGTACTGGAAGCATTTCAGTGGTAGTTTGGGGCTCAGTACGTTCTGGGATCGTATGTGGTATGGACTGCAGCTCTAACGATGCTGTTGGATCATATACAAGACCTTCGAACACTGGTTTGGCGACTTCATCAGTATGTTCTGGATTTCCTTCGCGCTCCTGCCGATTGTCAACCCTTTCGTGCTTTAAATGATTGGCTGTTACTCCATCTTTACTCTGATACAGACTATCCGATTGAGAGTCAACAATGTCATTTAAGGTCATGGGTATAATCGGTGGTGGAATCAAGTCTTGTGCGTGCTGAAGCTCCTCCATTTCCTCATCATCATCATCCAGACCCATGCCTCCTGGCATCGGCGTATCGGCACGAAGGCGCGCTGTTTCGTCTTCGCCATCAAGCTCCATTTCATCAGAATTGAACATAGCCCTCCTGAAATCATCATCATCCTCATCTTCGTCCTCTCCATCATGCATAACCATATGTAACCCAAGCCCTTCTGTAGAATCCACAATAGACTGAACTTTTCCAGAGCCATGTTGAATCATGATGTTCAGCAATGGCATGGCTGTTTTCCCGCTAGGAGCCCCAAATGATACCACAAGAGTCTTAGTCGACGTCGATCGATCACTCCGGGCCAAACTCGGGACTTTCTCAATTGGAAAATGTGAGGGTGATACAGAACGTCGTCGTGGTCTCCTCTTCCTACCTAGGATTGATGACCATGACGAGCCACCTGAACTGCTATTGGTTGACAATGATTGACCAGCAGCAGATGCTTCATCTTCTTCATCAATTGAAACCTTTTTATCTTGTTTGTAGGGATTACCAAACATTGTCCGCTGCAATGACTTGACTGACTCCTCATCTCGGAACGGATCCCGAAGAGTTTCTTGCTGGATCTTTTGCATACGATCTTGATAAATCCCCATATCAGCGATTGGTAATGAATGAAGATCATCAGAATCCACAATAGAATCCAGTTTCAAAGCCGCGGTTCGCATGACACCCGACGTTGATCTTGATGCAGATGGTATCAAAGAATGGGAAGTTTCTGATGCATATGCCAATGTGGTAGAGATAGAAGTAATTTGGAGATCTCTAAAAAATGCACGTTTCATATCATCAAGTACAGGGATCAGCTCAGAACGAGGGACATCGAATGCATTGCCACAAAGCGTCTTCTTCTTAGGACCCACAGCATCAACAGGAGCTATTGCTTCTATGGTCAGAAATCTGTCCAGTTCAGCTTTGGCCTAGGAAAAAATAAAAATAAAAATAGACAACACATGAGCCTTGGGTGACTACGCATGGGTTTATCAAAAATCATGAAGCTCTTGTGATTTACCTGTATCTTGTTTTTGCCAAGGATCTTGAGAACTGCCTGGCTCATCATGCCTTGGTCAGGTTGTATGACATTGAAAAGACCTATCCGCTTGAGAGCGTTTCTTAAGGGCTGCAGTAACATCGACAATATTGTGAGTGATGTGCATCCTATATGAATTAAAATAATGGCATTTGAATGATTCTTACTGAATAGTAGTATGAAGGCGTATGGCTAAGGTATTCCGCAAAATCTCGAAGCCATTCAGCCGTCGGTGTCCGGCTCGGTATGGAGTTCAAATTTACTATCATTGATTCATTATTTCATGTGAGATTGATACTCAGGGAGCTGCTGAATAAAGAAAAGTAGCAATCAATGCAAACCACAATGTAAACCTTAGCGATGTCGTTATACCAAGTAATGTAAAAAGCGCAGGGTAATTATAGGCGACCACTGTTAAAGTCACAGCATTCTTGCTAGTATTTGCTTTTAGGAACCCAAAAGGGAATCCAAATCCCTCAGTTTTATAGCTATTCTTGATATAAACCTAATATAAAAAGGAAAAAAAGAAAAGTAAGATTATATTAATATACAGCAAATCTCAAAATGAAGATATTAGCAAATTATATGCATACTGGCCAACATGTCCCTGGGGATCGTGTGAGGAGTTCCTGAGTCATTGGACATGGAGCAACAACGTATTTGTCGTATGGAAAACCATCCGGTATATCAATACACTTTTCCTCCTTGGTGTGGTAGTGAATAGTAGGTTGCGCATTACGTGTTGGGATCCGCTGGGCATCGATCTCTGGCCAGAAAGGCTCTGGAATCGGAAAAAAGCCCGGGTGACGCGATTGAGGATTAAGCCAGGAGGGATTCACATAAATTAGCTGGTGGTGATTGGCCGTATTGGGTCTTCGTGGATCCACTATTAAGATGTATATATGAGAATCGTGTGGTCAGCAGCAGCACAGCGTATGTAGCAAAGATGTTTTCTTTCGGGGTTTAATCTTACCTATTAAATCCTCAAAGTTCACCACAACACCATATATATGAAGGACAGCCTGTGGAGAGTATTGAGTTGGGGGGATTTTGCTCATCCCTAGCATGCAATCCATGGCTTGAAGCATGTGCCGGAGTGTCCGCACACGATAACTTGTCCCTAGAGAATATGCCGCCGTTGAATATTAGAGTCAGTAACAAAGGTACATAACGCTGAAGATGTCCAAGAGCAAGTTTCCTGTTGATTGCATTTATGCATATTCTTGTCTATTTTCAGAATAGAACTGGCTTTGCTGATAAAGGACAATAACTTGCACAATCATACCACCCATTACTGTGCTTAAAATGCTGAGCTGCGGGTCCACCGTTTCAGTGTTGGGTTCCAAAAAAACTGTATACAATCTTTGGTCCCATCGAAAAGGCTCATGATAGTAATCAACCCCAGCTGTCGTGATTCCTGGAATATTGAGCTATTATGAGGTAGATAATCAAAACGGGGGTTAATACATCCTTCAAAAACAGCTCAGATGCTATACATACTGACAGTCGGTATGATCAATCATCCGCAAAATACACTGTACTCTATCTAATGTCCCCGAGGCTGAGGATTGCTTTCCGCCGTCTGTGAACCATAAGATAATTGTGGGCTCAATGGTGCCAGGGAATCGACCCTATTAATTGAAAATTAGAAAGTCGTCTTTTTTTAATTCATCATGGGAAAAACGCGGGGTTTGCATTGCATGCACATTTGCTTACACTCTGAATGGCTTACACTTCCTGGCGTATCTATTCCATGGTAGATGCGATAGACATTGAGCAAATCAAATATCGTCGAAAGAGACGATCCTGGATTGGAGATGTCGTTGGCTTTCAGCACTTTGAGTTCTTTGATCAGGTGTGATAAAGGGTCCTTCAATGATGACTATTTTGAGTCGTAAAGCTTATAATCAGCACACACAGCAGATGAGGCGGCATAACTTGATGATAACGTGCCTACTATGTCCATATCTACCTTCACACATCCAGGGCCTTCTTCGTATGTGACCAACATGAATTTATCGTTATGTTTCTCAGCGGATTTTACTTGTGGTAGATGCTACATAAAGCACTCATGGTGTCATTAGTAGGGACGTTGGAGGACTACGAAAAGAAATAATCAGTGAAAGGCGGAACAATTATGGACGCAAGCAATGACAAAATGTCAATGTTAACTCATCTGTCATGCTTCCTTTACTTTAACGAGATGTTCAATACCAGACTTGGTACATTCCAACGCTGACATTCCGCTCGAGAACTTTTGGTTCATCGACGCACTCGTGTCGACCAAGAACACCACAATCATGATGTTTGATAGCTGCACTGCTGGCAGACAAAAGAACAAAAGGATGGCCCTTGATTGCATTGATGCAACAGCATGCAATAAGTAGATCACATAAGCCACCTAGCGACCGCACCAAGCGTTTTTTTTTTTTTTTTTTTTTTTTTTTTTAGCATTATTATGGTCAATAACAGCACATTATCACCATGGCGACTGAACAGAGAACCTATAAAAGACTGAAAGAAACCCGACGTCTGGCCAAAAAGGTTGCGCCGGAAAAGTCATTCGAATCTGAGTCAGAAGATGAAGAGATTGAATGGATTGGGGAACCACTCAATAAAGAGACATTCTTGCGTAGAAAGCCTATCGATAGGGATAAAAACCATAGCATTGCCGACAGTCATAGTAGTGGGCTAGAGCGGATCCCTTTGAGGAGGGCTACTCGCGGTTCTGGTTTTTCTAATATCCCATATTATGGCGGGTTTAAGAAAGGTCGTACGACCTATTTCCTTGGTGACACTGTCCTTCTCCGAAATAAACAATACTCGGGAAAATATGAGTATCCCCATGTGGCACAGATACTGGAACTGTGGGAGACTGAGGATGGAGGGCTCGAGGGTAATTTTCGGTGGTTTCATCAGGCTGAAGATATCGCCAGATTGAGGAAACATCAGCGCAAAGGAAATTTCCCACAACAACTTGAGAAGGGTGAAATTGTGTATTCTCTTGATGATGACAAGAATGAGATCAGTACTGTCATTGCGAAGTGTCAGGTGCTAAACGAACGTGATTGGCAGCAGCGTCTCGGCCAGGAACAGGCGAAAGTTCAAGATCATGAGGAGAGCATGGTGTGGTTTTGCAGAGGCCTGGTCAAAAGAATGACAGGATATCACACTATGGATTGGATGGGCAATAATGAAATGATGGCTCTAAAAGAGGAGAGTGTAGCGCAAGTGAATAAAACACCCTCTAATGATTTTTCGAAAACCAAGCAAATGCCTCGAAAGGTCATCAAATCATCCTCAAAACATAAGATGGGCACTATTAAAATAGACAGTGCCTCAGAGGAAGATTCAAATGAATATCAAGCAGTAAGTCTGTTATATAGCAAGCACTTTGGCCACGAGTTCTAACAAAATGAGGCACCGCTAATCTCTTTGCATTCCCAAAATTAGAATGCCAGTGATGAACAGAGCAACGAGAGTGAGAGCGAGAATGATAATTCTAGAATGAAGAGGAAGAGAGGCCCTGCCAAGAAAAAGGCCGCAACTGTAGCGAACGTGCGAAAATCCGCTATCATCTCTGTCTCTTCAAAACATACTGGGTATGGAAAAATGCGTAGGATACAAATGCGATCAAATTATGATGAAGTCTCTTCTTAATCTTTAAGTTTGTTTGCGATTCAGGTCCTCAACACCTCAAGTGCCAACAACCCACAGATCGATTTCAACTATCGTACCAAAGACTGATTTTGAGTTTGCGCGCAATCGCTTGCATGTAAAAGCCGTCCCCGATTCACTGCCTTGCCGAGAGGATGAATTCATGGAAATTCAGGAGCATTTGGAGAGTGCGCTTGAAGAAGGAACAGGCAGTTGCATTTGTAAGAAGATCAAGGAAGGTTTCGATTGTCTACATGTGAAGCGTTAACAAATCTAAGCTTACATTTTTTCCGCTTATCAATGTTTTCCATTAGATATCTCTGGAGTACCTGGGACTGGAAAGACAGCCACGGTACTTGAGGTTATTCGATCATTACAGGCGAAAGCTGATATAGGAGTAATGTATTTTTTTTTTCTTGAAAACCCATGTAGTCATTAATGAACATATGGGTCACTGTCACTCTACTTTTATTGATTTAAAACAAATGGTGATGAACAATAGGAAATATCACCATTCCAATTTGTTGAGATCAATGGAATGAAGGTTACGGAGCCATCGTATGCATATGTACTCTTGTGGATGGCATTATCAAATCAAAAAGTCACTGCAAACCATGCACTGCAGTTACTGGAAAAACAGTTCAGTACTCCGGGGCCTAGGAGATTACCATGGTATATAGAACAGAGTCCGGTAATTTCTTGGTAAAACCCTGTCATAGTGGGATTCAGACTGCGGCAAATGTTTTAACGTGGTTTATTGTGTAATAGCGTTGTATTGATGGACGAACTAGACCTGTTGGTCACTTCCAAACAAACCGTTATGTATAACTTTTTCGAATGGCCAAACTGGCAGCACTCCAGATTGATTGTAGTGGCTGTCGCAAATACAATGGACCTGCCAGAGCGCATGCTCTCCAACAAAGTGTCTAGTCGCTTGGGTAAATTACGATTCTGATCAGAACGCAAGACAATGATGTCGCAAAGCCACTCTAACCTGTTTTTTGATGAATAGGTCTTACTAGAATTAATTTTCAGCCCTACACTTATCAGCAGCTTGTTACAATTGTCGAGTCAAGATTGGAAGGCATTCGGGCGTTTAAAAAGGAGGCAATCGAGTTTGCTGCACGTAAGGTTGGCGCTGTTTCGGGAGACGCTCGCCGTGCTCTTGATATATGCAGGTAGAGCGCAATGTCATTATTCAACCAAGTACGAAAAGCTTTACCTTCATCCTGCATTTAGCTAAAGTTCTTCGCCATGGCCAACAATAGGCGCGCTGTGGAGATTGTGGAGAATAATGCACAGAAATTAGAAGAGCAGCGACGAAGGACATCTCAAAAGAATCCTTTCTTAGACTTAGGACCTGCTCCGAAACCAGAGCAGGTGACAATCCGTATAGTGGATCAAGCTATCAAGGAAATGTTTGCGTCGCCGAATGTCCGTCTTATCCAAACAGCTTCCTTGCATCAAAAACTATTTCTTGTAGCTTTGACCCTAAGGCTCCGGCGTCTTGGCTTGGCAGAAGTAGAGTTCTCAGAAATCGCACACGCACACCTGCAAATGTGTCGGCTTTATAACCTTGAGCTTCCTATGTTGAGCGACCTCTCAGCTATTTGCGCGAGCTTAGGATCTTCCAGGTGTCTGCTTGTTGAGTCTGGGAAACAGGATATTCATCAGCGCGTTCGACTTAGTGTCAGTGAAGAAGATGTAATGATGGCGTTGAAAACCGATCCGCTCTTCAAACGAGCCTTAAATACCCTATCCTCTTAGCATTATATTTGAAGGTGTAACTACTACTCAGTAAAATGTGGTTTCAAATGATTATGCATTTCCTAGACGTTTTGCATGCGCTCTGATCATCTCAGAACCGAATGAACGCGTGTGCGTTTGATGTAAGCATAGCAATTTTTTCTATCTATTGTTCTTCACTCTGTCGTTGTGATTAAGCAGTAGGAAGTGTTTTGAACGTAAAATTATAATATATACATCTGGGCTTTTTCCAAAAGTTTCATTGCCATTACTTATAAAAGTATCGCGGAGCACAAGATTGATATTGATCTTCATAAGCCTTCATCTTTGACCGTTACTTCAGTGTTGCTCTTTTCAGCCGTTAAAACGGGAACTAGGCTATCAAGCAAACATAACATCTTTTGAAGAGGTTTATACTCAAGGTACAGATAAGATTGTCATCACGACACTTTATACACGAATTTGCCATCGGCCACTATAGCACTATAGCTATCATTGCTTCTTTTTTTATCTCTTTAAAGATAAGGCTTTGGAGTATATACACGAGCACGAAATGTCCTCGACGTGGCTGCCATCAGCCCCTTGAGTTTGCAGAAAGGCAACCTAAGTTGTTGCTGTGGCCGCCATACTTTGTTAGGGATAGTGTCGGTCCGAGAAGATCGTTAATATCTGCTGCAGTCACCTCGAACTGCGCTGAGTTCAACCGCAAACTTAATGTTGAACAAGATAATCTTGAAGAAATTTATAAGCAGTCTTAGATATACTGTAGGGTAAAAAATGTATATTGCGAAAGGAGTCCACACCCACATAAATCTGGATGATGTGGTCATACCCATTCGTCAAATCCTCCTTTATTCATATTTTTCATAGTTGTGGTAGATACATGAATTGTGGCACTTTTCGCTTGAGCAGATTGAACTCGCAGATGAAAATCTTTCTTTGTTAGTACGATAGATGAGTCATACCTTCTAGATCTTCTTCAACGTACTGCTTTATATCAGCCATGTGTACTTCAAAGAGCGCGTTTGGTGCGATGACAAACGAAGAACTTAGTGAACCAATACTAGTAGAAGTCGCGTCCGGCTGGCTGTGACGGTTATTGATTTTTTTCCGTGACAGCGAATGAGGCAAACTCACTCTTTTGAAGGCAGGCTCCGGTATTGCAGAAAGTGCAATTTCCTCTTTACTGACATGAGGTGAAGTCTCTAGCGACGGCAATGGTTGAGAAGTATTAACTGATAAAACTAAATGCGGTTCTGTACTACTCGACGACCGTTCTAGACTCGAAAAAGGCAAAGGGGACAAAGAGGATAACGAGGATCTAACACTAGACTTTTTCTCGAAAGCCCCAACATGTGGTGTACTTCTGAAGCTATTGCAGCTCGTTTGTGAACTTCCTAGTTTGAGATACTTATAGGCTATATTGTCCTCTTTGGCATTGTTGGTTTGGTTTCTTGTTGTAAGGCAGTCCATGCTGGAATTCAACGAATACCTTCGAGAAACAGACGTATTTAAACCTAATGGATGTTAAAAAAAACGCCAGTAATAGAAAACCAACTAAAGCGTTTAATAACTGGGAGAGAAGCATTGTTATGAAGTGAGAACCGTCGAACATACCCATACTGTCGGAAAGCAATGTACTAGTTGTGTCAAAAACGAGTAGCTGATCAACGCAGTTCGTTCTTAATGCTTCACACAAATTGGTAGGCAGTGGCACATGTCTCTTACGATCTTGAATATGAGGTTTGATCCAAGTGGAAGTAGTATCAGCTTGGTGATGGTAGGCTTCCATGTAATAATTAGACATTGATGTTTTCTTTGCGTGTTCATGAAGGGGTGGTTGAGGTGCATCTGTCCTCAGTCAAAATATCGCAGACCATTCTGTTATTATAGAATTCAATATATATTTTCTTCTTGTAATAGGATGACTCGCTGCCACTAATACCTGTTAAATTGATCAAATTTGACATATTCTGTGAGCGAAGTCCTTGATTTGTAAATCTATTGTGCTGAACGTTTTCAAGCGATCCTCTGACACATGACTTAATGGCCCAAGGTGATTCCTCGTACATTCCACGGGCTGATGTACTTAGAAGATCCATTTGCCTTTCCGATAGCCGCCAGTTCTGTCGTCTCTGAGCTGTAGACCTGCCTGCGGCGCCCGTGGGCATTGAGTCATGTTCGGATTCAGCAGCGCTAGTATGGATTGGCATTAGTACGAAGGTGAGAGGCGAACGATGGACAGATGGCGTTGATGGCGAAATCTGTGCTTCGAGAGCTGGTGCGGTCAGACCCTCTCCAAAGTAAATCATTGTAGTATTTATTTTAGAAAGAGCAACAAGTTGGACCGAGTCTAATTTCACACTACAATAGAGGAACTTATCAAACTGAAGCGCATACACCTCTCTCAAAGTACTTCATAAACATGGCTATGAACTAGTCCAAGATATTATATAGTTCAAGTAATTTCTTGACACAGCCTCGAATGGTGTTTGACTTTTGGCGCGCGCTGAACGACAATCTTTCATCCAAGGATATGCTCCATTCTTGTCTGCCGACTGAAGGTAAAGAGGCTATTGGTAGAGTAAATGATCGCAGACGACATTGGCTATGTTGTGGCCGGCCATCACGTCTCTGTGTATAAATGCCTTGCACTTCGGGCAATAAACTCGACGAATTTCAACTTACCCCATAAATTCCTCAAAGCTAGGGCACTTCTTAGAAGTATAATACTCGCTCACGTCGACAACAATGTATCTAAGGGATCTGGTCTGGAAGAAGTGTGAATGTATAAATATCAGCTATAAGGAAAAAAAAACTCACCATTCGAACGGTGATTTGAATGTAAAGAAGAAAGCCTGGCATTGGAAGAAATTTTCTCAGGCCTACAGCAAACATAACCCTGCCGGCCTCTTTCCTTTTCGTTCCAATTGAATCACCAACTATGTTGAACAGACGATTGGTGACCTGACCGTATTCTTTATCCCAGGGCCTCTTCGCGTTCCACCAATACCTTTTAATGACTCTTTTCTTCTAGAAGGAACTGAGGTGTGTCTTCACTTCTGCAAGCTTGTCGATGTACTCTTTGATGCTTGCTCCATTGCCACGGAGAGGAGGTAGACTGCTCTTAATGTCGCTAATGGATTTTGTAGAGCCATCAATGGTTGCTGCTTTTCTTCGGTCTATCCATTTTACTCAATTTTAATGTCGCATGGCAGTTCTTGAGCTTTTCCCGGAAGTCGTCCCAAGGATATTTCCCACCATCCTGAGCTTGAAGTTAAGCAGCCTGAGAGCGCTGTCTTCTATTGATAAAAACCTTTATGGCAGTTGTGAAGCGTTCATAAGTTTCATTCTTGCTAGTAACATCTGGATGATTGAGATGATGTTTAACCGATTCTTTAGGATCTGTCAAAAAAAAAAAAAAAAAAAAAAAAAAAGAATGAGCGCGTTGAAGAGGTTAAGAAGCGATTTCTGGCTGTTTTCTATAACGAAAATAACAAAAGTACCCTCTGCTTGAAGCGATTTGATGACCTTGAAGTTTGTTTTAAGCCCCATTCGTGCGATGTTACAATTGTAGTCATTTTTTGAGACAATGCACAGCGCAGCCAACTGTCCTTTTGAGATATTCAACTGACTTAACATGGTTGGGACGTGATAAATGAAGCTTTTATGCCTGGACACGGGCCGTCGGGCGGTCGTTATATTACCATATGCCAGGATGTCGTTGTCCACCGACATAACAATGTCACTAGTGGAACAGACGCTAGCATTGGCAACGTCGGCTTCGTAAGCGCATTCTTGAGCTTCCCAATTCTTGGATCTCATGCACTTAGCAAAGGCAACGTGAGAATCCGTTTCACAATAGAAAGCAGCATTTACTTCATGCTGGTATTGATAATATGACGCTTTCGCACTCAGAGCTTCTTACCAACCAGCTCTTGTAAGGTGTCCAGGAGGGTTTGAACATGATGAGCGTCTTTTGTCCGGGACTTCTCATGACGTTCATGCGTCAACCTTTTTTCTTCGGGAGATGGCCCATCCAGATACAGGGAGTCACACTTCGTGGGATTCCACGCCGCAGCAACGCTTGCCCAACAATGACATGAGCATGCTTTTAAGCTTTAGTCATGTAAGCGGAACGGAGGGTTGAATAAAAGGTAAGGACATCAACATAATAATTTAGTTGTGAATTGGTTCGTAAAAAATCGAAAGCACTAGTGTCATTGGGCATAGAAAGCAGAGCCTGCCTCATATCTCTTCTCTTGAAGTAGGGCCTATAGGTCTAGGACGACCATCTCTAAGGATACACAAGTATGATGGAAGAAAAAAATAAGAGGCGGCCCCTGCTGGTGCGCTTATGACGCATGATCATGTCCGTACGGTTACTTACCGCAGCTGCAAAGAGCGATACGGGAAGGGCAGTGATATCGTCAAGAGTGTCGAGTGCTTAATGGAGGGGAATGAAAAAGAATGGAAGTAAAAGCTGATTCAATGACTGCATTGATGGTAACCCCAAAATTACATAATAGCTTGGTGTACAAAGTCCGAGCTTGAGGTAGAGACCACTTTGGATACGATGTTTCTCTCGATTTATACAACGTCTTGAAATTATCGCCTGAAACATATTATGTCCTCTGCATATCTCTTCACTATCTTTGCTAGAGAGCAGATGACGAGACAAGGCATACCTATTGCCTATATGCTTTGTAGCTCCGAGTCAACAAAAGTAATAGCAAGATACTCTAGATACGGCGGTGTAGCTATGATCCTAGTCTAAAATCCTAACTAAAGTAATTGAATCATTGATAGTTTTTTTAAGAAGATGGCTTATTTGCCTCCAGGGCTAATACGACCTCAGGCCATCAAAGTTCATGGTGGGCTGCAGCGTAATGCAAACCGAAGTAATGTTAGTTGTGTTTCCCCAATATAGATGATTACTACTGCCATTTTTCTATAGGGAAACTATGGGAGACTCAGATGGTAGTCATATGTAGCGTAAGTCAAGTGACCAAGTCAGAGATGATTTCGTATCAATATATTTAGCTGCATTGAATGGCGTGTTCCCTTGCTGCGTAGGAAAATGACTGCAAGAACATGCGGCGACCACCCAAAGCACTACGCGCCGCAGAATCTAAATAAGCCTTGACCGATTTGTAGGAGGATTTTAAATAGCTATTCTCCCGTAATACCAATACTGGATTCATCCGTTATCTAGAGAAAAACTAGATGGATGCAGCGAAGAGGCAGAGGCGGGGTGAAGTAAAGCTAATCAGGCAGAGTAAAAAAAAAAGCATTTATTGACGCTACCTCTTCTTGCCATGTAGGGTTACCAACATATGAATACCAACAATATTTTAGAGTCATGGTTCATGACCTTAAAGAGACATGTTTTAAATGGCAAAAAAGCCATGCCGGTCGACTATGTTAATTTGCTATGAGGTACTGTTGACATATACTTTAGGATAAAATGCCTTCGTGCCAGGAGAGGGGTACAGTCGCCAACTCTCTCACAGTACAAAAGGGATAGAAAATCGAGGGCTTTGATACTTGGTATAGATGCTGCTAAAGCCGCGACAAAAATAACCTAACTGAGAGAAAGGTGTACATATAGAATGATTGTGTTCTACCAACTAAGTATGTGTTTGCGGTATCATTCTAAAGCCTGCTATTACTTCCAGTTAATGGTCAAATATTTTTCTACGCCAGGGAAAGAGCACTATTGCTCTGGATATAGATAACGCCGTTCTTCTACCTTGCACATACCCTGCTCATGAGAAACAAAGAGTTTCTTGCAAGTACATGTACTTTGCACAGACAGGTTCAATGTCAAACGCAGCGCTGGTCCTACACGTACCCAACCCAAGCAGGTCCGGAACACATTTGATATCAATGATCATCTTGGACAGTCTCTCGAAGGGCCCCTCTCAGCATCATTACTATGACAACTACAGGTAGTGAGATCTGAAGAGAAGGAAAGAAAAAGGATAGAGCGAGAGAAAATAACTGCTGAGTTGTCTAAAGAGAGTAATAGCGAAATGATGGACGCGTAGAAGAGATTAGACCTCTTTGCGATTGGTAGGAGCAATACGCGACTTCTGGTTAAGAGAAGGCAAAGCATTGCAGCAGATCTACAGAATATAGTTTGCAAATAGAACAAAATCAGTCTAGGCCATAGCAAAATGTTTAAACCATTAGCAACTTACGTTGATAAAGCTCTCAAGAATAAGGCAATCTCTTCGCTTACTCTGCTCATCTGAAGCCACTTAATCTTTCCCACAGAGACATCAGAGCTAATATAATCACATTTGGGCGGGCGATGATTACAATTCGAGCAAATGCCACATTAGTCGCAAGTGCCTCGATAGCAACACATCATTGAAGCCTAACTATAATTTATATTCAGTAGTCAAACACATCGCTCTATTCACGGATATCCTGTTAAAAGGACGAAAAGCATAGAACATTAAGGTGCCAGCTATGAACGGGCCTGTAAACTTAAGAGTAGCTACTGTAGAAATAACTCAACCACTTGTCATTGCGATATCTGCAATCATTACTATCACAACTCTTTTTTTTTTTTAAATGCAGAATTTCATTAAAAGCTGTCGCCTGCTAGTCTCATTATATAGCTCTGCCATAGGGCAATACCTCGCTATCTATGTAATATACAAACTATGTAATAACGGTGTCGAGGAACCTATTTATCGCTGTACAGACTGGGTTACGTAAGGTCGGTTATGGACTTGGAGAAGTCTTCCTCCATTGCAAGGAAAGCAAAATTTGTATAAATCCTCGACTTCTAGTTAAATTCAGATCTATTGAGCGCAACTTGGAGTGCGACTGCTCGCTCTATAGCGAATGCATGTTTGCCAGCACTGCCACTGTTATCTTCATGATAAGCCTCCATGGTCTTTCATCACAATCCAAAGATATAAAGTTTTACTGGCAACGGTTCTAACAGCTACGCTTACGAACTCATATTCATTATTTTCCAGACAATATAGCCGCTCGGAATACTACGATGACCACGCTAAAACTTATTGATACCTAGCATATTAGAAACCCTGAGAGACATGTCATTTTTATGAAAGATTGACTTGCTCATGATATATCAAATAATGCCTCCTGAATATGCCAAAACCCACTCGATTATTGATTGCAACAGCTGTGAAATCAAGTTGTAGGCTCTCTGCCATCTCCTTAAGCACAAAAGTGTGAAAGGTGTCTCAACAAACCGAAAGAAAATAAGTGCTTATGGTCGGGAGTGACATAGCTTCTAGGACGTCAACTGCTAGTTTAGAATACACAGTTTTAATTGAAATAGTGCTACCGAACAGAGCGATGCGGCAAGCGACTAGTTTCTAGCTTTTATCAGCACAACATCATTGTAGTAGACAAGCATGGGGCTTTATGTATAAATATGTAATATGATAACTGAGCAGAAAGCAATATTGTGCCCAAATCTATTTTGTCCGCTTAGCAATGTTATGCTGCCACCGAATTTTATCGAGCTCACGCTTCAGCCCAGGGTGGTCGTTATAGACGTTATTTGAAAGCTGGTCTAGCCTCGAGACCCAATCGCTTAATACCTGCTCATAGACTCCGGTTAAAGACTTTGAATTCGTAGTCGTAGGAATACCCTTTAGCCTAATACTTGCGCTAGCGCGTTGCCCAGGCTCATTTGCGTTGTCGGGACATACATCAAGTAATGGGGCTTTACACTCCAAATCCGCCTTCTCTGCAAGATAGGCCAATAGTTGCTGAATTTCAATAGCACGCGATGCATTCATTGGAATTTGTCTTTGCTCTAACTCAGACTGACTGCAGGGGCTTGGACAGAGCGTGTCCATCACTTGCAGATTGGCGAGCCGTTTCGTCAGCAGAGAGATATCGTGCGGATGTGCTGACAATGCATGATCCTCAATAAACGGGTGAAATGCATCCGTCTTGTAGTACGAGTGAGGTGTAGGCGCGGAATGGATGGTGTACAGTAGGTCGGGACTGCGTGTACTTTCTGTGCTCTTTATGCCATAAGCCATACTAGAATCTAGGTCGCATGCAGCAACGCCGTAGGCCAATGATGATACAGAATCAGAGCAGTTAAAGGTCGGGCGCGCTCTGGTATGTGGATGGAGCTCTGAATAGTGTTGTGGTTGCTGTTGAGACTGAGGCCGCAGAGTCGATCGACCGAAAATATCCTGGCATGAAAATAAGCTCTCGTCCCATTCATGTGGTGAATGCTGATCAAAATGATGCTGGCATCTCTCTGCTTCAAAGGTGCAGAACTCACAGTCCACTAGAAAAGAAGGCCTGAATGAGTTCCTTCGTGACTCTATTGAATTCGACATTTTAGCGACTTGACTCTCAGATTTCGATTGTAGATGTATTGTTGGTAGAGGGGAGTGTGCTGTACGTTCCGAAGAGAAAATAGGAGAAGGCGATCGACTCAAGGACGGATGGTCTGAAAAAGGAGGATGTAAGCTAATAGAGCACATGGACGGTGGTAGCGGTAGAAAATTTGGAGTAGAGGAAGATATCGATGAAGCAGATAGTGAAGGCGATACTGACTGAAATGAAGAGATGGAGGTCATAGAAGTTGATGCAGATATGGATGTAACAGTGTTTTTGCGCATTGGATAGCATGTATCATTAACCATTGTGTTATTTTCGAGTGGGATCTCAATAGCTGGTGACGCTACTGACTGTAGCAGAGGTGATGCTCTATTATCGCAAGATGGGGCATTATATAATGGAATTGAGTCACAAGGATGTTGAAAAGGTGGTGAGCAGAGTTCAGTTGCTTCTAATGAAAATAAAGTTGGGACAAAGGACGTGTTGCTGACACTCGCAATCTCCTGGACATTTTTATCTCCACGACGTCGAATGCTTTGAATCCTAAGGTAACTTGTCTTGTCCCGATAGCTTACTCTCGGCAAGGACGAAGATTCCAACGGAATGTGGGGCTCATATTCAGAGCTACCATTAATAGAAGAGTCGCTATCTACGCTGGGACTGCAGCAATAATGACTATCCTTGATATGTCGATCAGCTTCCTTTTTTTTTGCTCTTGCGTCCATTGGCCATTCACATTCACGTCGCTCCTTCATGATCTTCATTAATTCAGACATCACTGCAGGGTTCTTGGCCTTTGTAAGGGGCAATCTAGCCAGGTCTCTACTCAGGACGGGGAGGATGCTAGCCCGTCGGAGCCATTCATTTTTGCTCTGGGGCTCAGATGCCGGTTGAATCCTTGGCTCCTCTGCAAGGCGTATGGTACTAGGTAGCAGGAGATCTTCTTTTCCTGTGAAGAGCTCCGTGCATGGTGAGTTGTAGCTACATTCTACAACACAATCCCCATTATAGAGAGTGGAATTTGTTGCTGGCAGTCTCGAGTCAGCGCCTTCTAATCGTAATGCACCAGTTTGCAATTGCGAGTCCGAATCATCACAATCAGAGGGCATACATTCTGTATGGTATTTAGTTATGCCAAGCGATTGGGTATCTGCTAATGCATTAGTATAGTGATCCGATTCAAAATCATAAGACAGCCTCCGAAACCCTATTTCCTGACATTGAGTTGGCTGAATTGATTGAAGTCGCTTTGTCGATAAACACCCAATTGAGTGCCGACTCAATGTATGTATACTGGGTTTAAATGAAGCGGGAGTATATCCTATAGGCAGTGAAAGGCTTTCGGCCTTCGCCAAGAACATAGGTATTGGAAAAGTTTGGGTTGGAAACTGTTGGTTCGAAGGGATTTTGTTAAACGACCCATTTGAATCAATATCACTCTCTACGAAGTTTGCATCACTATCCATCTCGCCAGTTAGTGATAGTGATATTGGAGTTACTCTAATATCCATTTGATCATCTGATTTTGACAGGTTGCCTGGCCCCTTGCTGTCAATGGACGCTTTTATCTGACTTGGCCGTCCTGAGCCATATACCATTGTCTTTTTTTCTTCAGATAACCGTGCTCTATCCTCCAGTGCTGGCATTTGAGTAGCTGATGAAGATCTGACACGATGCCTCGTTGTACGCCCATGGTTGCAGGTTCGACTCTTTGGTGTAATATCTTTGGAAGTAGTCGTTGGTTGAGGCTTGAGATTCTTTGTCGTTGACGCGAATTTTGATGGATCGGAAGAGCATTTGAGATTGGAAAGAAGGTTCATATCTGCATCTGTATTCTTTGGGCGGCTACGACGTTCCTTTCCATTATCATGGACAGGAAGGCAAGGATGAACATTGGTTGAGAGCGTAAACCTTGGTCGACTATTGATATTTCTAGTTGATAGTTGTTTTGATGTACCGGTACTATCAATAGAGATATTATGTTTGTCTCCTATACTTTTGGGCACCATACAGGCTGTAATTGATGAGCACTTCCTCTCTTTCTGACTAGTAATGAGTGTCTGAGGGTTTTGCATGTGCTCTGGACAGTAACTTTTGGTGTCAACATTACAATGAGCAATAAAATGGTCGGAAGCATTGGTTGAAAGATCCTTCCAGGTGTATGGGACAGTTGTATTGCTCAAGCTGCGGAAGTTAATAGGTAAGGGTGAAGTGGGAGGAGAGTCTGGAAGAAGCTGTGTGTGGTGAATATCCTCCTTACTATCCTCTCCATTCTCCTTCTCAAATGAGGACCTAGACTTGACTTGACGCGTTGTTTTAGTGGTTTCTCTTGGTGTTATATCAAGGATATTTGGCTTCTCATTCCTTCGAAGTATCCATTGACAATGACTGGATCTCTTTGTTGACACATTAGAATGAGATGGAGGCACAGAGGATGAGGATGAGGATGAGGAGGAAGAAGAGAGGCGCTTTGGCTTTGAGGCTGGTAAGGACATTGCAAAAAAAAAAAAAGTGCTTGTGGATAAATGTCTTCGTTATTGGATACTGTAATCACGTTGGAGTGTAGTTGGCTTTTAATTGATGTCGCGGGAAGAAGAGATAGACGCGCGCTGAAACACGAGGTAAAGTAATACAAAAGTACAAAAGCAAAAATAAAGAAGTAAGTGGTGGAGTCCAATTGACAATTATGATACATGTCACTTGACAAGACTATACCTGGTTGCATTGAGTTCTATTGAGGGAACACAATGGATGTAATAAAATGAAGTGATTGATCAAAATGAATGCAAAGCAATTGAGTAAAAAAAAGGTTCAAATGAGAGTCAAGAGAGTATATATACTTAGGCTGGAAAATAAGAAGCATATTGATATTTAGAGTACTAACACAGCGTTGAAGTGGGTGTTTTGGGATGTAATTAAGCTCTTCTTTCTTTTTTAAGGATACCCCCCAGTAATGCTCTTGTTCTGCTTCGCCTATTGTTCATGTTATTTCATTTCAGGATTTCTTGCATTGCCTTCCTCCACTCCAAAGGGACCTAAAGGAGTCAAATGAAAGTCTGTGAGCATGGATAAATATACACTAGTGCTATTACACGTAACAAAATTACATGCCAATATGTAATTGATGTGAGAGCATTGTTTACATTTTTTCCATCTTGTGATCTCGTGAGTTCAACTGAAACAATTTTTGCTGTCCAAGCCAAAAAGAGAAACTAAAAAAGCCAAAGCGCTGTTTCTGATACACACAACCCCAGAAAGCACAGCACCACTGACTTCGCCAACATTTTTCAGGGGGATCATCAAACTGTATCAAACTCTAATCTAAACTAACGGATTAAAGTACTAGCTGGTTTAGAGTCCCAAAAACAAGCGTGGCATATCATTGATGATGTCTCCTGTGAAGACAACATGTCTTCATGCTTGCTATCATCCTTAACCTCTACTTTAACCATAACTGACATCTCCGGCTCTTGCGGGGATGTCACTAGGGTATTTAGTTCTTGCGTGAGTAAGCGTCTTGAGTCCTTGATAGTCTCGTCTATAGAGCTATTCCACCACATGGGCGATGCAGTGACAGAGCACCGATTACAGATCTCTTGTGAGCCAGATTGTGATACATTTTTACTGATCACACCCTTGGATCCATATCCATATGTACCAGTTGTTCTTCTGCCATGTATGGAGCCAGGACCTTGCCATGATGACAGTGATCCAATGCCTGGATTCAGAGCCATGATAAGCCGGCTCTTCCGCATCGCACTCGGGATAGATCTGTCGCATTGCTTGTAATAATACACGTAGGTCTGAAGAGCGTTTCGGTCTGTCATAGCGTCAGGCTGATCTCGTATCTGAATGATCTTACGCGAGGATAGGTTGTGGTTAGGACACCAAATCATTGGAACCATCAAACCACCCTTCACATTTTTAGTAGGCTGCATCTCAAATGCGATTTTATAGCCAGCCTCTCGTGCGCAAGTTACATGAAACGCTTTCTTACACCCTTCGCCACATCCTACACACACACCAGCCTTTTGTCTACAGATGAAACATGTTTGTTTCCATCGCTCGTGGCGAATTCTTCCAATAGACTCAATCGGAGACAGTGTCTCCACATCAACAAAAGTTATTTCAGGGATCCAAACAGCGCAGAGGACGTGCGCCCAGTTGTTGCCTGTAGTCCTCTTAATAGCTTGAGGGCCTTTGCCCAAGGACTTGGTACAGAGGACACAAGTATAGCTCTAAAAAAATGAGCCGTAAAATTAATAGCTGAATAAGGAAAATGACTCAAGGTTCCAAAGTAAAACTAACATTGGACACAGACTATACCGTTGAACATGTGGGGTTTTGGTCGTTAAGACAAGCATCACAGTACCAATTACGATTGCTGGTAGTGGAAACAACACCGTAGCAATCTTGCACAAATTTAAAGAGTTTAACGACAGTGTTAGTCCCCACAAACAAAAACTAACGCCATATTAATTAATAATTGATGACATACCACGATGAACAGTCAGTTGGCACTTTTGACAATTCATTAGCTGCTCTCCAGATGAAGCCAAGTTGCCACATATGACGCATGGTACCGGAGGGGGTGGTGATGGCGAACGACTAGGCTCACGCGACTATATGTCAATTTTTGATCCGGTTAGATATCATGTCTGTAGATACTATGGTATGCCCATCATAATGCAGGATTGCTTAAAAATTACCTGTTCCTTGATCTTTTTACCATTCCCTGATTTAGGCTCTATCCGTTTACGCTTGATTCCAGCTGCTGTATCAACTGCATTGGGAGATACCTTGCTAGGTCCGTTTATTTGACCTTTGCCTAAACACACGATTTTATGTTAGTCATCATAATCGGGTACTATACCTAAAAACCATAATCTGTAAAAAAATGTTTCACCTGTGGTCAGATCCTTGGCTTTTAGTTTCTTGGTGTCCTTTTGAGAGTCTGTTAAAGAAGGTAGGGCCACATAACGTACCCAGTCACTACCGCAATCATTACAGAACACCTTCGGATTCTTTTTCTGAAGATCCACTTCTCCCGGTGCCCTTCGCCATACGGATGAATTAGTAGTTCCACAATGAGCGCATTCGAAGATATGAATATTCTCAGCCGACCGCAAGATAACCGAATCGTGGTCCAGCGCTCGTTCTTGCTCTGCTTCTGACCCAGACTTTGCACGACTAGCATGTTCCACGACAGGTGAAGTAACTACCCCTCTGCCTACAGACTTGAATTTTTTGCTGGTTATAGAATAGAGCGTTAATAGTGGATAATATCCATGTAGTGTTTGCCATTCCATAACTAAATGGAGCAGAACCTACTTTGGTTTGTTGATTTTGGTAAAGACAGAATAAACTGGTTGATAACGCTCGGTTTTCTTCCAATGATAAAAGAATCGTACAATATCTTTCATGGATCGTGTCTCGACTTTTTTCTTGATAGCGAAGAGCTCATGTCCATAAAGTCTAATGCCTTCCTCAAACGCCTCTACCTCCTTAGCTGTCCAGTCTTCAATGTCAAAATCATGTTTTTGAAGCTTAGACATCTCCCCAAGGGCCATATTAGCATCGAATCCATGCTTTTGTAATGTCAGTAACGCTTTATCCATCAAGTCTGCTGAGTGTATTTGCAATGGCAAATTTAGATCCTTTAAGCGGCTAATATAACTTGCAACTATCGGTATGCATTGATGAAGGCGTTAGATTATATTAAGCCTGATTACCTATACCAAAATCAACCTTTACTCACTATCAACGCATATTATATACATTACCATATTCCTCGGAAACACTGCTTGGCTTGAAGTATTGCAAGCTTACGGTTTCATCACCTCCACGTTCTGTCCGCAATGGTTCATCAGTACTCGTACCGGACCTTGTTGGGGGGGAAGGTGCTGCAGGACTGTCGTTCCCATCTGTTCCTTGGTCGATTAACGCTGTGTGTGTTCGAAATGTTACCTCCGCGACCTCCGCTATGTCGAAATGTATCGAGAATTTTATCGATAAGTATTACGGGTCCAACTTCAGCTCTGGTCCCTTTATATATAAATATATATACATATATGCAGTATTGGTAAGCTTTCGTTGAACTACAATCGTACCTTCAAGAGGCTTTTGTTTGTGTGGCGGTCGACCACCACGACCACCTCTTTTAGAACGGCCCCGTGAGCCATTATTTTGTGGATCATCAAATAGGGTAGATGTGGCGAGGATATGTCCCGGTCCATCCCATTTTACAACGAATGCCTGATATTTCGGCCCCACTCGGCTTGACGCACGAGGATATACACGGTCATCAGGATCTAGAAGCAGATAGCAGATTATTAATAAACTATGTATTTAAAATCCAGGCTCAGAAGGCATGCAGTATTGCTCACCAAAAATATCCTGAATATCAGCATGTGTTCCGAAATATCTGAAGGGCCACATGTGCGACATTTTTTGTTCCTGAGATATAGAGGGCGCCATTGCTGTCGTACTTCCAGAATCATTTCGGGAGCTCTCTCTTAGGCTATGGGAAGTCGGAGCAACTGTCAAGGTCGAAAGAGACTTCTGTTTCGGAGAACTCCTTGGTGAGTTTTGCCCTGAGGAAGTAGCTGAATGATTAGTAGTAGAGGACTGCTTTAATAATGATGATGAAGTGGTAGAGGGAGATGAAGCAGATTCCAGTGCAAGTTTAGTGCAAAGCGCGCACTGGAAAGCAAAACCTTTAGAAGGTTTACGCAACATGGGTGGATTAATGCACAGCATATGATGAAAACCTTGACACATAATACACTTCAATGCTTCTCCGCTAAAAGAGTGTACAAATGTAATGCAAAAACGAGTGTTAATAGTGGTACAGGTCATATATACATATTTTGTAAGCAATAAGAAATATGTAGTATAATGAATAGCAAGATGTGTGAAGCACTATCTGATTTCTTTTTTTTTTTTTTTTTTTTTTTTTTGCCCTTTCTTTTACATGACTCTGAACTCCCATATTCTCGTATCAGATGCATGGTATTATTGCTTGTCCTCTCTACTGTAATACAGCAAATTAGCAAAAATGCAGAGGTTTTTTTTTTATCATAAGCACGCATCTTGCGCTTCCAATTTGTATGGACAAAGAGCCATGAATGGTGTAGGGACATAGCCTTGCCGCTTATCAATTGCCACATTTGGAAGTGAATGCTTGCATAGTACTTCTTACCTAGCGCACCATCGTTTGCAGATCAAACATACTCTGTGAGCATCGGTATATTCAGACGCTGTTCCAGCCTCGACAACAATATATTGGTATCTCTTGCCAAGCTCTTCTGCTACATCAGGTGGCAAGTTGCGAACTGACTCAACTGGGATTACATCATAAAATCGATGAATGTAACGATCGAAAAGCTGACTGTAATAAAAGTGATCTGGCTTTTTTTTGTATGAATCTAAATCCTTAATATATGCCTGATGGGTTACAGTACAGCGACCCCGAATACTTGACAGCGGATTCATGTCCGAGTGCATAGTTGCAACGAGAAGACGAGGGTCATGGTTTCTCCGAGCCATAACATCTTTTGGTCGATAAAACCAGCCAATCCTGACTTGCAGTGGTTTCCCTTTGATCTCTTTCCCAAATTCCATGACTCGTCCAATGTAGTAGGATTCTCCAATGAACTCTGAAGCCATGTAAACATGATCTATAGCAACAGCAGCAAGACATATCATAGCCGATAGCATATAGAACAAGTGAACAGAAAAACGGAGGTATTAGTATAGTTAATAGATATTAAATTCCTACAATTAACATTGAATTTAATGCGTACCATTCACAGATATGAGAGTGCCGTCCCTGAGAGGTGCTGATGTGATTCTATTGGACTGACCAGTCATAGTTTTAAAGGGAAGCACTACAGACAGTTGAAAGTCACCCTGATTCTAGAGATGGGAGGAGTTGTCCTTTCTTACAAGCAGGTGAGAAGGAAATAGAAATAGATAAGACAATGAGCTAATGAATAGGGCCACAATGAGAATGAAGAAGGGCCGATCCAAAGATTCCAAAGATGGGAGGTTTTGTAAAAAGGATGTTGCACAAAAAGTGAGGAAGGGTGATATCGCAAGTCTTTATTTCCTGCTAAAATCTAACGATGACGATAATGCCTTTATTACAGAAGTGAAAGCATGTTTCACACAAAGAGATCGAGATTTGTTTCCTACTCTTTGTCACTCATTTGAAAGGCTGCAAACATTAATATTTGACAGACTGGATCGTTTCACTGTAGGATCGATATCTTTTTGGAACCTCCAGTCTCTGGCATATTTGTCCATTTTCTACTGAGCGATTTGGCTAGCACACACAGTTCCATTTGCCACCATTTTGTACAGACCTTCCTCAAGCTCTCATTCTCACACTCACATACCGAATAACTACTTTGCAGGAATCATCAATAGCAATGGCTGATAATCCATATCCTGTTGGAACAACTGTCTTTGCTAAACTCAAAGGTTACCCATGGTGGCCGGCTCGTGTAAGTATTCATTATAAAAGTATAGTTTCACATTAAATAGCATAACGATATCTTTTCATTTTCTATAAGCGCTTGAGCAATTAATTATATATCCTAATACAACTGGTTCCTCTTGTCATATTCGCTAGATTGAGAGCGAAGATGACTTACCTGAAAATGTTAGTAGCAAAAAGCCAAAGCAGAGACCCATCTGGCCTGTATTTTTCTTTGGTTCATATGATTAGTAAGTGTTAATTCAGACAGGATCGGATGCAGGTGCAGATATACTTAGATGTTATGGACAAACTGCAGGTGGACAAATCACCGATGGATAATATTGAGTTTTTGGATCAACTCACAAACCCACAAGAGCAGTCATCTTGGCAGTACGCCCATTTACACTGGTCAATCGTCAAAGACATGGGCTTATAAATGAGGAAGATTGTGATCGGAGGCCGTACGAACATAGTTTTGGTGAATAGGGTTACCAATAGGCATTAACTAGGAGGAAAGGAACCTTTTGCGCATCAACATGTACATGATATGAACAACTCGCAAAATAAGACGGCTTCTAGAGAGAAGACAATGCTTTCTCTCCCAAGAAGATGTACAGTCAACAACAATAGACGTCTTTACGCTGCTGGAACCCGTAGCATAGTTTATCAACAGATAACTGATTGAGAAGAGTGCGCCCCTAATCAAAAAAAAAAAAAAAAAAAAAAAAAAAAAATCATATTATTGTCTTGATTATCCTGATCGTCATATTCATCGACTTCTTGAAATGCTAATACTTATGTTTTAATCTTCTTGTTAACACTATTGCTGTACGTTAGCGGCTGGTTTGGGACCTCGGAGCTAAAATCGTTTGAAACTGCTTCAGCGGAGAAGGCAAAGTTATCGCTTCGAAAGGGAAATGCTCTCCGGACCGCACTCAGTGAGGCTCTAGATCCCAGCCTTATCCCTGAGAGAGTTACAGTTACGTCGGCAGACGAGGATGATGAAGAAGAGGATGAAGAAACACATGTATCAGAAACTCAGTCTCGTAAAAAGACTACTCCCAAAGTTAAAAAAACGAACAAAACCGAGTCTGCAGAAAAGAAAAGGCGGTCCAGTGCAACTGAAAGCCAAATCCCCAAGCGCAAACCTTCTAAAAGATCTGTGGCTGCTGATGATGATGACGAGGACGAATCACCGAAGGTAAGGGGCACATATTACCTTTAAGTAGTATGTCTGTACAATATCGCTTTTATGTTTATCTTCTGATTGAATGACTGTCATGAATCTAAAACATAGACCAAAAAACGCGCCAGTATTACTGGACGAAGCCAACTTGAGTCTGACAAAAGGAGTGTGGAGGATGATATCAATGGGGCTGATGTAAGTAATGGCCGCACTCGGAAATCAGACGATGATGGCGATCTAGGCGATCAAAATCGTACCAAGAAAAGGTTGCGAAGTATGTAAAATCTACCTCAGGAATACATATTCGTTTAAACGTTTAATTCATTAATGCTATTGATAATCTATTCTATCGGCATTGGTTGCAATTTTTGCTGTATGATCAAGGCTACTAACCACTCTATATCGGCCACTTCCTATAGGTGGACAACCAAATGAGCGACTTTTAAAATTACGACACAAACTTCAGAAATTACTCTTAGTAGAGGGTCTATCAGATGAGATTCTTGTTCAGGTACAACTTCAAAATGTTTCTAATAAGGCGACATAGTTCTGTCTTGTAGTGTTATTCCAATACATCAACCACTCATATCCTTTGGCCATTTATAGAATCTAGAACGTGCTCACCCTATTCTTGCTGAAGTAGAAGCCTTCAAAATCGACTTACAGATGCTCAAGGTAAGTTTTGTGAACTCCTCTTGTTGAAACATACATAATTATATGTTTAACCTCTTTATTTGTAATTATATAATGAATTCTTAAATAGGATACTAAAATTGGACGGTTGATGAAGAAGATTTCGGCCTTGCAATTTAGTCAGGATCCTCATCAAATTGTTGAACGCTCGCTGAACCTGATCAAGCAGTATAAGAGCCTAATGGAAAAGGCACAAGAAACAGGCGAATCTGGGAGTCCTTTAGAAAAGATTACTGATGTGACTACACCAAAAGAAACAGTACTCAGCACTTTGGAACAAAAAGTTATCACCACTGAAGAGGATGTTCCTGGAAACTCACGAGCTCTGGCCTCAGATGCTTCTAATCATACAATGGATACTCTACCAGCTCCTGCGGCTATCGTTGCAGCTTTGACAGCAATTGTTGATACTGATACACAGGTATCAACAGACAGATCTACAATGAGCGAGACGACAGTTGAGACGACAATTGAAACGAAAGTTGAGACCACCAGCGCGTCTTTTCAGGGATCTTCATTATAAAAAAAAAAAAAAAAAAAAAAAAAGGCGACATGAAGCGGCATTGTCATTCAATATCGGATTAGGAGACGATTTAATATGTCGAGAGTTTATCTGTAAGGAATTGGCGCTGCTAAACAGTCGTGAATTTATAAACTTATGGTAAACAGAAAGAAGGAGTGCATGTGTTGAAGGTGTGGAACATTTTTGTACAAATATTGAGATACTCATGATCCAGGTTAAGCGTTATATTCCACTGAATGAAACGCAGGTTGGATACATACCTTAGAGGAGAAAAACAAGGCATATCAATTAAAAAGAGTCTGTTTTAAGGTTGACGTGCGTGCCAATCTTATATTCTTGTGGGCTTGTTGAATATGTGCCTTACCTTGAATGGACTCTCTCTCAATCAGGTGTCAGATAACTGAACCCTAAATGGCAGGCCATTGAGGTGATAGAGAGGTACTATTGTACCAACTTAAATCTCATTTAAGATTCGTTTTTGAGAACTTTGTTCAATACAGAGGATGCTTTGCCGCAATTGAAAAGATGTTGCATGGACCAATCTTAACTTATGAAAGATATCGAGGCCATTGTATTGTCGTATAAGGGTGTTGATAGCTTGATATGGTTGCTAACATGGCTTTTTGAAGATCCACCGGCAGAGGCGAGATTAAAGCGCGGAACTGTTGGTTACTAGTTTTTCACAAAGGAACCTTCAAACCTAATGGTGGTGATATAGGACAGTCTGATATATATATATTGACTTATTAAGACTATCAATCACATTCATGTTGCCTTTTGAAATCAAGTGAATAGGAGGGTTGTAAAAACAACGACCAGAGCTACCACAGTTCTCTAAAAGCACAAATGAGTAATACTAGAAGCTTTGGGAAAAATAGATGCACTGCAAATCTATGCTGCATACGGCCCAAGGCTCCTCTACCTCAAGAACAGTCACGATACTGCCATAATCAAACATTTTTATGGAGACGCAAGCGAAGGAAGGAGGCCTTAACGCAATTGAGATCGAGCTTAATGGAATGTCCAATAAGTGAGGGCCTCATAACAGTGCCTTGTAAAACAAGGCTGATTATTATAGAATGGCCGTAAGACCACAATCTTGAAAAGCAAATAACAATTGAGTAAGGAGCTCTATGGCTGATGGTCTTAATAAGACCTTCTTCATCATAAATGCACCACAGCGTCAATAGCGGGATGGATCGTTGGACATAGCAGAACTGATGCAAGTTCCTGGGGGTAAGGTCAAAAGACTATAGAGGCGAAATACACCGATGCCTGCCGCTATTTTGGGATTGGGTAGTGAGCACATCAGTATAGCTTTTTTGGCATTTATGCTAATGGTGATAGTGATGGCACTTTATCGATGAGATATACCAAATCTAGGGAAGACCATGTGTGTTATCAGTTAAGATAAAATGGGAATCGTCATGCTCTGCTTTTATTCTCTAAAACCACTGATCAACTGTGGTGCCGAGATTGAGATTGTAACAATTGTTATAATTATTTAGTTTTTATTTAAAATGGCGGTGGCGACATGGTATCAATTTCTGAGGATCCTCCAGAGGCTGCCGGTGAGAGCGCCGTGGTATCGCCATATTCAAGCTCGCTTGGTAGGTACAGGAATGACGTGGGGTCGTTCCTTGGATGCTCCGCTGGGAGGTTAATGTGCATGTAAAATGTGTCACTAACCATTTGTCCTGTGAACGATTGAATCATCGCCTCTTCAGACAGAGAGTTGCTAGGTGAACTAGCGTTAGATGGTGCCATATCAGGGGAGCATGCTGCTAGACCGCTATGATTATTAATACTGTCATTTCCACCTTGACTAGACTGACTATGCTTTTGTAAATGTGGTGATAATGAGGCCGAGGGTTGAAGCGAGAACGTCGAATCTTCGATGATTGGAGGAGAGAGTGGATTCTGAACTGAGGCGGAGGAATGTGATGTTGCAGGTGAGGGTAGTGATGTTTGGCTTCTAGGAATAGAAGTCAAGAATATATCATCAGTTAATATTTTTGAGACTGCTGAAGGAGAAGCGGATGAGCTTGGGATCCTGGTCTGCATCACGCCATGAGTGTTGTACGTGCTAGATGCTGCTGTTGAAAAGAGTGCCTCTTGCCTTGGATCAAAAGCGATCGACTGAATATCTATAACTTCTTCAGTAGTAGTTCCTGGTAACCCACCGAGATGATTGCTATCACCCACCAAATTAGAAGCAACGCTATTCAGCCCGGGGATGCTAGGCTCATTGATGGGCATCCATGACCCAAAGATTGCCTGTGTTTGTTGGCCTTGCTGGCTTGATGGGTCAACAGCAACTTGCGAACGAGCCGGTAGGAGCTGATTGGGCAATTGGTTCGATACAGCGGGAGGTTGAAGCAAGGTTGACTGGCCCTGGAACAGGACCGAGTTTTGAAGCAAGATGTTTTGCTGTACCTGAAGAGAGGGATTATATAACTGCTGTGATAGCTGATGTGATGGGTGATTTGTTGAGATTTGCTGTTGTTGTTGCTGCTGACGTTGTAATAGCATCTGCTGGTGATGTTGACGTAACATTTGAAATTGCTGCTGCTGTTGCTGTGAATAAGCCTGATTCATTTGTCGCTGGTGAGCAACTTGTTGTAAACGGTGTTGATGAAGTTGATGCTGGTAATGCTGATAATGCTGATGATGCTGCAAGAATTGTTGGTTTGGGTGTTGTGCTACCGTTTGTAAGGCTTGCTGCTGATGTTGCTGTTGCTGCTGTTGCTGTTGTTGCTGCTGTTGCTGTTGTTGTTGTTGTTGTTGTTGCTGTTGCTGTTGCTGTTGCTGTTGCTGTTGCTGTTGCTGTTGCTGTTGCTGTTGCTGTTGCTGTTGCTGTTGCTGTTGCTGCTGTTGCTGTTGCTGCAGCTGTTGTTGTTGTTGCTGAGGAGAAGGGTAAGAATATATAATAGGTTGGCCCTGTTGATCCATCTGTCCATGTTGCATTTGATGTATCTGCGTCTGCTGCTGCTGCTGCTGTTGTTGTTGCTGTTGTTGCTGCTGCTGCTCCTTGGCAAGCAATTTAGATTGTAAAAGCTCTCGACGCTTTATAGTAGCCGCTTCCTTGGCTAAATCCAAACTCGACCTTTGCTGTGCCAAAGCAGCACGACATGAAGCGAGAAGATCTGCAACATCAGACTTCTTGGACCGGTTAATTCTGAAAAACTGCAGGTTTTCAACTTGCTCTACATAATCCATAGATTTTTGGAGATCCCTCCTTGACTCCTTTGCTAATGTGGAGTCGACCATACACTTAGAATTTCGAAGGTGAATACGAATAGCGAAATTGAGTGCATATCGTGTTGGAGTAATCTTTTCGAACGTTCGGGGCGCCTCCTTTAGCAGGATCCCACATATTTTGGTTATTTCCTTCGCTGCTTGGGTACAATAGCCCTGTGAATCTGGAGGACCGTTCTCCCGTGAAGGTTGGAATGCCTCAGGACTCTTCGGATTGGGTAAATATGGATGGTGAAGCAAAATAATGAGTGCATAGCATAGCAGCTGGGCACCTGCCGCCAAAGACTTGACATCAGATGTGATGGATCCTTTTTTAGGAACAAGATCAAATACGGGTGGCAGTTTCTCCTGCCACTCAACTAACTCCTTGTCTAAGCGATCCAAGTTCTCTAACAAAACCTGTTTTGATGGCGGTGGGCGTTGGGAAACGAGCTTTGAGTTCTTGCGGATCTTTCGGCAAATTTGCCAACCGCGGACACAATGGATCAAGTACTGATCTGAGTAATACTCCGTATCTGGACCCAGATCTCCCACTTGCACCATCTCCACACTAATTTCATCATCATTGATCAATGTAGGCTTCCCTCCAATTGCAGAAGAAGTTGAGTCGAATACATAACAGCACCAAAACACACGTGCTCTGTAAGCTCTCATGAATGGATTGACAGACTCATCTAGTTTTGTATGAAGACCCATATCCAGAGCCATAGTGATAGCCTGGCTGATGAATCCTGAGCGTTGCGCAGGAGATTTGTGTCCAATGGCAAAAAGAAGCAGAGACTGGATGGTGCAAATATGTGTGGTCAAATACTTTTTATCCAACAGCGCTACGTCCATTACATACAGAAAAAAAAAAAAAAAAAAAAAAAAAAAGAAGTATCCCCCATTAGTCAGCACTAATCATAAAAACCCTATGGCTGGTGCCACTATAGATGGATAGTAGTATCGATTATTACCTTGGCCACGCACGAAGAAATCCTCCCCCACTGTGCTTTCATCATCAGAGTCTTTTCTGAGTGGCAGCGTATTGTCTGAATACATACATCCACAATAATATACCGCATTGCATAGCAATAAGCAATGCGGTATATGAATATTTTCTTCGCACACTCGTAAAACTTCGCGTTGCACCATAGGCAAAAGAATAAAGTGGTTCTAAAACAAATTAAAAGTAGTGGATGATATGGTCAGTAGCAACATCTTCATACCTTGAATAAAGAGGTCTTTACTTAAAAAGGAGAATCGGATATTTACGACATACCTTGTAATAGAGCTCTGCAAGATACTTGCGAGTTGTGACATCAGGAAGTATCCGCATCTCTGGGGGTACAACCTGATCTTCTGTGTTGGTAGATCGGATCTGAGGTCCCCACAGATCGTCGTCATCCAAGTCAGTGGAGATGGTCGCAGCGTTAGGACCATAATATGCCATGGTATTAAGAGTGGTCTCGGAGAGCATTGCTGCGAGAGCATCCATCTGTTCAGGAATGGCGGTATTTGATTGGGTTATTGGCTCTGAAACAGTCGTCTTTGACAGGCTACTTGCGGTCTGACCACCTTGAAGTATGGGATATTGCTGTAGCTGTTTGGTTTATTCGACAAGGATATGCTTTATTAGTCTTTTTACGATTAAGTTCACGCGAAACCATGTCAAGACATATGGATTTTCATTTTATTTACCTCAGGGCGACCTGCTACGTGCGGATTACTGTTGACGCCATCTACGCTGGATTGACCATTCGTATACTGTGTGGTATCTGTTGATAGCCTTTGATGTTGATTATTTATCGAATAAGCATTAATATTGCTGCCATTAAATTGATTTCCGTGTAATGTTGCTTGGTCGAATAAGAAGTAATGGTTTGGTAAGGGCTGGTGAGGCAAGGAAATCGGTTGCTGATACACCAGTCCTGAAGAACTGCTTGCGGTGCTATGGTTCTCAACATTATAGAAAGATGCGCTAACTTGAGGCAGTGACTGTAGTGTGGACGTCGGGGAAGGTGCGGTACCAGGTTGTTTCCTTTTTACGCCAGACTTGAAGCGCTTTGCACCCTCCCCATTCTGTGAGAATGCTTCGTCGGGTGATTCTGTCATGTCTAGCCTTGTCTTTTTAAATAAAAAATGAAAATCACGAGGACTATATCGAATACTGTTGAGATGGCTGAAGAGAGAATAGGATTGACAAAAGGAAGAAATAGAGAGGAATAAAACTCGACACGAACAATGAAATGACAGGTGAGGATCGAGTAATCTGCAAGCGCAGTTTGCAGTATGAGTTGTGCAGCACGAGTATAAAAAAAAAAAAAAAAAAAAAGATGGACGCTTGATGAATAATTAAGTACTAAAAAAGAAAAAAGATGCGACTGAACAATGAATGACAGAGACTCTGTGTTCCAGACATTCAAGGACAAAAAAAATCAAAACAGAAATCTGTATACCAAACAACCTTGTCCTCCCTGGCGATGGTATATTTATCCTGTTCCATACACAAACGATATACCAATGTGTACTTTGTAACGTCACCGACTGCCGGCGCTTGGTACTTGTTATTTCCAGTCCAGAAGAGGGGAACCTCTGGGGATGGATTGTGTCCCAATATCGAATTATCGAACTCTTCCGTCTTCCGCGGAGAATGCATACATTTTTAATTGAAATTTAAGGTATTACACAATCTTTTATTTAAGTTATCTGCCCTCCAACCCAAAAAAGAAAAAAATCTTCCCGTCTATTGGGATGGTTTATGGGTAAACATTACAAGGACCTTCGGAGGGAAAAAGAGTGGACGACATCTTCAAATCGTCTGGTATAGTGTTATTCATAGCCGATCCACTATGGTAATTTATGAATATTTGTTCTACACAATGTGGTTCCTAATAAAAATAAGCGTACAGGGTTCTTCTTCGTTTCACATTTTTAGGAGAAATAGAGTCAATAGACAAAGACTGCCATGGCTATCATCGGATCTTTATTAGTGCTATCATTATCACCATTGTAATTATCTAAATGCAACAGGTATCCACACCTCGATGCACACAAGTCTTGTCTTCTAGAAGTGGTGGCACACGCATACAGAATGGAGCTCCCTACCTTGTTACTCGCTCAACCTATTAATAAAGATCATTCAGTCAGCACTCATTATCGGATCCCACACCCGATGCTCCTTCTCCACACTATCGTATGATGTTCGGCGACTAGAAAGGAGATCATCCAATATCCATATCCATTACTCACTAGGAACAGTTACTGACGCGACACTACCTCATCTCATACATCACCAACTGCAGTCAATCTATTTTCACTTCCTTTCTCTCCAACCTCTCTCTACTCTCTTCTTTCCTTCCTTCTACAATTCCTCAGACCCTTTTTTGTGCAAAAGCCTTTCAACCAAGGAGCAGTAATAGACTTATAGCTAAAATATCTTTCCGAGTTAATACAATCCTTTTGGCGCCACATCATCGATACAACATATTAAGCATTTATATCGCTCCATATATTCTAAAGAGCAGACATGGAAGAAAACCTCAATCAACTCAGTCAAACGACTATATTTTCAGATCTGCTAATTGTTAATCATATTGGACTAACTTCTTCAAGTCCTCAGGAACAGGAACCAAAAGCTTTAAATACATCAAACTCTCAGAATTTTAATTCATCCACATTGATGATGGATTCTATCATGTTTGCCAAATTGTTATCACAGTCTTCATTAAATGATATAGCTGACAACAGCATCTTCGACAACAAACATCCTTCAACCGCAATTGCAACATCCCTTAGTCCTAGTCAAGTAAAGAAGATAGCAAATCGATATCCTCTTGAAAACAGCATTACTGGGACGTTCGGATTAAAAAAGCAATTTTCCACATTCCCTGCAGACATGCATTCGTTCCAACAGCATATGACCTCATCACCTTCAGCAATGGTACCACATGGATGCACAAACAATTATGATAATACCAAAGACTGCGCTCCACAGGAACCACACATGTCATCGTTGATTACAGGGCAATCTTCAGAAGTAGTCATTATACCCACCTCGCTTCCGGTAGAATATAATCATAACAGCTCTGAATGCACGTCAGGCTGGTATCCACCATCCTCTTCAGCATCAAAGCAAGCAGCTCTAACAAGCCCTTCCACTTCGGAGCCAATCTTCAAGACAGTCAAGGCTATATCCATGTCATCAGTCTATTTCCCTCCCAGTGCCTCGGCTCTTCATCAGAAACGACGTAAAGCCAAAAGGCAAGCTTTACGCGCGCCTCGGCCCAAGAACTGCTTTATGTTATACCGATCTATAATTCTGCCGATGATTATGGTTGAACTTGGCATGATTAACAACAGAGTCATCTCCAAAATTGCAGCAGAGCGATGGCGAACTGAGTCAGAGTCTGTTAAGGCTTGGTATAAGCTGATGGCCAGTCGTGGGAAAGAAGAACATGCTCGGATACATCCAGGATATAAATATACTCCGCATAAGAAACTAATAGCAATGACTGCGGCAACAGAAACAATGTTTACTCTCAACGGGAACATTTGTTATCCTATCAATGACAGTTTTGACGTACCAGCTAGTGTTAACAATTCAAGGATAGAGGTCGGATATACTAATCAATTTGAATCCGTCCAAGATGCAAGCATATCAAATTTCAACAAGAGAATACGCTTAAATGAGCATGTTCCAGAGCAATCTTTGCTGCAGAAGAAGAGGCCGAAGAAAGGCTACAGGCTTCGAGGACAATCCACTGGTGCAAATACCGGTACTGAAGGTTGCAATAGCCATGGCTCTTCTGTAATCGTTCAATCTGACTGCCCTAGTATTTCTAGAATGTCCCCTTCAGGATATAGTCGTCCGACAGCCTTCTCAACATGGAAGGGCCATTCACTTATTGAGCAGCAGCTGTATTTAGGGCTCGAAGAAAACAAGAGCCGACGAACTCTGCAACAACCTCACCCGCAACATCAATCACAATCAATTCCATTTCTATGGCAGGCCTATTCTCTATTCACAGGCGATACTAGCAATCAAACGCGGTTCTCATTACCAAAACATGCGTTACCTTCAGATAATAGCTTCAGTTCAGGCACCCTAGTTGACCCTATCGATAATTGCATCAATCATGAGTACGCTTTCGCGGAGAATATGGATAGTCAAGGATTGTTAAGCGAACAGAGCAATGCACCCTTTTATTACGACTGTTGCAGTAAAATGCCATTGAGAACAGACTTGCCATATTTCATTTATGATGCCGCCAAGATATCTTCGAATGATTCAAACTCAATTTTATCGCAGTTGAATTCAGAGTATGAGCACAATCAAACCTGGATGCCGAATGACGTTTGTGAGATTAATGTACCGTTGTTTGGAGTCAAGGGATCAGAAACGTTTCTGGATCCATCAAGCATGCAATATATTAATCCTGAAGACTTCCAGCAGCCGTATTCTGTAGAAACAACTCCTTACTTGAGTGTTCAAGGTAGTCAGTTTCAGCCAAACTTGATCATTCCGCTTGCCCGACAAGGCTAACTGCAGACGTCGAATAAGGTTTGACCAATGACAGATATGACCCTATGCTATTCCGACCTTCAATCAAATTTATCGTTATACTCAAAAAGAGAGCAAGTTTCTATGCAGACAGATCACAGATATGTATTGTGAAATGCTACAAAATCTTATGCAGCCAAAATGTCTCTCCATTTCCTTTTTTTGCAATACTTCAATTAAGTCTGACGAATCTCTACAACAACCACTACCTCTACAACAACAACAACAAAAAAGACATCAAGGAGACTCTCTTTTCACTAAACACATTACTCGTCATCACTGACTTCCACATCCTCTTCGCCTGCGAATAGCTCGTCATCAACGTTAACATTAGCCATATCTTTCGTAATCCGTGCCGTAAGTTCGTCGTGTGTTTCAGTATCGTCCATGTCCCTTGCATATGATGAAAAGTCGAAGACATTGTCGTCGTCCTCGTCGTCGGCTCCAGCAATTTCGGGATTGAAGTCAAATAATTCTCTTCCGGAGAACTGTAACATCTTTCCAGCTTTGAAAGCAGCCTCTTTGGCTTTGCGTTTAGCTTGTTCTTCCTGTTCAGCACGTTCAGCACGAGTTCTCTTCCAAGCTGCAAAGGACTCTGCTGTCACAGGAGTGAGGTTCTTCCCCAGTTTATGGCGTTCCGTCTCCAAAAAGTCTTCAATTGAAATAACCTCTTTGTTCGCCTCAGCTCTGAGTTCAGCTTTGGTCTTTAACACGAAACCAGGAGGTAAAGCATGGCGATATTTACATTGTGTCCCTAAAGATCAAACATTAAAACAATTAAAAAAAATTGATGAATCTCATGCTTTTTTTTTTATTACTAGTTTTATTTGTATTATTTGTTATTTTTCTTTCTTTCTTTCTTTATAAAACATAAATTTTGCTTACCCCCGTTAGGACAGTCCCAGAACCAACCGTACTTTTGATTTTCAATGGCTTCCAAGAAATATTTGCACACAATGTCGGTAGTCGTCGCATTAGGATTGCCCTTTGATTTCGAATTAACAACAGACTCTAACTTTTGTTGATCCCACTTATCCATTGTATCTGTATAACAATAAACACGGATAGCAAAGCCAGTTATCAATATCATAGGTACTTTCAGATTCAATAGCCTTATTTCATGCTGTTCAGGATGAGCGACAATTACCATTCTTCTTTTCTTCATCACGATTATCAGTGTACAAGTCTCGCTTAGTAGTCTTTCGCTCAACATTTGGATCGTGAGAGAATTTGCATTTGTCGCCCTTTGTACATGTGCCAGCTTTGAAGAAAGCGCAGAGAACAGTTTTGGGGTTAACTCCGAAAGGAACTTTTTGCTGCACTTGAGCGGGTTTGAAAAGCTCATTAAGCTCATCTTTCTTGGCTTGTGCGGCACGCTTGCGTTCAGCAATAGCTTGCTTCTCACGCTCCTTTTCCAGCTACATTGCCAGCCAGCATAAGCGTAGTATAAGTCATCGTTCATTTTTAATAAATTGAAGTGTTAAAGGACAATCGATAAAAAAAGAAAAGGATGAGTACGGTTATTAAGTAAAATTAAGCTGTTGTTAAGACCCGTGCATCATTCCGTACGGCTATAACATATAATACCCACTATTTAACAAGGTGATCTCTAACATTACCATATCCTTTCTCGACTGACCAGCCTGTGCAGCCTGATTCTTGACGGTTTCTACATATCGACTGACTTTAGCAGATTTGTTCTTATTTTTAAGACCAAAGGTCTTATCTTCAACAATCTTTTTCTTCTCAGCAGTTTTCTTGGGGGGCATGATATGTGGAAGTGTGCTCTGTACTGGAAAATGTAATAGTAGCCGGGAACTGGAGTAAATGAGGAGAATAAATGTCCAATTGATGGATTGGGGGCGTAAAAAACGGCGTAGGAGTCCATAAGGTCATGTGCTCCGCTATATGTGACTACTAACTAAGCCACCTAAACAAACAAGGTCGTTTTTTTTTTTATCTTCAATGAATTATCCTTGATAGGCTCGCTATTACGACTCTTGTCTGACTATTTGCCATTTTTCTTACTCTTTTTTCCAATCTCTCGATTGGCATTCCATCGCGTGTTACTACAGAGGAACTGAAAAGAAAAAGAGCAGCAAACCCATTCAGCACTTTCGAACATTGATTTGTCGGGCACCGATCAGAAAGAATGAACATCGCTCGACCAAACGGAACAGAGGTCACTTCAGTGGCATTCTCCTTTTACGATGCTGAAGAAATCAAAAAAATCTCTGTCAAACAGATCGTCAACCCTATTCTCTTTGATAATCTTAACCATCCAACCAAGGGCGGTCTCTATGACCCGGCATTAGGTCCTTTTTCAAAACACCATGTGTAAGTTTGTTCGACTGATGCAATTTGTATCATAGTCATTATAATATATTGACTAGCTCTTTATCTCATGGCGTTCACATGACCATTACTGCTTTATAGATGTGCGACTTGCTCCCTGGATCACTTTGCCTGCCCTGGCCACTTCGGACATATCGAGCTACCATGTCCAGTGTATAATCCCATGTTTTTCCCTCAGATGTACCAAATGCTCCGCTCAACATGTTTATTTTGCCATCACTTTAGGATGTCTAAAAGCGAGGTACGCATGAGCACCGAGTATCTGATACTTGATTATGTCTAATTTACCTACTCTTATTATATAATCAACATAACTGACTGGTCGATCCTTTCCTTGTAATTTTATTTACTATAGACACATCGATATATCTCAAAATTACGGTTGTTAAATAGGGGTCGTTTTTTAGAGTCGAAGGAAATCGACAACATCTCTGTGACCAGTAGGAAGATCAAGGACAATGGCGACATGGAGACGGATGACAACAAGGAAGAGATCTTAGGAGAGGATGAATACATTGCCAAGCTCGATACCTATGTTGAAGCTTGTTTGAAGAAGGCGGTTCATGGTCATGAGGATTACAAGACGACAGTTGTCAACGACGAACGGAAACGTGTTATTGCAGAATTTTATCGTCGTGCCACCAATGTGAAGAAGTGTAACAATTGCGCAACGTAAGCTTGCATTATATTATAGAACGGCTAAATACATAGAATGATGAAAGACTGCTTTATTAACGATATTGGTATCATGCCCATTTTTTTTTTATTTTTTTTTTTTTTTTGTCATTCAGTTTTTCGCCCACTTTTCGCAAAGATGGATATGCAAAAATCTTTGAGAAGCCTTTGACCAAGAAGCAATTAATGTACAATACCGCTCAAGGACGTGAGCAGACCAATGTTCTTGCAACACAGATCAAGAAAGCCGCAACCCCGATGAGTGATAGCGACTCTTCAACTTCTGAGCACACAGAGGATGAAGAAGATGATGCAGACGATGATGCAGATATGTCTTCAGCTGGAGAGGATGTCAAAAAGAAACAAAAAGAAACAAAAGTCGCCAAGACCAAAAAGTCAAGGAACATTGTTGACAGTGACGATGAAGATGCTATGGAATTGAAAGACAACAACAAATACCTTACTCCACTTCACATCCGTAACCTTCTTCAACGCCTCTTTGTCATTGAGCAAGATATGTGTGCGCTTCTGTACGGCTCAAACGGCCCTCAAATGCAGAAAAAATACACAAAAATCGTCAGCGCAGACATCTTTTTCCTTGAAATTTTGCCTGTAGCGCCTACTCGCTTCCGCCCTGCTTCTGTCATGGGTGACAAATTGTTTGAGAACCCTCAGAATGAACATTTGGGAAAGATCCTCAACACCTGCGAGCGTCTCCGTGACCTGACTTCAACTAACAAAGCGGATGAAGCCGCTCTTAAGAACCAAAGACAGGGATCATTCAAATACCTGGTAGATGCTTGGATTCAACTTCAGCACGATGTTAACTCGCTCATCGATTCGACCAAGAACCCTGTCATCATGCGTGGAGGAAAACTACCTCCCGCTGGCATCCGACAGGGTCTTGAGAAGAAGGAAGGTCTCTTTCGTAAGCATATGATGGGAAAGCGTGTCAATTATGCCGCTCGTTCCGTCATTTCACCAGATGTCAATATTGAGACCAATGAGATTGGTATCCCCCCTGTTTTTGCTACGAAACTCACATATCCGGAACCCGTCACCCATTACAACGTCAAGGAGATGCGTCGTGCTGTTATAAATGGCCCATCCAAGTGGCCAGGAGCTGCCTATGTACAGCATGAAGACGGAGCTCTGTCGTCACTCGCTAACTTGTCACTTGAATCTAGAATCGCACTTGCCAACCAACTCCTTACTCCACAGGATTCTCATAGCGGTGTTTCAACCACTTCACCTTATCCTACACGTACTCAACCTACAAATAAGAAGGTTTATCGTCACCTTCGTAATGGTGACTTGCTGTTGTTGAACCGTCAGCCTACTCTTCACAAGCCTTCGATCATGGCCCATAAGGCTCGTATCTTGCCTGGAGAGCGTACAATTCGTATGCATTACGCGAACTGCAACACCTACAACGCTGATTTCGATGGAGACGAGATGAATGTACATTTCCCTCAAAATGAGATTGCTAGAGCTGAGGCAAAATTGATTGCTAACACAGACTCTCAGTACTTGGTCCCTACGTCTGGTGCTCCTCTTCGAGGCCTGATTCAAGATCATGTTGTCGCCGGTGTTTGGATGACTATTCGTGGATCATTCTTTGATCGCTCCGAATATCAATATCTGCTTTATGGTGCTCTTCGTCCTGAAATTGACCGTACTGGCAATGGCAAAATTTTAACCCTCCCACCTACTATCTGGAAGCCTGTTCCGCTCTGGACTGGTAAGGACGTCATTACTGCCATTCTTCATAATTTAACTATCGGCCGTCCACCTCTCAGCATGACTGCTGGTGCTCAGGTCAAGGCTCAGTACTTTGGGAAGGGTGGTGAAGAAGAATCTATTGTTCAGATCATGGATGGAGTCTTGATCACAGGCGTTCTTGATAAGTCTCAGTTTGGAGCCAAGTCGTATGGTCTTGTTCACAGCTGTTATGAGATATATGGCGGCGACATTGCAGGCAAGCTGCTTAGTATTCTGAGCCGTCTATTCACTCGCTGGACTCAGCGTTGGGCTTTTACCTGTCGCATGGATGACTTGAGGCTCACTCCGGAAGGCGACAAGTGGCGCCATGATCTTCAGGACGGTGGCAAGGATATTGGTAGTAAAGCTGCACTCAAATATGCCAAAATGGATTGTACTGTCGAGCAGCTTAAGAAGAATGGAAAGCTGCAGAAAGAATTTAGAAACAAGCTTGAGACCGTATTACGTTCAGATGAACAACTGGCTGGACTTGACGCTACTATGAAGTCTACTGTAAATGAGTTGACTACATCAGTGCAGAATGCATGCATTCCTAATGGGTTGGTATGTCGTATAAAGTCTTTACTGGACCGCTTTATAACATTTGATGTATGAATTGTGGCTCTAACTTGACCTTTTATTAATTAATTTATTTGTTTATTTATTTATTTTTGCTTGTATAGTTGAAAAAGTTCCCATACAACAATATGCAGACTATGACCGTCTCTGGAGCTAAAGGTTCATATGTTAACGTAACACAGATTTCCTGCGCTCTTGGTCAGCAGGAGTTGGAAGGTCGTCGTGTTCCTATCATGGTCTCTGGAAAGTCATTGCCTTCATTCGCTCCTTTTGACACATCCGCCCGTGCTGGAGGCTATATCGCCGGACGTTTTTTGACAGGTATCCGTCCTCAGGAGTATTATTTCCATTGCATGGCTGGAAGAGAAGGGTTGATTGATACTGCTGTTAAGACATCGCGTTCGGGATATCTTCAGAGATGTTTGATTAAGCATCTAGAGGGGCTGAAAGTTGGTTATGATCAGACAGTCCGTGACTCGGATGGGTCAATCTTGCAGTTCCATTACGGTGAAGATTCGCTTGATGTGATCAAGCAGGCTCACATCAATCAATTCAAGTTCAGTGCCGAGAATTCGCTTGCTCTTATTGCAAAGTACAGACCTGCACAGGTGTTGCCACTCTTGGACCAAACAGAGGCAATGGCTTACAATAAGAAGGTGGCACGTAAACCCCACAAGTACGACCCAACCCTCAGCTTGTTCTCACCCAGTTCATCCGTCGGAGCTGTTAGCGAGGCATTTGAGAAGAAGCTTAATGATTACGTGGAGAAAAACCCCGACGGAATCATTCAGAACCCTGGTGATGCTGTAACGAAGAAATCGGAGCGTTACAAGGGACTAGACAAGAAGAAATTTAAGGCAATGATGTATCTTCGTTATATGAACTCTCTTGTTGAGCCTGGTGAGGCTGTTGGTCTGTTGGCTGCTCAGGGTGTGGGAGAACCCTCCACTCAGATGACACTCAACACATTCCACTTTGCTGGGTTTGGAGCTAAGAACGTCACGCTCGGTATTCCACGTCTACGTGAGATTGTCATGACGGCTTCAACAAAACTCAAGACGCCTACCATGAGTCTGAACATTAGAGAAGGTGTTACAGATAGCCAGCTGCAGTCGTTCTGCCAGGATACGTCGCGATTGACTCTTGCTCAACTGATAGATAGCGTCCAGGTCACTGAGCGGTTGATCTCTAAATCTGCTGCAACTAATCAAAGACGCCACAAAGTTTTCGCTATTCGTCTGAATCTCTTCCGCGAGAGTGAGTATAAGGCAGAGTATGGTGTAACATCCAATGATGTAGAGAGTGTAATTGAACATCAGTTTGTCAAAAAGCTTGAGACAGCCATCCTCCGAGATATCCGTCGTGTATACCGTAAGACCAAAGGAGTCAGTGAAGATGAGATTGGCAAGCCCAGCAAAGTTAAAGAGACTGTGGCTGGTGACGAGGATCACGATGATGAAGCGGAAGTGTCGCGTCATGATGCTGGTGGTGATGAGAGTGACGATGGAGATGGAGATGCTACATCTGCAAAGCTCATGAAGAGGAGCAAGCAGCAAGCCTCATATGAGGGACCTGATTCGGAAGATGAGGAGGTTATCAAGTCTGCAGACAAGGCCCAAAAGGAGCTGGATGGTGAAGATTCTGATGTCAGCTCTGATTCAAGTGATGATAGTGCAGATGAAGTTGAAGATGAGGCTGATAAGCGTAAGCGTCAAGCCCGCACAGCCAAGCAGACTGAGAGGCGTGAGAGGATGATGGAGGAAAACCGGAAGGATCGTGAAGAACGGCTCTGTGCTGCTAGTCCTTATGTCCAGCGTTATTCATTTGACAACGAGCATGGATCATGGTGTGAGATTGAGATGCATTTCCCTGCAGATACGAAGAAGCTTTTAATGGTCAATCTAATTACTGCTGTCGCGCCAAACTGTGTTATCCATGAGATCAAGGGCATTGAGCGGGTGTTCATGTCTGAGGACGAGAAGGGTAAACCTCAGATTGCAACCGAGGGAGTGAATTTGAAGGGAATTTGGGAGTATTCAGACCTGATTGATGTTAACACTATCTATTCCAATGACATTGGCGCCATCTTGAGGACCTATGGTGTGGAAGCTGCTCGTAGTGCCATCATTCAAGAGATCAGTGGAGTATTTGGTGCCTACGGCATCGATGTGGATCGCCGACACTTGACGTTGATTGCTGACTATATGGTAAGAGCCCTGGGTTTATTGATTCATGAAATCGGTCTTTTAAAAAACCCCAGGTCAGAAATGCTAATGATTTGTATTTCGTATTCAATATTGCTTTTTTTTTTTTTTTTTTTTTAAAGACTTTTGAGAGTGGATTCAAACCGTTCAACCGAATGGGAATTGAGTCCTCTACATCGCCATTTTTGAAAATGTCGTTCGAGCGTACTTGTCACTTCTTGACACAGGCAACTCTGCATGGAGATTATGATGCCTTGGATTCACCATCAGCCCGTCTAGTTCTGGGCAAAGTAGTTGAGGGCGGAACAGGTTCATTCGATGTGATGCAGCCCCTTGTTCCTGAGACGATGGATGTCTAGTCCGAATAGCAAAGCATTTAAACATTTTTTTTTACGATAGACATTCCACACAAAAACAAACACATGTTTCATTAAGCAAAATAAAAGCTCAATTTTAATTTTTTTACCTTCTTCTCTTTCTATCCGAAATTCTACTCTCCTCTATTTCAACTGAATATTGTCGACAATGGCCAACGCTGCTACATTCAAGGACCTCCAAGGTGCTCTTGCCTTCCTCACCCTCGGTGAAAGAGCCTTGCCTACAAATCTTGCCAAGCCCAAGGTGGGAATCGTCTGTGGATCCGGTCTTGGTGGCCTCGTTGATGCTCTCCACAACAAGGTGGAGTTTGCATATTCTGCAATCCCTGGTTTCGTCGACTCCACCGGTAAGTTAAAAAAAAAAAAAAAAAAAAAAAAAGCATTCCTTCATACATTCCATCAATTTCATGTATTCGATCTAGGAATCCATAGACAATATAGTCCTTTTAGGCGATTCAAATATACTTGCAACTAACTCTTACAGACCACACACGATAATGACATCGACATTATCAGGGCAAAAAAGGAGACCCAATGGGGAATACTTAACATGGAGTCTGAATGAAAAACATGTGAAGATCCATTGCATTAAGAACAAAAAAAAAAAAAAAAAAAACCAGAGATCCATAAACCAGTCAACCGTTGAAGACTAAGAGGCACATCAGCATTGATCAACTCACTCTCAGTCTGACATTTTTTTTTTATCCTTGTTGCTGTTGATAGTTGCCGGACATGCTGGTAAACTCGTATTTGGCCTTCTTGGTGACAATGACGTCCCCACTGTCTGTATGGTCGGTCGCTTTCATTTTTATGAGGGATTTGCATTGACTCAGACAACTTACCCGATCCGTCTCATGTCGCTTCTCGGTGTAGAGACCCTTATTGGTAAGTTTTTCTTTTTTTCAATCATTTACTTATGAACATTGCTGATATTATTTTCTCACGAGTCAACGAAAGGACACTCTCTTTCACCCCGCACTTTCAGAATGAACCCACTTTTATCCCCGCCGTAGATATTTTTATTTTTGTTGGTAAACACTGGCATGTACCTTTATTGAAAAGATCAAGGATTCAGAAGACATTCACCATAACCCCGCACTTGTTTTTGCTTTTTTTTTTTTTTTTTTTTTTTTTTTTTTGCCGTTGCACTATTTTTATTGGAACTCTTGAAAGACCAAGGAGACTAGCCCGACTTTTTAAATTTGAAAATAATACCCAAACTACCAGGATCGGTGCCTTCGAAACAAACCATTTATATCCCATGCCAGAAGACCTACTTCTATTTATTTGAATGGGAATACCTAACTTTTTTTATTTTTTTATTTATTTTTATTATCCTAGTTACTAATGCTGCTGGTGGATTGAACCCTGCCTTCCAAATTGGCGACGTTTGTATTATTGAGGACCACATCAATCTTCCTGGTATGACTGGTAACAACCCATTGATTGGACCCAACATGGCCGAATTTGGACCCCGCTTCCCTCCTATGTCAGATGCCTACTGTCCTCGTCTTCGTCGTCTCGTGTATGAGGCTGCCAAGAAATTAAATATCCCCAAGTTCCTTCATGAGGGTATTTACGTATTTGTCTCAGGGCCTTCATACGAGTCCAAGGCTGAGTGCCGCTTCTTGAGATCCATCGGCGCCGACGTTGTAGGCATGTCTACAATCCCCGAAGTCATTGTCGCAAGACATTGTGGTATCAAGGTCTTGGGCTTGAGTTTGGTCACTAACCGTGCCGTTATTCATCGCGAGCCGCGCTCTGACCCAGACGCACCCCCAGAAGTGAGGCCAATGGAGGAAAGGATCGCAAGCCATGAGGAAGTGCTGGAGGCTGCAGATGCCCGTGCTAAAGATCTGCAGGTAAATTCTGTTAGAATATGACTCTGGTCTTTGTGATTATTCATCATGTCTTGTTTAATACTGATTGTTTTACTTTCATCATCTTCGTTGCCCTTTTATTCTGTAGACCCTTGTCAAGTATCTCGTCGATATGATCTAGAGTTATATTAGATGCATCCATTCGTGCCTAGATTAAATAGATAAATAGATAGACCTTTCATTTCGTAATTAATGATCATCGCTGACACCATGAGATATCCTAATGTTCTGTGTCAATCTTTTCTCGTTCAAAAACCATGTTGTGGTGTTAAAAAAAAAAAAAAAAAAAAAAAAAAAAAATTGTTCAAGCACAATGATATCTGTACTTAATCACATCTTAATTATGGTCCATGAAAGAAATAAACTTGATTTCAGCTTAATTTTCAGGTCCATGCGATTTTGCCTGTAGAGAGCAGAAAGTTCGGCAATATTTCTGCCCTCCAGAATAATCATGCAAAACATTGCCCATATTCTAAATCCACTTTAGAAAAAACACGATGACTTCAAATACCTTGAGGGACAGATAGAGATGCCAACTCAGAAGCCTTTTCATTGGTATTCAAATCAACAAAGATTATTCTATCTGAATCAGCCCGCTTACTGTCATGGTTTGGTGCATTTCTATTAAAAGTATATTCATTAAAAATAAAATATATATAACCTGGAACAACTCAATTGGCACCCGAACTGGGAGCCTTAGGTATCATCGATCCACTTGTGGGTCTTGCGGAGATTCCATTTGTCAAACCACTCTCATTGCTTGCATGAAAGTTGGCGCTATATCGTGGGTGATGATGGCGGTAATGTTCATGCTGTGATGGTGCCCGATGTGAACTCGAGCCCCTGTTTTGAGAACTAATCCGCTTCGGATGATGCTGATATAACTTCATCTGAGCTTTCTGTTGCTCTTGGCCTCGTAGAGGCTGATAATACTGTGGCCACTCATGATCATAATCTTGGACAAAATCGTCAGCACAAGAATTATCATACACCTTGGCACCTCGATTTCTAGGCTCGGTATCGTACCAGCGATCCGGAACCATATCCAAGTGCCTGTCCATGGCCGCGCAGAACCGCTTGCAATATTGCGCTGGCGAAACAATGGTTGGCTCTTGTGATCCAACTGCGTCCTTGACCCATGACTCCAACTTTTTGTCCCATGTAAATGGCCGAATAAAATCAACGATACCGACCAAAATTTCCTGCCGATCATCTGCGACAGCAACCAAAAGTGAGTAATCCATAATATTAAATCGCTGTAGAAATTGACAATCATGCTGTAATGATTTAGAAAGCTGGAGCTTGGCGTGTTCACGGATAAAAAAGGGAGATTCAGACATAAACTCTGAAAAATTCTCATCTAGCAAAACTTCATTTTCCTTGCCACTGGGGTGAACATATCGATTCCGTCTTGAACCCTTGAGGTCAAAAATTTTAAGTTTCTTGCGATCATAAAAAAGATTTTCCATGACGAGGACATCCATATTCATAGATCGACCAAGTGCTCCATGCTTGTATCCTACGCGATAGAACCCAAAGATTTTTGCTAACACCGTCGGTTGCTTTTTATATGTATTTGATTTGTTTAGCACAAAAGAGTCATGGTGTTTATTAGCGAAGGGAACAATTAACATTTTATCTTTTCCTGGTCAACACTAAGACATAATCCCTACCTTGTGAAAGAAAGCGTTTTGCATGTACTCAAAGTAATGAGGTGCAAACTTGATGAACGCTTCTAGCTCAACCTTTGATAGCTGTTTCATAATGAAACGGTCATCACGAGTTTTGAGGAAAGACGATCCGGATTTGCCGCCATTAGCTTCCCATTTCATACATCGCGCAAGCGATTGGATATACGAGTATTCGCATCCAGCAGCTTTACGAAGAGCATGGAATTGCTCCATATAGAAAATCTTGCAGTATAACATGGTAGAGTCATCCCTAAACACTATCATCCATGACAATTGCAAAGCTATCGTAAATATATAAAGATTGAAAAGCTAGAGCACAAAGACTATAGTCAGTGTAATCGTTGCCTTACTAAATTTCATGTGTGTTCCAGGTTCAGAGAGTAACGAGTCGTCAAGAACTTGAATATCATCATATATTCCCTCAATCGAAGAGACAAAGGAGTTAGACAGACCATTCCCATTACTATCGGGTGCCTGGGCACCATCTTCTGCAGGGATGGTAGCGCTAGCCATCGATATTGAGGCAGTTGAATTGCCTTTACTCTGGTCTGCATCCACTCCTTCAGCCCTAAAGATGGCTCTAAGTTCATCTACATATCGCGGTGAACTTAACGTCAAGGCAATTATCGAACTAGGCTCGTCTTCCCGCACAATGATTTGAGAGCCCGGAATCACATGTTCTGATGGCTGCCTACATATAAAAAATACAATTGCAGCGGAACTCATTAATATCAAACCTTGCCAAGCCGTAACTTGTGCACTGGGTCACCGAATGAAACTCTGGCTACTCACAGAGGGTAGTTTAAAGGAGTAAAATTTCGAGAGTTCCGATCCTGCCAAAAATTGGAAAGTGTCTTGATCAGCGATCCACGCTCAACACCTTCAGCTACCTCACTTAGTTGTGGAAGCTTTGATGCCGCTGCTAATGCAGCACTCAGTGTACCAGAAACAGACATATTCATGGATGAAGCCTTTACAGGAGAACCCATGGCAGATGTACTCGAGTCTGCTTGATCAACAACAGCGCCTCTTTGGCCGGATCGATGACGCTGGTCGCACGAATAGTCGTCATCTCCTAAAAACATCATGACTGGATCCAAAAACATTTCTTCATTATTGCTCATAGATGATACTCCGCCTGCTGATCCGTTGATCGTCCATGCATTATTATTTCTGAAATTATAAGATGCTTCAATTGCCAGAGGATCTTCGCTTCCAAGAGCTTCGTCCATAGCATCCGTTTGAATTAACGAGAATGTGTAGCCTCGACTAGGTTGGTATGGTTCATCACCTTCGCTTTCAGATTGGTAATCATCTTCATCCTCTGATTCTTCCTTGGCAGCTTCTTTCGCGCTCGAAAATACAACGGTCGAATGCTTATTTTCCTCCTGTTGCGAATTACGACCGGAGAGAGCGTTCATATACCGAGCTCGAGCATCCACGGTGGAACCTGGTATTGGCTGTGTAAAAGATCGAGACCTGTTTACAATCAAATTCTTATGTAGCTCGGGCCCAGCGGAAGAATGATGCGCTGGGATAGTATTTCCGCTTCCTTGAGCACGAGCAAGGTATTTCGAGCGTCTAGTGCCAAGATTCGTGGCTATCAGGGTATTTGAAGATGGATAACATCCCCCCACAAGCGTAGAAGGCACGGAAGGGGCCGAGATTGCAATCGAAAAGGTTGGGTCTGTTGGTCTCCTAGACCTGGGCTTGCTAAATTCTGCTAGAGAAACAGATGTCACAGGAGGACTTGAGGGAGAAAAGTTGAAAGGAGTTTTTTCCGTTGGCCGCTGTTGGCGTGGCTTGCTGAAGAACGGGTTTTTTCCTGAAGATGTTGATGATGCTGAGGACGGTTTTTCTCCTGTAGGAGTACGGTCCAATGGAATAATGAATTTCTCGCTTAAATCCTTCACTCCTAATGGAGAGGAGCTTCCAGAATGTGAAGGTGTGGGAACAAGACTAGCTCTAATCTGTTGATTCTCCTTGCGCTCTTGCTGAATTAAGGTCATCGGATCATACGTTGGTAATGAAGCCATAGACAAGCGGCTTGAGATTCGTGTTGTATTCCGTGTTGACACAGGAAGGGTCCGTGCTATAGTAAATGCTGATGATGGTTCCCTGCGTTTAGCCTTATCATTTAAGTCCTCATCCGGGACCCCCAGGACTGAGTCAGATGTCAGAGCGTGTGTAAGTTTAGGCCTGTGTTCTTGCATCAGAATCATTGACAATCTTCGAGTGACCTTAGACTCTATGAATGGGAACGTTATCTGTGATATGACTTTCTCTTTCTCTACTGTGCTCTCGGAGGCGGCTGCGTCTCCTTCCTCAATCCTTGACTTGGCGGCCTTATGGGTTGGAGAGCTGCCAAGGTACGGCAAGGCGGATAGATCGTAGTGGCCACCAATAGAATCGTCGCTATCATCAGTGTCCAATGTCATCGGCAAATAAAGGTCATGCATCAAGTTCGCACGGTGCTCGGGATCTGATGTGGCAGGGAATTCTTTTTCATCAAATAGTCTCCTGAGCTGTGATGCAGTGCTGCGTCTGAAATCACGCTCCAGATTGAAATATTGGCGAGCAAAATCTCCAAAAATCTTGTCCCACTCTACAGACTTGTCATATAATTTGATTCGCACTGTGTCCAATGCGAGAGTGTCCGTTGGCGCACTATTGAGGTAAGTCTGCTGGAGTAACTGTAAGATCCCTGATTTCTCCGCAAGGACGTTTTTCGACATATCCAAAAGCTCCTGCTTAGCAGCGTCGAATTTGGACGGTGGAACAACATTTTTAATCCGCTCCATAACAGAGTCCCAATACCTGGTAATCTGAGAACGAACTAGATCCAGGTCTTGGGTCTTGGTGCGAGCATAAAACTCTGGTTTGCAGCGGACAAGCATTGGAGGGAAGGTTATGTCGAAAAGTTTGATTGGAATACGTTCAATCTTGACCAATTGAGTATCGAGGCCAAAGAATCGGATATGATTACGGTTGATATCATGCGGACAAATGTTAGCGCGGCAGGTCAAATTGGTCTGATAAAAGATTAACTCCAAGAACTTTCCAAAAGAATAGTTCTTAGTATCATCTGAAATGTACACTTGTGGTGTTTCTACATGGCAGATCTTACACTTGCTCCACATCATGATGGAGTCCTTCTTCAAAATTGTCGGAGAATCCCACTGCTCAATGGTCACTGTGATCTTAGCATCACCATGAGCATAAATATATTGGTGATCTTGAAGCGGACGACCGCAACCCGGAGCCATACATCCCAGCTTGGATTTCCAGCAAATTTGGACAAGATGATGAGCAAGAGTTGTATCACAATCCGAGAAATAATACTTAATGAACCCAATCGATGGCCTTATACACGTTGCTTTAGTTGACATACAAATGAATGAATATAAAAAGGGGAGCCCCTGATAATCGAAAGGGACAATGTGAGGTGGTCCTTTGTTGCTACTCAAAAAGTCCTCCCATGCCTTTTCTTTTGCTTGATAGTCGTTTAGGATGTCAATATAGCTTCCTTCAATCAGTCCACTATCTTGCGACCTTCCTGTCGAGACTTTGTTGAGAATATTGTTTGTGCTTGATGTCGTGAGCAGTATTCTGGCATTCCTAATATCCCTAAGAGCAGTAGGCGTAGCCGTTTTTTCAATCATCTTGAGCCTCTCCATATCATCGATCATGGCTGTTAACAAGAAAGGTGGACTGAATTTGACAAACGGTGATGCGGATAAAATTGTTTGCTTATAAGGTAAAAGGGATTCCTGTAGGCGTCTAATCTCAGGATCGGATGAGAGCTCAATCTTCTCATCATCCAAGGCTCTGGACTCACGTGGCGCCGAGGTCATTGCAAACTGATCATTCATGAGCGAGGTCTCGAGTTTGAGATTGTAAGAGACCCGCACCATCAGTCCAACGATCTTTTTGATCCTGTTCAATATATCTAATGACCCACCACGGAGTACAAGGGAACAGAATAGATTTCCTGGACAATCCTGGAAAAACATGTAGCTCTTTCTTTTGTTGGGAATCAGCTTGTGTACAAAAGTCTTGACTTCAAACGTCCCACAGATCCCAAGGTGAGGCTCTTTATCCAATCTATCAAACGACGTGATGATGTCTGCACCAGTCGCCTCTGCAATAGCTACTATCACTGGTAGCTTAACATTATACGCTACCGCGACATTGTGCTTCAAAAGAAGTTCCATTGCCACTCGTGAGACAGTTTTCTCAACGATAATGATGTGGGGACGGAGTGCAACAACTCGGGCGACCAGGTGTGTAAGGTATTCTCGCTCCTGATCCATAATTGGGGTCAGTGACATGAAATGATTCTCCTTGCGCTGATACTCCAATGCAAAACTCAAGAGCAGGATCCGAGGATTTTGGAGAGTCCGGTTCATTTGTTTGTGGGCAAGATTCTTAGTACAGACAACACCATTGATGTACATCGTATCCTGAGCAGTACCTCCTGGAATCTTCTTGATTTTAACTACTTCCATAACATCCATATCTCCAAGAACCTGTATGCTATTTGACACTTTGAGCACATGCTTCATAATCACGTCCTCCCATCCATCACTGCTATCGATTTCAAAACGTGCCAACAGTTGCTGCAGCAGTCGGCGCATATGCTGAAGGGATGCACTATTGAGCTCCATCACACTACCCGCGGTCGGTAACAGTCTAGGGTGTCTCCCCAAATGCAAGAGCGATTGCGAGTTAGACCCAAAGAATGGTGTAGCAGGTCTGATGTCCATAGGTGATCTTGCGGATTCTGATCCATCTGAACGTAACAAGCCCCTGGTTTCCAAGCTAAGACTGAGTGCACGGTTTGATCGGCCCCCATTTACACCAATCCGGCGGTTCATAGACGAGCGATCCTTGATAAACATACCTCTGATCTCATCTGCTCTAGAGACCCGTGTGGGAAGCCACTCTCGCGAGCTATGGCCTGGGGCACCACTATTGTTGACGTCTTCATCATCAATCACGTTATTGAGAGAAGCATAACTCATCACACTTGAAGGACCAGGCGACCAGAGTTCATCGTAATCGTCTTCTTCTTCTCGCAAGAAAGGCACAACCTCTGGATCTAGAACAGAATCATTAATGTTGTAGTCCTCTAACGCCAAGGATCTTCGAAATGGCACAATGCCACCATCGATTTGCTCTCCTGTGGCGGTATTGGATCGTGACCTTGCTAAAAACAAGTGTGATCCTGCGTGTAGTAACTTAAGAATCCCGTCAAAAGGGGTGTTATCATTTTGGGTAGCACTAATGCCAGGAGATATCGGCAGCTGCTGATTAAAATGATTCTGGGCGGCTAATGGAGCCGGAGTAGTCCAAGCTGTCCCTACAGTATACTCATTTGCTTCATTTTCTTGCTTTGCATCTCGCCCCATAGATTTCAAGCAGTAATCACATAATCTATCATAATCAAACTTGACATCAGTTTTCAACGCACACTTGGAACAAAGGACGTGTCCTAAGGTGGTAGAATGGGATCATATTTATTCAATAAGAGATATAGTTAGCCTACTCTTTCTAAACCAGAATAGTACTTATGATATGAAGACATGTGAACGTCGAAAATTGGCTTACCACACATTCGACAGTGATGCCTTCTACGGTAGACGGCAAATGATACGTTGCATCCATAGCACTCTTTAGCATTTTCGTCTGCCATCCAATAGTCTTTACTCACGCCCTCGCCGCGAATACGCCGGAATAACTTTGTCAATGAATTAGCCTTTTGATGTCCGGAACCAAAGCTCTTAATAGACCTAGCGTCAGAGTCCGCCGATGTATCTCTTGGCCCGAGGGTGTGGTGGATATAGTGCTTCAAAACAGAGTTATCGCCTATGGTATGAATTATTTACAAAGATACTGTCAGCATCGTTTTTACTTGATAACGATCTCGAGCATTGCACAACGCTGCGCAAAAGTACCTGCGCTGAGCCTCGTATGGCCTACAGCCTGATTGTCTTGCCGCCCTAGTCGCGTCGAGATACCCATCTCATGCATAGCAGATTGCTTGTCTCCAAATGCTGGACTGAGCGACACAACTGGCGGCGCAAGAGAAGCAAGCGATGCGGAATCATCATCATGGGTAATACTATGGTCAATTGTGCTAACTTTAAAGAGAGAAGAGGCTCTCTTGGTTGCCGTGGCTGCAGTAGGGTATCTTTGCATGACGATAGTGTGGTCTTTGTTGTCTGTAGATTGATTACGGTTATTGCTACTCTTCACGCTGCTACCATGTTTGCTATTTTTATCCGGAAGGGTATCCCATATTTCTGTATCCGAATGAACAGGGTATGACGGTCCAGCTACGGAAGATGAGGAAACTGCAACGTTTGTATGATTTCCGAGCGAGGACCGAGCAGTGAGTGACTCTGTAGAAAACGGTGACACAGTTATTGATGGTGAGCAGCCTGTTATATCTATGTCGGTGCCTGATGAAGAGAGTTGGCTATTGACGACTGCCGATGTAGCTGCCGTAGCTGTGTGGGTAGGAAAGGGAACTCTAGAGGGTGTATCTGTGGATGTTCCTGAAGGCGTATAGATATTTGGGGTCGATAGGGTAGTTTTGAAGCGCTGGAATATTTTTGAGAGCACATTCTCTGGTGGCTCCTCGGATTGGGGTGGTTCACAGAGCACATGAAAACTGGTGAGAGAGGACATGGTGGCCGTCCAAGTTGGATAGTCTGACTGCTAATGAGTAAGTGGTAGTGCCTGTTGTAAAAATTAAGACACGCAAGCATTAAGCATGGACAAGGAACGTTCATGTAAGCAGGGCTACCAGCCGTTGCACGTGTGAGGAACAAGTTTCATGTATATCTTAATATTTATTTAATTTCCTCATTTAGTGCCTGTTCAAAAATCTAATGGTTCGATCAGATCAAAAAAAAAAAATAACAAGTCTTTTTCTTCAAACTTCTATTCAGGAAATTGCACAAACAATCTCATTCTGATCGCTAAGTTGGCTGATCCCACAATAGAGATAGTCGAACGATCATGGCATCTTCTATTGGTGCACGATCCTATACTTCAGGACAACGTTTAGTGCTCGGGTCTACACGACTCCGTGTTACTGCTCACTCTCTGTCGTGCGCCACCACATATTCAGCTGAGCTGCACGAAACACTGTCAGTCCTACGGCAACTCTGTCTGTTGCACCGATACCCTTTCCCGCAACCCATATTCTCTCGTGCAGCCTCTCCAGCAATAGCCAATGCATCAAGTAAGATTTACATCAAGGATTATTATTGTGATAAAGCCGCGTCTACTCGAATTTACCAACCCTCGATGCAATCGCCTCATCATTAATGATTGCAAACTATTTAACATCTACAACAGGAGCCTTTAGGAGGCAAACCTACTCATCCTGTGCAACAGAGACAGCGAGATTACTAACAGATACACGAACACAGGCGCAAAGCGCCCGAGCAATAAACGAATCATTATCTCTTCAGTGGCCATTACCCCATAGCAGGACGAGAGAATATACAGTACGCATGAGATCACGAAGGATAGTTTATCTCCCCAAGTGGAAGCAAACAGCTATCGCGTCACAAGGATATGCAGAATATTCATACGACAAATCCACAACCGAACCAGTACACCCTTGTCTACTCGAGATCCATGGGTCAGCAGAATACAGCAACGTCGCATTGAGAGACGCTATCCAAGTTTTCCGTAAACAGTACAGGAATCTGGTCCTAAATGACCTCAAGTTTGTTCTAGAGCTGATTCAGGATGGCTCAAGTAATCAAGAAGAGTTTTGGGAGTATGTAGCAGTCCTCGTCCGACGATCTTTGCCTCAAATTAAGACAATATCGAAGACCGCTACCAATGAATGGCAAAGGACCCTTGCTTATGCTCTTCTCGAAGTTTATTGGAAGCAAAACCAATCTGTTTTTTTGGAGCAAGTTGAAAAAGCGTTTGAGCGGACAGCGGATCAGGAGACGAGTCAATCAAAATCACGGCCATCTGATGCAGAAATCATTGCTCACATTGTGATCGAGAGCTTGCTGGCAACATTTTATCCAAAAAGCGCGTTGGAATTGTATGATATGCTCAGCTTGCGTGGGATTGATATGCCACGTCGTATTCTCGCAAGCCTTATACGGATTGCTACCGCACAAGGCGATGACTACCAGCTTGAACGTATTGGCAATATGATGATTCGCCATGAAGAACTATATCAGGGCGCTCTGGAGTCTGCTACAACAAGATCAAGACCGTTCAATCGACCTTTGCTTATGTCTCCTAAGTTGATGGACGTATTTATTCGTGGAGCTTGCGAGAATCAGCTTTATGACTTGGCTAGAAAAGTTTTTGACCGAGGACTTGCTGCAGGCGAAAACTATCGCGTGATAACATTTACCAGAATTTTGAATTCATTTTCTGTCAAGGAGTTTGGATTTGATATCCTCTTAGCATCAGAGACTCATGAAAAGAGAACGGAACATATTTGCCGCCCAAAACGAACAGAAATACTTGGAAGTGAAGAGTCCAGCAAATATTCTCAATTGGAAAGGGATTCGTCTGTATTTGCGCCTAGTTCAATTGGTAGAAAAATCACGGTTGCTGAACCCCAAGACATTCAAAAGTACACGTTGGCAATGCAAGCACAAGGCGTCAAGCCTAATATGACTACACTAAATGTGCTTGTCAAACTCTATCTCGAGATGGCGCAATACAAGGTCTCCAATGCGCCTGCATGGAAAACAGTGTTCATTGACTTCAACCCGCTTAAACTAGAGCCAGATATCGTTACATATAATACTCTTCTCGCTTATTACGCGGCACACAAAGACCTATTAACCATGCGCAAAATCTATGATCATATGGCGGGGACACTAGATGGCGAATGGCTGAAATCAAGAAAAGCAGAGAGGCGGAGGAGAATTAACGATGCGTCTACCAATCAGGACATTGACCCGAGTGCACTGAATTCCAATATCATTCACCAGCCTCACAGTAATGACAGTGATGTCGCGGAAGAAATTGAAAAACTACCCTCAGAAAAGAGGCGGCCATCTCCAAGTCCACAGATGCGTTCACACCGCGACATTTACACATACAACATTATGCTTCACGCATTACTGCAGCATGCCGTTGAGACCAAGGACATTGCTTCGATTGGACAGTGCTTTCATGACATGGAACAAGATGGCATTCCAGCAGACACAATTACTTTCAACACCAATATTCTATATCATATTACTCGAGGGGATGTTTCTGCTGCGCTGCAGGTCTTTCGCAGCATGAAGCCAGTAAATAGAAAGGTCTCGATGCCTGCATTTACTGACGATCCGTGGGATGGCGAACGGGATTTGAGGACGTTCGGATTTAATAATGTTTCTCTCAGGAGATCGTCCAAGCCTGTCAGGTCAACGCCCTCTTATATTGGCAAACCCCCGACAGATGGGGCTATGTCAGGTAGATTGAAAACAGATGACTCGGTCCAGTCGCAACCAAACAATGAAACCCACCTATTGTCCACATCAATGTTAGAAGTGGACTCCCCACCAGCCCCAGATGTTGTCACTTTTACGTCGTTGATCAGTGGGTTTGCACATTTGAATCAAATGGACAAAGCAACCAATGTTTTCAAGGAAATGACGAACCAATTCCATATTGAGCCTAATCTCAAGACATACACGACACTCATCGCAGGCCTTCATCAAACTGGAGATCATAAACGAGCAGAACAGCTATGGGAAATTGTTGTCAATGGAAATAAAGCACCCTGCTCGAGAGTGGGTGGATATAATAACCACATAAAGGATCATGAGCGACAAAGTAATAACGAGTGCCCACCGACTGCAGGAGAAGTAGCACTTCAAGAAGATGAGAAAGATGAACGCCTAGAATATCAGCAAATGCTCCAGGGCCAACCAACAGAGCATTTAACTGTCATGGAGCGTCGACAAATTGAGACTCGATGTAAACTGTATAAAGAACAGCTGAAATGCTGAGCATTGACGCGACTAGACAAATAGATTTGATATATTTTTCAACCAATAACAGCTGCATGCGATACATGTGATGCCTGTAAACTAATTAATTGACATAAAAACATCATCACAACATTGTTGCTATAGTTTTATATTTATCTATTTATTTGGGTTATTCCTCTTTCTTTGCATTTTTATATTTCAGATCTTCGGACAGATGACAATGCAGTCTGGCCACGGAGCATGCGCCTTACCTGAATCAATGCTTCGTTTGGCTAGTGTTTAAAAGAAAAAACAAAAATCTGGTCAAATAAAATTGTTGAATCCACTTGTTGAATATGACTTTCACTGATTCATCGCTAATAGAAAATAGACGAATGTGCATACCGCAATCTTCGTAGTAGAATGATGATCTAGTGAACCGTCTACTGTGCTTTTTCCACGTGCAGAGGATGTGGTCAAGCCTGCCAACAGAATTCTCCATCCCTCTCTCATCTCAGTATCATACTGAGGATCAACCCAATAGCAATACCATCGATGTGACTGAACAACATCGAACGCAGCGTCATTCTCTTCCCCTTCATTCAGGTTACTGTCCGTATGCTTATCGACTTCACTGGTTAAATCATCACTGCTGGACCCAAAATTAGGTATACTAGGAATATAGGTGCATTGAGTGTGACATGCTGAACAGATCAACATCTTGCGGTCCCTCTGAGCCGTCCATCCAAAGAGAGACAGGATCAGAAGTTTATTATTTTCAATATCTGGAAACATGCCTTTCAGCTCTTCAACTTCAGCGTTTCCCTATAAAATCAACTCAATGGTCAATATTTGTTTTTTTTAAAAAAAAAAAAAAAAAAAAAAAAAAAAAAAGAGAGAGAGAGAGAGATAGTCATTATGATTCTTTCTTACTTACCAATGGATGCCGTATCTTCTCGATTAAAGGATCGCTTGCCATTGCTTCTAACTGGTGTAATCGATACAAAAGGTCCTCTCGAGCCTGCGACGGAGTTACTACAGGAAACTTGTAGATGTTGTCTATATGTGTAGCAAAGATAAGGCTCGTAAGATTGAATATGTTGGTTGATCTTTAAAAAAATAAATAAAAGAGTCCATAAGAAAACATTATTTAAAATGCTTGGCGTACTATCACAAGGGTGTGTCTTCCATGGGCATGTGGATTCATGATTATCGGTAAGCATCGCATGAAATTTTGATCCTAAAACTAAGGATTAAAAGACCTCATTGAATCAGTTCATCATAAAGCTAAAATAATGTTAGCATTGCAAAAAAAGAAAAGTACAAGTACCTTCGAGGTCCGTCTCTTGTAGGAGATCAAACATTTCCGAATCATCGTTTGATGTACCCTCCACATTATCTACGGTCATGTCCCCATCACCCCTGCTCTGCTCATAATCCGTCTTCACAATGACTACCCCATTACACCCTCCACAACACTCTAGTCTATCGTCTCCTTGATTGATCCACCCACGTTTAGCACACTCAACAGCATTGACTGCTTTAGGCTTGTCGAACCATGTGGATGGCTTGAATGTCTTCAAGCGCTCATGAAATTGATCTCTGGACCAAGGAAGATACCTTTGTTTGTTGGATTTAAGGGAGCCGACTACTGGCTTCTTTGAGGATGGTACGGCTGTAGGCATATATTTTGATGATAGATGATGAACGGGTGCTTCTGAGTAACCGGACTGAGTTGCTGATGCACTGGCTGCGATTGAAGCTGCAATAGAATCTTCCAACGTCGGTCGCGAGGTTGACAACCGTGAGAGTTTATCCAGTACTGATGGGCGAGGTGGTAGATAGATTCTCTTCTTAAGCCCTGCTGTGACAGTTACAGTTGAGGATGGCTGATCATGCACATGGCTGGCATCTGCTTCGCCATCTTTACCACTGATACCTTCAGAATAACTGGTGCCATCATTCGTATCGCTTGCTAGCTTTCCTGCGAATGACTTCTTGTTAGGGTGAGCAAAAAGAGAATTGAGTAATGCGAGTGACTCGTCAACCTTGCGCTTGGTATCCATGACTGATGCAATAAGGTAAACGAATGCCTTGCTTTTCTTTTCTGTTGTAAAAAAAAAAAAGATGACGTGCATTATCAGAAAAAAAAGCTTAAATGTCTATACTATTAATAATATATACATCCAAATGTATACAAAATATAAATGAACTCATTCAACTCTCCTTCTTCTCCTCACCATCTCTCCTTTTCTTTATCTCATCTCACGATTAGTCACTATGGATGAGTTTGCAAAATTAGATCGGAAAACACTTGGCTATGACAAGACAAACTCGCTCGCCATCATCATCGGCTTAGCTTTCATGGTCATCTTTCGGTTTATTGGCTATCTTGCCGCTAAACCACCCAAGGTCTCAGCTTTGGGGAAGAGTGGTTTCTGCATCGTAGTCCTGGGTGATATTGGTCACAGCCCACGCATGTTACTTCATGCTAGAAGCGCACTCGATGCAGGCTGGAGAGTAGATGTCATAGGCTATAAAGGTAGGTACAGATCTCTCTTATTTTTTTTTCCCCCTTATAAATCCTTAATTGTTGATTGTGTCTGATCAAAATGTAACATGTGCGAATTAAAATATCGTCCATGCTTGCTAATTACCCATTGCCCTTCGTGCTTAATATGCTCAAATAGGGTCGCGTTTGCCCGAGGACATTGAAAACCATCCTTCGGTCCAATTCCATTTCTTGCAAGAGCTTCCCCGTGTTGCTGAGAATATGCCACGCATCTTTTACTACCTTTATGCCCCTATTAAAGCTGTACTCCTTGCCTTTCAGCTCTTTATCGTCGCCATGTTCCAGGTCGCTGCACCGGAGGTCTATGTTGTTCAAGTAAGTCACACAATTGATTTAAGCAGAAGTATAAAAATCAGAAAAAAAAACGATCCGATCGCAAACAGCTAACACCCTTATTTGTCAAACTGTAGAACCCTCCCTCAATCCCTACACTTCATGTAATGCAGATCGTCAACTGGCTTAAGCAACGTCACTTGGTCATTGATTGGCATAACTATGGCGCTTCTATAGTTGCCAAGCGTTTAGGTCAAGCAAGTATTTTCACAAAATTAGTAGCAGTATACGAACGTATGTGGGGGTTTAAGGCTACCATTCACATATGTGTTAGTCGGACTATGGCCCGTGACTTGCTGTACAAATACGAAAAGCGTGGAAAAGTCATCACTTTATACGACCGAGCCCCCGAAAGCTTTCGTCAGCTGAATGTTAATGAAATTCATACTGTAAGGAGTTATAATATTGATTGAAATGGCACATTATTGCATGCACTATCTTACTTTGGAAGATTTTTTCTTCTCTCTTTTTTTATGTGTTTTGGTGATCATGACAGCTCCATAGTAAACTGAAGCTTGAAAAGCTAGTTCAAGAGCAACTATCGAGTGAGTCTTTCTTGCCCACAATCAATGCCAACCAAACCTTGCTGACTGAGAGAAAATCTGCAGAAGAACCTGCCACATTCCGTGCAGACCGCCCTGTCTTGATTGTCTCAAGTACCAGCTGGACTGCAGACGAAGATTTCCAAGTACTTTTAGATGCCGCCAAGCAATATGATGATCTATCGAAGCTTGAGAACACAGAGAACAACAAGCTGTTCCCTAAGCTCTTATTTGTTATCACCGGAAAAGGACCATTGAAACAGTACTATGAAGAAATTATCAGCAAGGCAAACTTTACGAACTTACGATTCATTACGACATGGCTTGACCCCGAGGATTACCCCTTACTGCTCGGTACGTTCATTAAACCTTACTTGATTGAATCACTCTTTTCTGGTCTCAGCTCAATCATAGCACTAAATAACAATGTTTTTTCTGATGCTAGGCTCTGCTGATTTGGGTATTTCATTACACACATCAACTTCAGGTATGGATTTACCAATGAAGGTCGTTGACATGTTTGGCTGTGGTCTTCCTGTCTGTGCCTTCAAATACCCAGCACTTTCGGAACTTGTAATCGCCAAGGCAAATGGTCTGATCTTTGAAAATGCTAATGAATTGAAAAGTCAGCTGGTGCATCTCTTCAGGGGCTTCCCCTTGGCTACGCCCGAGACACATATTCAATTGCAGCGTATGAGAGATGTCATTAAGACGACCTTTCAATCAACGAGGTGGGAGCAGAACTGGAACACAGTTTTGCTACCCTTACTCCGGAACCTGGATAAGACCTGGAGCGACTCTCAGATGTATGCAGAGAACCCTGTCTACGGCTTGGGCCCACGCTATGATGTCGAGTCTAATAGTGATGAAGATTTTAAGAGTGAGGAGTTGGAGAGTGAGGATGAAGCAAATGACTGAACACGGAGGGTCATGCGTAAGAAGAGAGGAGCATTACATATCTATCAATATTACAATCTAATGTCATAAATCGGAGATTTAAAAAAAAAAAAAAAAAAAATACTTGCCACATTCCTATGTGGAGAAGCAATACTTCGAGGGAGGTGAAGAGCTTCGGGCCCATGGAATCAACCTTTAAGGGTTTCTACGGCCTGTCTATAGTCGAGAGACAATTGTTAAGCGTGTATTGCTACTCAATTTGAAATGACGCACAAAGTTGATATTCCCTATCTGAAGCTCTATCGTGAACTTGACGTAGGTGAGCTGAAGGCGGCATGACCCACTTCTAGTCAGACTCAACAGACGGCATAGCTTAGCGTACGTGGGGACCTTATTGATATCATTTAACAGAACAACGGCATGGCGCCCATAGAGTAAGTTCCTTGAGGCCTTTTCTGAAGTCCACCATTGTCGTGGCCACTTCCTCCCTTCGACAGGGCTCGAACATATCTGCTGGAGCAGAGGAAGTGGAGCTATCCACGACAAAATGTTTCTGTGTATGAGCGAGTTACCTTTTAAAGGCTATCCGAAAAGGTTAAAATTGCGCACATAGGAGGATCGATGGAGTATGCGCGATATGCTGGATGATGAGTAAGCGTGGTAAACGTGGAAAGATAGAAAGACCTTGACTTCTCCTTGTCATGCTCGGAAGGTTCGACTGGCTGGATACCTTGATGAATCTTTATGAATTTATAGCTGAATCACTCCTAGTCTGGTCCCTTCTTGGGATATCCACACCAAATAGTCGGCATGTAGTTGTCGAAAGATTGCCTCTTAAGGGCTCTTTACCGAGGCTTCAAGGGCTGTTGGCGTCTATCATCTTTTGCAAGTTTTTTGCAAGGCAATATAAAATGTAGGTTTCAGTAACACTTTGTATAAGAAAACAATTCTCTTTGTATAGTATACCTGGTGGCATAAAAAATTTTGGATACAGAGCTAAAACTATGGCGACAACCACGAATTAGATAGAAGTCCATTTTGCAAGTATTTGAAAGGAAGCTTTCAACTTTGATGAATACAAGACACACGGCTATATACCTCGATGATCGATTTAAGACTGGTCACAACATAGCCAACGTCGTCCGCGGTCATCTGATACACCAACAGCAACCCCTCTAGCTTCAGCCGATAGACAAGGATGGAGCATATCTATGGATGAAAGGCAGTTGTTCAGCACGCGCCAAACGTCAAGCACCATTTGAGGCTGGGGAGGAATTAAGGAAATCCACCTATAGTTCTAAATTCGTTAAATTAGTGTAAGCAAAAACGCATTTAGGAGTCGGCAATCTTTCACAGTCACATTTATGACGTATTTTGAGAGAGGTTTGCGCTGTCCTCACTGGATAACGTGCTACAAATGACATGGAGCATTTCCCCTCTTGTCGCGACTTGCTCGTGGTTTACTATTCAACACGATATATCTCCAGCTCATCCTTGCTAGCTTTGCGTATCTCGCATTTGCCTTGTCATCTTAGAAAATTAAGCTGACTTTTTCAAAGCGAAATCTGGAAGATAATTACTGGTTGTCAGGAAAATAACCAGATTGGATAGTGAATTGCTGCACCTCCCTAACGAGCATCACAGCACAATTGCAGCCATGTCGGCTATACGGGAAAAAATGCAAGAGAAATTTGCATTGTTACAGCAGATGAAGCGGGTAATTAGCTTTCTCTTGCAAGTTAAAAAAAAAAGGGCGAGCTCCCCAGTATTATCTGTTCAACTGCCTATTGTGTCCTTAAGTTGAAAAGTATTGCGACTTCTCCTAAAATGCTCGTCTGTGGAATAGGAGAAGGAACTTAAAGAAGCCAAGGCAAAGGAAAACCAACCTTTTGACATATTTGCCTTGGCGGGGGTCAAAATCCCCATAACATCAAGTACATCCGCAGGAAGAGGACAGGGTGTGAGTAGTCGTAACGACGGACAGCAGTCCGTAGAACGAAAACTACGGGTAGACAAATCAGTAGCAGTGACTCAGAGACCTATTGTGGCTGATATCATTAGCCGTCGATCCTCTCAATCTTCCTCTTTAAAAAGTCCAGGAAGAACGACTGAAGAAGCATCGATAGTACCATCAACCGAAAAAAAGCTGAAAAGGTCTTCTATGGCCACACGCAACACATCCCAAGTCTACGAACAGAATGATAATCAAACTGGGCCCAATCATGTAATCTCATGGAAGCGCATCATCTGGCCATTTTGCTGTATGATACCACAAGTAAACAATTTGAATGAACTAATCTTTTTATTATTTTGGGCCTTCACATACCAGAATAATAACGCTGGTACAGGTCGTAGTAGACAACTTTCAATTGACTCTACAGCTTCTACATTTAACTATTCATTTGCTGAGAGCCCCACCACCGCCACTCCTCCGACGCCTATTGCTTCTCCCTTGAACGAGAATTCTAGCAAACAGGATCTGTCAGATAGCTTACAACCACAACAGACGCACAGTGTCCAGAGTTGCACTAGTGTGGACGAAAACGAGGAGATGGTCTTGAATGTATATGGTCGCTCGATTCCTCGCTCTCGCTGCCAATCTTTAGACGCTGGTTCGGAACTTGGATGTGATAGCGCGTAAGTCGGGTCTACTTCATTATCTAATAGGCATCCATTATGATTATTATAATGAAACCATGAGAGAAGGGAAAGAACTCATTCTGGCGTAATTTGTATCATTTCGTTTGCTCCACTTTCAACCAAAAAAAAAAAAAAAAAAAAAAAAAGGCAACAGCGAAAACGAAGACCTGAATATGAAGAGGAATACCAGTACTCGCATCGTCGTTTGGACAGATATGAATCACGGTATCGTTCGCGTTCTCGTTCGTGCTCTCCCAAACGTCGTAATAACAGACGCTCACGATCCCGCTCAGTCAGTCCACATTATTCATACATACAGGAAGGAGACCTTCACTATAATAGAGGACATGAATATGACCATCGGAATAGGCGTCCATATTATCATAACGGCCAACCTGATAGGCCATACACTCCTGGGTTAGAGACAGATCCTTTTGTAGCTGCAAGTCACTCTCTAGATATTGCTTTTTATCCTACGAAGGTTTATGTGGGTAACCTTCCAGAGTCAGCATCTCTCACCAGCCTTCGAGTTGCTTTTCGACCATTTGGTGATATTGACGACATGAACATTGTTGAAGACAAAGATTACGGATTTGTGACATTCAAGGAACCTGAAGCAGCACAGCAAGCTTTGGAAAAAATGAATGGGGCGGTCTTAGAAGGAACTGTGATCCGAGTTAACAGAGCCAAGATCCCGGAAAGGAACCACCATGGCTTTGCAGGCGTAGCTTGGATGGATGAGGACGGTGAACTCACGAGGATGGAAGAGGAACAGCATAAACAGGCTGCTGCAATTGCGAAACCCTTTGCGCCATCCTTACTTCCAAGCCCCTCTGTGTCCTCGTCCTCGTCCTCGTCCTCGCCTGACCGACCCACCCGCACCATCCATCAGCTTCCTCCACGACCGCGGTCACCAAAACCTCCTCTCAAGCCTGCAAACGTACTCCCCCCTATTGGCACAGACCCGCGCGCGGTCATTGTGGCTCGTGGCGGTGGACGTCAGATATTAAAATACGACGATTTGTAAAAAAAAACTTTATTTCCTCACTTGAGAAACTTGAGAAGCTAGTATGGTGGCCTTCACTCTTTCGATGTGTATATTCTTTTTTCCTCTACATTAGTCTGTACAGCAGGAAGATGAGCTTTTTTTACACCTGATAGGTCGAACAATAAAATGTAACAATATTCGTGCTACTGTTTTATTGGCGGCAAAATCGAAAAATATGTTTTGATGACGATAGAGGAAGATGAGAAATTTCTGACTTTGTAGAAGTGGGCAAAGAGAGAGAAAGAGAGAAGGCTCCCGGCTTGTTTAGGTGCTTGATCCTGTCCTCGCTATTGAGAGATAGCCTGTCATGTTGAGAGACTTAGACTGCGACAACTCAGAGCCAATTTATACGGGTTTGCTGTTAACAGAGACAAAGTGATATCCGACTATGAGGAGCATGGCCAGACAGCAAAGACCGTTGGCGAATGCAGTGAGTTGGTTATCGTCAATCATCTATTTAGGAGAAAAAAAAACACGTATGTATGGACTGTGAGTTGGATGAACAAGTGATGGGCAATTAAGTGAACAGGACATGGTGTTGACAACAGCACCTTGTATGTTTTGTAATGTAATGTATATAAACCAGTAAAAGAGATGAAATAAGGACAAGATGAAAGAAACCTCACTTTTTTTTTCATAAGTGGCTTACTTCTAGTCTAGTCTGTTAAGATCCTGTCGCGTGTTCAATGAAAAAAAAATATTGCTTTTTGAAGACTACGAGACAATGGTTGGCATGGCTAACGCAGCATCACCATCTGTCACAATCTTGATAAACACATCCTCTAGAGTCGTCTGACTTAGCCCCCAGTCCTCAATCGCTGGGAATTGATCCGGACGTGACAGATACGAAAAGATCTTTGAAAGCTGACCATGGCCATTGACATACTCCTGATCCTGATTCAGAAGCTCGATCTCATAGGTAGATGCGTTCGTAAATTTGTCGACTCTTGTGTATTTGAAACTTTTCAGGACTTTGAGCTCTATACTTTCACACGCCTCCTGTAGCTTTCCAGGCTTGGAAGAAATATTCAAACGGAAGCCGGATCCATATAGTTCCTTTAAATGCAATGAAGTACCTATGCATCTCAAGCGGCCTGAAGTCATGATGGCAATCCTATCTGAGAGAATATCAGCTTCCTCCATCGAGTGAGTCGTCAGAACAATGGTCCTATTGGCTTTGACCCGGTTGACAATGTCCCAGATCACGCGGCGGACAGCTGGATCCAATCCTGTGGAGGGCTCGTCCATTAAGATGACTGCATTGTCGCCAAGCAAAGAAATGGCGATCGACACGCGACGCTTCTCACCGCCACTGAGTCCCTTGACCTGACGGTCACGGAAGCTCGTTAATGATACAGAAGCTATAGCAAACGCGACAGCCTGCTGTTCAAGGTGAGGAGGGATACCATGCAAACGTGCATAGAACAGTAAATGATCGGCGACAGTAAGGTCGCCCCAGAGGATATCGTGCTGTGGGCATACACCGATTTTGGAGTGGATGGTTGGCATGTCTGTCCGGATACTGGCGCCCGCAACATAGGCAGTTCCAGAAGTTGGCTGATAGAGGCCTGTTAATAGGTGAATCAATGTAGATTTCCCTGCACCATTGGGGCCGAGCAGACCAAGTACTGTATTGGGCTCAAGGCCGAATGAAAGACCCTTGAGTGCAGGGTCAACCTTTCCAGGATAACGGTGAAATAAGTTTTGAATGATCAAAGGCGCCTTCGCGGGATCATAGTACGAACGAACACGCTCGCGTTCCGCATAGACATCTGCATCTGCACCTTCGAGTATATCTTGGTCACCCTCTGCTGCTCCATGGTAAGAGGCCTCTTGGTGAGTCGCAAGTTGTGATTCAATGCTTTGGATCTGAGGCGTATCACGCCTTTTGAAAAAGAATGATACTGGGAAATGCCATGGTTTCTGGACGCCATACTCTGTTGGCGCAACGGCGTCGATGTAGCTGTTAATATAATTGAATGGTTTATTGAAAATATAAAATTAGCATAGAAACATGTTGCGATGCTAGATTATCTCAGGACGAATACACGTCAAAAAAAAAAACTTACAATGTTAAAAGGACAAAAATAATACTTTCACCTATCATCAACACCACACAGTTGAATAGGGTGGTTCCTACCGCGAAATCCCTCCATTTCAATGGATACAGTCCGTTGATCCTGCTTGAGCTGGTGATACCAACCGATAGAATATTAAAAAATGAAAAGCTTGGATGTATGAACCAAGCAAAAGGTTTACCATCTTGGAAGATTTGATCCGAAACACTGGTCATGATACAAGAAAAGGCCACAAAGAAGTAAACCACAAGGACCGCACGGCGTGTACGAGAGAAAAATGTGGCGAGGAGGAAAGCCAAGGTGGTTTGAATATGGGCCCAAAGAACAAGTAAAAAAATGACAATGATTGGATTTGTGCGAAGGATAAACTGGGATGAAATTGCAACACAAGTGAGGCAGAACACGAGCGATAGGATTAGCTGCATGGCTATAAACTCGACATAATGAGATAGATAATACGATGAGGCCTTGAGTCCGTTCTAGTTGAAAAATTCATAGGCACTTATTAGGATCTGATTACCTTACCAAAAGTCAACATTCTCTTTTTATTTTGCTCTTACCATTGCCATCATTATGCGGTGGCGATCTTCCTTTTCTTGGACCAAGATAGATACAAAAGTCGGTAGAAGAAACGACAGACCAAAAGGGAAGAGATAAGCTGACACTTGGTTCAATGACTGTCCTTCCAAGGTGCTCGTGCTCCACTCTTGCGGCAACGCGCGTATACCTTGTGAGAGCACGTATTTTCCAGCGTGTTTGATTTTCACCGTTGCGCTCGTCAACTGTGTCATTGTGATTATCTGTCGTACTCCCGAAGATAGCGCCTCACTGTACATACTATTCCTCGTAGGAGGTTGTCCAAGCTGCATAGTTAGTCTGACTCTTGACTGGTCAATGTCCAGTTCTTCATATGAAACTGCACCAAAGGGCATATTCCGGGATGATAGACTCCCATATGGATTTGCTCCTAACGTAGTGATCAAGTCTACAATAGTCTTATCCATAGCCTCTTGGCTCTGTTGAGGTAAAAACATCTGTGCACTCCATGATGTGTAATATGTACGAGGATCATTCGGATTATCCACTTGCCGTCCCTCGAACGCTTTCATATAGCGAACAGGGATCGCGCCAAAAATACCAGTTCCTGGTATAACACCAGGTGCGCTCGAATTGTAGAGGATACTGGCATTAGATGGAGGCCAGTATTCGGATTCAAAGTAGCGGCTTTGGCTAGAAAAGTTACCAAGTGCCTTAGCGACCTGATCGTTGGCGGCAGTATAGTAAACTGTTTGATTAATAGGCCAGAAGCTAAAATAGGCAGGACTGCGGTCGGAAAAAGGATTCTTTTCTCTCCACTTTTGTTGCAATTCGCCTAAGCGTAACCAACCCAGTGAAGGGGGAGGTATGTAATAACTAAGCATAGTAAAAAAGGGAAATAAGGCAATAAAAAAGCAGTTCAGGGATTGGGTGGCTAGTTAGAATCATAAATGGAAGAAATGATAATGGAAGTCAATATCAGCCTATAAATCATTGTTATCTGGTTTACCTGTCAGGTTGTGCTAGCGCTTCTGTGGAAGCGTCCTCATATGGAGCTTTTGAAGGATAAGGCTGACTAAACCATCGGACGCAAGGCGTGGCTTCACCGGCTAGTCCCGTGTTTCTATAGAGCTGCGAAGGATACCATGATGTCTTGACAATGTCTGTACCGGGTTCTGGGAACCGCACTTTATCTAACTGGAAACCCAGGTCTTCCTCTCGATTCACCTCGTTAGCGCAGAAACGTACAGTACCAGTGTATCCAGAATGTTTATCACCTCCCATCATGACTGAACTAGCAAAGCACAGCACGACAAGGAGTACAGGCCAGATCACCAAACAACACATATTTGACACCCTCTGGCGTCTATGATAAGTGAGAGTACGACGAGCAAGGCCTCGAAATTGGTACCGGATTGATGGCTTCACATCTGTATAATCAATTGGGGGTGGAAGGGGGTCATGTTGAAGTTCATTTTCTTTGGATGGATGAGAGCGGATATCTTGCATGGGTATATGGGTCTCATGGTAAGGATCGGAAGAAATAAGCTCGTTAGAAGAAGAATGGCAGGAGCGGTGGTGGAATTGACCCTCAGGCTGTTGGTAACAGTCACTGTGGATGGCTGTAGGCAAGTTACTTTGCATTGCTGTACATGTATATATTCATATGATTGTATGGGTGTATGAGTATTTGTATCAAAAATTGTGTGAATGAGTAAATGAAGTTTTACAGAGTGTAGTCTTACGGGTTATGACTTTGCTGTGCACTGCAGACGAGAACACAGGGAGAGTTTGAGAAGGACATTACAATCAATGGGAGGGATATTTATATGAGTGGGTTGTTTTTACTTGGGCTGTTGACTAAAGTTTGTAGTAAATCTTACTCATGGCTATTACAAGACACAGCCTACACTTGTATATATTATAATATATATACATGTGCAGTTGATCGTCCCAACCTTTAAAAAAGGAAAAAGAGGAATGAGCTCTCTTGATTTCCTCTTTGATGGGCTCACAACCCTAAATTGAACTTGCTTCTCGTTTCTTGGCGCCGAGAAAGAAAGGTTTACATGTGTGTGTATCAGAATGTAACAAAAAAACACGGCAATTCTGATAAACAATACCATTGGAACTGGTTGCTGCAATAGTTATTGCTCGCATTTCTTTGTTTTTGGTCGACTCTGTTACCATACTAATTGGACTTCGTTTTTCTTTTTTCTTTTTTTGTAGCGATCCTAAGTGATTCAGGGACTTATATTATATACCGTTGCACTCTATGCCTTCAAGATCAAACAGTCTTTTTCGGCGTATAAAAAAGCTTCTCGTGGAAAGGTTCCAGCATAGACCTGCCGTCGGAATATCAAATGACTCGGAGCTATTGCTTTGACCAAAAAAAAAAAAAAAAAAAAAAAAAAAAAAAACGACCTCCTTGACAATCATCGTCTCATTGCTCAAGTGGAAAGCGAAACAAAAAAGAGAGGTTGACGTCCTTCTAAAGCAGCGATAGCTTTAGCTCATAATCTTGCGGGTGTCCGAGGATTTACTAAAAGATTCAAACACATTCACATATCTAGAGATTCTCATAAAAACCTTGGATTATTAACGCTTCTCAGTATCTCGGTGTCATTATAAGGAATACTAGCTCCTCTCTCGAGGAATATTTCGAATGTCTTACAACTTTCATCTCCTTTCAGAGTCATTGAGTCACAGATAGCTCGCAACTAGGGTCACTGCATATTCCTTTGACCCAATTGTATCCTACTGAAGGGCAAGCATTCAATACCGTTCAAGTCTGCTAAACATCCTAACTATCACAATCAACCGAAACTTAAGCATCTTGACTAAGATCTATTCTCACTGCTTGGTTGATGGTGGAAATACAGCGAATCTAGACCCTTAGTACCAATCCAGTTGCTTAACCTTGGAGCATATTCTCGGTGCCACATCGAAATAGGTAAGGTATAAATTACATGAACGATTTGAGTGCGCTTTTTTAAATGATTGAATTAGTTTTCATTAGGTACTATTCGCCTCTTCTGATGCTCTTTCTCACCTAGAGACCTTCCCTTCGCTGTTGTATTATCATTGTAAGTGCATCCTAGTCTTTCTATTCAAATAAAAAAAAATAAAAATAAAAAAATAAAAATAAAATAAACAACGACTAATGTTTATTTGCCCTCAGATAGTTAGGAATAAGGGTGCCTGGATTTAATGTATGTATATACGTGACTCTGTAGTGTGGCCAATGAGCTATGAGATGGATGAGGACATTGATCGATCAAAGTGCAATATTTTCTTGCTGCGCGCCTGTGTCTGTGCTCTGTGCCTGTTCTTTACCCTGTGTATATAACGCACTCAAATAGCGCCATTATGTTAGATCAAAACGCAACGTTGCGATTGTTTTCATATCATTTACTCTTTAAAAAAAATTATTATAATTCGGTCCTCATTCTCATTCTCATTCTCATTTCTTCTCATCTTCCCATAGCTGTGCTTCACTTCTACTCCTCTCACTCCTCGCTCTCTGTATTCATACTATACTATATCACACCATGGTTGCAACCAACATTACTTGGCACCACGGCGCTTTCACCCGCGAGGAGCGTCAAAAAGAATTGAACCAAAAGGTCTGCATTCTTTCCTTACCATTCTAATTGTATTTCGCAGATATGACCAACCAAGACTTGATATGCTTAATATAACATTATAAAAGCAACGATTGCTATCAGATCAGTGTTTATGTGAAAAAATAAAATCGCTGACTCAGCTTTGAATTCCATTAATGGCGTGTGCATCGCAAAATAGGGTCTTACTATTTGGTTCACTGGTTTGTCTGCATCAGGCAAGTCAACGTTGGCCTCAGCTCTGGAGCAGCACTTGGTCTCACTCAAGATCGCCGCTTACCGCCTTGATGGCGACAACATCCGTTTCGGACTTAACAAAGATCTCGGATTCGGACCCGAGGCTCGCACTGAGAACATTCGCCGCATAGCTGAGGTATCTCTTGAGCAAAACCATTTCGGCAAGAACCAACTTTTTCATTTGGGAGATTGGTCATTAACTTTTTTTTTTGTCAACCTTAGGTTGCCAAGTTGTTCGCCGACTCTACCCAGATTGCCATTACAGCATTCATTAGTCCCTATATTTCGGACCGCGACGCCGCTAGAAAGTTACATGACGAGGCGAATATTCCATTCATTGAGGTATTGGACGATAAAGTGATGACAAAAGTGAAAAAAAAAAAAAAAAAAAAAAAAAAAAAAAAAAAAGAATCATCTAACCTGTATTTTATTTATTTGTATTTTAATCACATAATAATTCATGATTTAGATCTTTGCTGATGCTCCATTGTCAGTAGTGGAGGAGCGTGATCCTAAGGGTTTGTACAAGAAGGCCAAGGCTGGCGAGATCAAGGGTATGTAACGAACTACAGACTGATGCACAGAGATGTAATTGTAAATTGATAGTATTCTGACCTGTTCACGTGTTTCCAATTCATAGAATTCACTGGTATCTCTGCTCCTTACGAGGCACCACTCAAGCCCGAGATCCATATCCAAACAGACAAGGTTTCTGTCGAAGAGGGTGTTCAGGTAAAGCTCTTACAAACATTAATGACAAAAGTCTTTTTTTTTTGTTAATATCGTAATAGACAATGCTTGTTAACAGAAACGTCAATCGGCGCATTCTGATCTGGATTCTTTTTTTGACTTTTGATTTAGATTATTTTGGACTACCTTCGCGAGAAGGAGTATATCCCTCAATTATAAACAGAAGGGAGGAAAATAGTTTAATAAATTTTTTTTTGCAACAGTTTTTTTTCCGGGAGGTAAAAGCCCAATGTGGAGATCTATATTCTCCGGCACTAAGCATCCTATTTGATGAGGAACTGCGGTGCTGGATGCTCTAAATTATATATATATTCTGACGATAACTTGCTGTTTCTCAGAGAGGGAAGGGTGGGTGGTACAAGGTCACTTTGCCACTAATGTTTCGCCGCCATTTCTTTATGACTGGTTCTGGGCTCGACCTGTCCCAATTGACCCAATTCCCATTTCAGACGTGAGAAATGGTGCATTTCTTTTTTCCTTTTGCGCTGCACGGGTAACAGGAGGGAAAGAGGGAGTGTGGGTCATCTTGGCCCTCCCTTTCTCCTTTCTCTTTCCCTTTTCTTTTCTTCCAAGCTTATCTTTATCTAACATTCATTTCTTACTTCTTTTTTTTCATTCTCATTCTCATTCTCATTCATATTCTCATTCGTTCTTATTTTCTTCCCGCATCTTCAATATATTCACCACTTTTATTTTTTTTTTATTTTTTTTTTTGGTCTTTCAACAACCTACCTATAAGCCATGAAGCCCAAAATTGGCCAATCCAAGCTTGCGATCCTAAAGCATGCCCCAAGTGTACACCGCAAGCGCCGTCCTATTGACCTCCATAATAAGCAGGACAATGCGCCTCTGAGTGAACCCAACTTGAACTCTGGGTTTGGTACCCGTTTCGGTAGAAACAGCAGTGACAGTAATGTGGCGTTACTTCGCCGAACTGCCACCCCTAAGCATGGCCATGGCCATAGTCATCCACCACCATTTCTTCGTCGCCAAATCACTCGTCAAAAATCCTTCATGGAATTGGACTCACTCCCATCCATGCGAGCTCTTCGTCGAGAGCCATCCATGATGGAATTGGATCCTCCTCCCACGCTGTTTGCGCCTGCACCTCAGCCATCCAACTTCATGCCAGGTCCCTGGGCATTTTTCCAAGCAGCTGAAGCACAGCGCGAGCAACGACAAGCGCAACTAGAATTCTTGACTCGATTACAGGAATTAAGAGTGAGGGATGAACAAACGTTCGTAAGATTGATGAGTGGTTTTGCAAAGGAATGTCCTATTCAATTTGCACAGTTGACAGGGTTTATGAAACGTATGGAGATGGAAATGGAAATGGATGTAACCCCACCGAGTCCTTTTGACACTCATTATCACCAGCAACAACAAATTTCAGGCGGCTTGGGGAGCAGAGCAACGAACAGCTGGGGTCAGCATGGGACCAAGATGAGTCTCTTAGCATTGGCTCAAGCCTTTGGCAACCAAATCGATGCCGGTCTGACTCATCGTGATCAATTTCAGCGAGACCAGAAGGAACAATTAAGGCAACAGCAAAAGTCCTGTGGACATGGCAATCAAAATTGGAATGGCAAAGGTATCCGAAATGGATACTCTGGTAATAACAAGTCGAATAATCGCGGCAATGGGGCACCCAATGTCCCATCTCTGAGGCGCGGCAAAACCTTTCAACAACACCAGCATGCGTTACAGCAGCTTACAGCGTATCAACGACACCTATATGAACAAATTCGACAAATGCATCAACAAAGGCAAGGAGATCCGTCCATAACTTTCAATTCCAGTGAGTCAGTCCCTATGGCCTATGAGCTCATGCAATATGCAGCTATGTTAGCGAACAACGGAAACCCAAGTACATTGCCGCCTCTGTTTACAAATATCTCCTCTCCGATGTCGACTTTGAGCTCGCCTGGACTAACATCTCCAATCTCGCCTATAGGTGTTAGAAGCCTACTGGCTCAGATGCAACACCACGGACAACAGCAACAAGGAGGTCTTCATCAAGGACAAATGCAACATCCTGATCCTTTGGAACTGACAGCTTTGAACGTCCAAATGAATATGGGATCATCACGTAGATCACGATATAAGCCGCCACCACTTCGATCACATTAACTTTACAATTGATTGCTACATGATGTATAGTTTATAGCAACCTCTTATATTTCTTGTCTTCACACAAAATCTCAATCTTGAAGAGGTCCTCTCTTGTGATTCATAAGCGAATAACGAAGTAAAAACTGAGCTACTATCTTAGGCTTGAACCAGCTGAACTGATTCAATTTGCAATCCAGATTTAATGACACTAAAAAAAAAAAAAAAAAAAAAAAAAAGAGAGAGAGAAAAGTAAGAAAAAAGATTATTGATTAAAGTGATGTGAGCTCATACATGAATAAAAAATAAAGAAAGAGGGAGGTAATACCTGTTATGGTTACGGATTTGAACGATGACTCCACCATTCATTTGGTTGAGGCGAATTTGACCAGGAAGAGTCAAAGTAAAAAAACCTTGGACATCAGGGTTGTATCCTGGGATCATCTCCAGTTCAGCTGCCTCGCGAATGGACGTAGGTCGTGCTGGCACGGTACCGGGCCGATCAGTATGTTGCATAAACTCTTGCACAGAATTAGGCTTAAACGAGATGGCAGGTTCTCGATGCAGTAACACAGCGTCGGATGATGAGTCCTTCAAGTACAACCCCCCAATAAATATGTAAAAACCTCGATTCATTAGATAAAAAAATAAAAAATAAAAAAAATATGACAACTGTACTAACAAATAATTCAATCTTACCTCGTCCTTGCCGAACACCAATGCTCTGAACTCTGTGCCGATAATAACAGGGTCTGGTCTAGGGCCATTGAGGCTAATTCGCCATTGAACTTGGTAGTTGTCCTCTTGATGCTGGCTCGCTCGAATTGTAGCAGCCACATCCAACCATGTGACTGAGGTTAGTTTGGCAACTTTGGGTCCTTCATTTTGAGGATGTACCGGGTGATTTACTAGCTCCCAAGTCACTTGACGGATATTACTAGTTGGCGCCATAGATTTATGGCCACTCTCTAGGTGAACAATGTGCATATCAGGTGCGTAGACGATCATATTAGCGTTCTCTATACTATAAACAGTAGAAATATGAGGGACAGATTAGGAACACGATTAAAAAATAAAAATAAAAATAAAAATAAAAAATAAAAAATAAAAAAAAATAAAATAAAAAAAAAAAAACACCTTTAATGGATTAATAGTCAAGGTGAATAGCAGGCCAGAGCAGAATATTAAGAGAAAAGAGAAACAAGACCGAAGAGGATGAGGAATGTCAAAGACAGGTGCATGGAGAAAACAAATGCATTGAAAAAAAAAAAAAAAAAAAAAAAAAACGAGGCTAGTGTGGCACTGCGCGTTCTGTCAGGGACATTTATTTGTCTATTATTACTTTTTTAAAAGTCTTCATCTTCGTCATCTAAACCTTCTTCTTCTTCTTCTACTGGGCTGGCACTGCCTGCGCCACTGCCTTCTCCCTCACGGTTCAATGACCGCGCCAAGATACTTGGGCTTGGAGCTCTGGCTGTGATCACCATTATCGATGCGGACGTTCTAGAGTGGTTTTCATCCACTTCCATGCTTGACCGATGCAAAACCACGCTTTCACGATCAAGGTGATCGTGCAGGTGATCATGATGACGATGATGGGGATGCTGTAGAATAGGAAACGCATTGGCGCTAGTTGGTGTGATGGACAAAATCTGATGATTACTTCGAAAAGGATACTGTCCACCTGTGGTATTTTGTTGGGCTGATGATGAGTTATCCAGAAATACTTCGGACGCCTCAGTTACTACCGCTCCCTGTAATGATAACGAGGTTGACAGTGAATAATCCACCTCCATTACCACATCCATCATGTCATTTGTGCTCTGTTGACCATGATGGCTCTGGTTAAACGTCGGTGCTTGCCCATTTGTTAAGGCTGGCGCTATTGCTGTCCCAGGCAACACGATCATTCCAGCGCTAGTTGCCAGCAAACCAGATCCAATCTGGACTAATAGACTCTCCTGCTCATGCTCGTTCGTCTGTTCTTGAAGCTCTTCACTCATGCCATCCTCCTCCGCCATAGAAACAGATCTATCAGATCCGGCAATCATTGATGCAACTGAGGAGCTGATTCTACGATAACTGGCACGAATACTTGCCATGCTTGTAGATGATGGGATGGCCGGTGGGTTCTCCTGCATATGATTCCTCAGTTCCCGTACACCCTTCCCCGAAAACACGCAAAAGACTTCTCGTTGATGGGCCGTAAACTCCGGTGGTGGCGCTCTACAGAACTGTTGATAACAAGGCGAGATAAATGCAGGCACGCCCGTGAGGGACAGGTGGGTCATTTTAGAACACTGGCTGACAAGAGCTGCCACTGCGCTTTCAGACAGATGGACACAATAAGACAAGTGGACCCTTTCCAGTGTCTGAGGCAGAATCTGAGAGACCAACATGGCATAGATACCGTGATCTGTGATATTGGAGCATTTGACCAGTCCAATCCTACGCAATTTGGGTAATTGTGCCAAGGCAAACACTGCAGCATCTGTAAGTTTCGAACAGCAAGCAAGATCCAGATAGCGGATTCGAGTGCAATGTTGAGCAATGGTAGCAACTAGTCGATCTGTGATCTTTGCACAATGACCCAGATGGAGGTAATGTAGATGCTTCCCAAGCGTCTTGATCACGCTTGCTCCTATATCTGTGATCTTGTCGCATTTTGTAAGAGCCAAGCTCCTTAACCTAGGTGTCGCTGGAATGATCCTGAGCAAAGTATCATCTGTAATGAGCGCACATGAAGTCAAGTTGAGGACACGAAGCTGTTCAAACCGGTGCGTAGAAGGATGAATTGATGCAAAAGCAGCGTTTGTGAGGTTGACAAGAAGCGTCATGTTGATATCGCGGATTTGAGGGAGATTCCCAAACACAGACTGAATAGCATCACTCGAAACTAGATTGCAGTTGGTCACATCCATCTCGGTTAGTTGTGGGCAGAACTGGGTCAATGCTGCGATTGATCGATCTGTCAATTGACTGCAATGGCTCAGTTTTATCTTGAAAGAGCATGAAGTGATACAGAGAAGATATTTTCAGAGTTTGAGAAAGTTAGCCTCTGATAAAAAACAAGCCTTGTTACATACTAGAAATGCTAGTTATCATGAGCATAATGATAACGATGGAGCGTTGATGGAGACAACAAGATCACAACAAATAGGGATGATGATCATGACAGAGGAATACAGTGTTATATACACTCCGTAGCAGTACAACATTAGATGCCAATCCCTGATCGCTTTTTACATACCCGTTTAAGTTGTGGACACTTCTTTGCCAACTTGACAATTGACTCGTCTGTGATAGCTGAACATGAACCAAGATATAGTGTCTGTAGTTTTGGACATCCTGCTGCGACACTCTCAACAAGCGTATCTGTTACAGCAGGGATTTCGGACAAATCGAGTGAAAACAATACTGGGGAGCACCTAGATAAGACCTTATTTAGGCCATCTGAAGAGATTTGGACACTACCCGCAAGTAGCAATCTCTCAAGTCGTGAACATGATGCAAAACACTCCAACATGGAGTCTGTAACATCCGAAGATAGAAAGGCTAGGTTGAGTCGACGGATGTAATCCGCATAGGGGAAAATGGTGCTAGGAAGACACAGGGTGTGAATCATCTTTTCAGCAGCGGCCAAAGTAGGAAGTGAGGGCTTTGACCAAAGTAGATCCATCCCACAGCTGCACCACAGCTTGCAGACTAGGACTGCGGAGCGCAGATCGCGTGCTGTCAGTAAGAACTTGAAAATGAGAAGAATAAGCTCTGAAGGCAAATTCGAATAGGAGTAGCCACTGTGTCCATGAATTTGATGAATTGAGTCTGAGGGTACTCTGGTCATATCCGCACAGACTTCAGCTGCAGACTCGTCTTTAGTACTGCTGGTATTGTTATAAGCAATGGTGTGGGCGAAAATAGATCGATGTGACCTATCACGAGGACTAACTGTTGCGCATGCCTCCATCATCTCATTGTCTTCAGCCGTAGCCCCCTTTGACCCGCATGCATCAACGCATGGGGAAGATAGAGAAGAGGGAGGAGCGGGAGGGGCGGCTGATGTCCATAGTGAACTCGGTGACTGAGTTGTAAGTGAAAGGTCTTTTTGAGAAAGTGATTGCGACCACAATTGGTGACACGACTCCATTTATTATTATTTTTCCTTTGACAGAGAAATTGATACCAAAATCCTTAGGTCAGGCAAGGTAAGCTGGAAAAGTGAAGTGGGATGTAGAGTTGCTGGTGTAATGTCAATGGTCAATGGAATAGATGTTGGTGAATCTGTTGTTATGGACAATGGACTAATCACGGAGATTGCAGTTGCAGTAAAGAGTTAGCAGCAGTAAGACAGAAGGAATGGAAATCGTTATTAGTTGGCAAGTAGAGGGATTGAGATAAATGTCTGTGTCAAAAGAAGGAAGTGGAATGAGAATGAATGAGATGGAGAGAAGAAAAGGATGAAAAGAGAGGAGGGATACTATTCGGCTGTTGTTTTATGATACCAAGAACCTCCTTGCTCTTGAACTAACAGAACTAACAGGAAAAAAAAAAAAAAAAAAAAAAAAAAAAGTTAGGGGGAGAAGGGAAGAAAGAAAAGGAAAGGAAAAGGAAAGGCGAAAGATCCTCCTTCTTGTCCCCTACTTCTCTGTTGCCATGGAACAAACACCCCCCTCCTATTTCCGCTTCCACTTTCACTTCCACCCAACACTTTACTGAATGTGAAAATAATCTCAGGAACAATTGCCCCATTCCAAGTTCATCGTCAGGCCTCGTACTACTTTGCTATCCCACTAGTCTTGGACGCAACTCGTCTGACCTTTCTTTTCTACTGTCATTCCTTGTCTGTCTCCTGAGTTTTTTTTTTTTTTTTTTTTTGTTATCTTGACCTCATCTGGCCATCACTCTATTTACATGTAGAATGCACATCATTATGAAATGCATGGATAGCATCTAGCAATGTCAAGAAAAGAAGGGGGATATTTGTGGAGGATGCAAAAATGATTCTGTTGGTGACACCATAAACATCCATGCACTGCATGGCATGCTTCTCATTCTTAAAAAGATCTATCACCAAAAAAAAAAAAAAAAAAAAAAAAAAAAAAAGTTTCTTACTCAGTTACGCTAGCTAGAGTTTGACAAGTAGGAAAGAAAGTAAAAATAAAAAAGTTAGCCGAAACAGGGTGGCGAAGCAATGGGAGTGGCGAACACTTTTTGCTGTATTTTTTTTTTTACCCAACCAGACGCAACCGACGCACTGACCAACAACAAACCACTATTTAGACTTCCTTACCATGTTACAGGTTCTATCCCCGCTTATTCTTCTATACCTTTTATTCTTTTATCTTTTATGAGCTGTACTGGGCTCGTTTTCTCTATTCTTTTGATAGCCGGGTCTATGAGTAAGCATCATCACTGGCCTCTATGTATCGGTTACCCTATCTTTTTCTTCCTTTTTCTTTTTGATAACGAGAGCTCACGAGACCATGTAGAATTTATTGACATCAGCTCTATATATGAGTTGCCCATTCCTGGGGCCACAAATACAGCGGTATCCAATGATTGACTGTAGCTGTGTCGCTGTACTGGCACAGTCCAACAACCTGTTCATAAATCACGTCAGCATTGAATAGACTTCCTTGGTCCTCTGGGAAACTGTGGCACGGCTCCACTCTCTACTTGGCCTGCAGTGCGCGAAGACCATCCTTTCTGCTACGTTTGTGCCTCCTAATACAGTTGCGTGCCCTGGTACGTTTGCTCACAGAGGTGATGCCATTGTCTCTTTCCCAGTTGACGGTGACTTTGCAATATCTGTTCCAGATTTCAGCGCTGCTGAGTTCCTCGATTGACTTGACAAAGCGGCAAACAATGTACCTTGAGATCGATGCTGTGGTCCTGAAGATCGTCTTCCATTTCTGTGTCAGTTCCCTCGGCACCAAGCCGTGGCACAAGTCTTGAACAGTCGAGTGGGTATTCCTACCCTTGTTCCTCCATCCCATCTCCGCATCTTCCTCAACAGAGCGTTCGCATCTCGAATCACCCTGACCCCCTTGAACATCACTTCCAAAGGGCCCCAAACCACGTTGTTGGCTACGAGTGTGAACGAGGGGCCTCCTTTATTATGATTTGCTTCCTGCATTTTCCCTGCTCGCCTTCCCAGCCTCTTCTCTTTCTCTAAGACCCTTTTTCCATCCTTCTTGATGAGTTCTATGGCTTGCCTCCACCCTTTCAATTGCTCGTCCAGTATCATGGGACATCGCCAGAAGTGTTCTATGCCCTCCTGTTCCTGTTCATACATCCTGTAGATGTCAGCCTCATACAGGTTTGGTCGCTACTGCCCCATGAAAGTGAGTGTAGGAAGTATACCATGGACCTTCTTTATTCTGTGCGCTCTCTTGTGACAGTCTGCCATTGTGAAGAATATGCAAACCTGCTTTCCAATCTACTTCTCTCCAGTGCTCCTGACTCTGTTTCTGAGACGCCCACAAATAATGTGTTCTCACTGCTGATTGAAGTTTTTGCAGCAATCTAAAATCATCCTCTACCATCTCGTTCTCGAAAAAAGCACAACAGCGCAGATGATTGTGTTCCCGTCCTTGATTGTCCACATTTCGTCAAAATGGGCATCCCTGGCAGCTTGGTCTGTCCTTATATTGCCTCTATTTCCAGCATGGACCTTGACCCATTTTACAATTACCTTCCCACCCTGCTTAAAGAACGTTTTCGAGATCGCCGCCTACCACACTGGGTACTTGAATCGCAATCGCTGCCGTTCAGTGCCTATTTCTCGCTTTTGAGTAAGGTCCTTGAACTGAACCACTACCGCCATGTTGTCTATGCAGACAGTCGTTAACGTTACGAGGACTGACTATTTTTTTTTTTCTTAAAACAAGGACTCTCAAGTTTTTTTGATAACAAAGACCCTCAGGGTAGAAATAGACTCTAATCGGTCTTAACCGCATCGTTGAACTGTCACTGTACAACATCCTATTCACAAACCACGTCAGTATGAGTGGTAACTCTTAATCCCTACGGAACCTATGACGAGCCCTGCTCCCTACTTGGCCTGTTGTGTGCGAAAGTCATCTTCTAGCTGCAGTCCTCAATCATCAAAAAGCAACACCTTTTTTTTTTTTTTTTTTTTTTTTTTTTTTTTTGATAACAAGGACCCACGAGGTCATGTAGGATTTATTTAGATGTTAGCTCTATAAATGGGTTGCCCCATTACTGGGGTCGCAAATAAAGCGGTATCCAATAATCGACCGAAGCCGCATCGTCATACTGCCACAGTACTACATCCTGTTCATAAACCACGTCAGCATTGAGTAGACTTCCTTGGTCCCAAAGGACCTGTGGCACGGCTCTACTCCCTACTTGGCCTGTTGTGCGCGAAGGTCATCCTTTAGCCGCTATCCTCAATCATCAAAAATTTACAGCTTTCCAGGCGCTCCATAATCGCCAATTCCACCTGCTGCCGGTAGCTTGCCGCCACTCGCCGGTCTGCCTCAGTCCTGATCGCCTTCACATCTGCTGTTCGTCGTTGTCCCTGGTGAGAGCCAAAGAATTCACCTCTGCTATGTCTGTGCCTCTGCGTCCCCTGGCGCGTTTGCTCACAGAGGTGATACCATTGTCTCTTTCCCAGTTGACGGTGACTTTGCAGCGTCTGTTCCAGATTTCAGTCCTGCCGAGTTCCTCGATTGACTTGACAAAGCGGCAAACAATGTACCTTGAGATCGATGCTGTGGTTTGTCAGTTGTTCGTTGTTGTCTCAGGGTAGGTCTTAAGAAGACATGCCTTCCAACTGGTGGAGTTTTTTTTTTTTTTTTTTTTTTTTTTTTTATAACAAGGACCCACAGAGGTGAGGAATTTTATTTCATAATCTCGCTCTAAAGTAATGATATCGCCCTCAACTATGAAACAAGCGAAACTCTCAAAGTTCGCACGGGATGGCTGTGAAGAGCCAATTCGTATCCATGTTTTTCTCTACCAATGTACACCGTGATCGGTACTCGAAGTCCATCCTTCCGATGTGGCCTGTTGCGCCCGTGAAAAGCCGCGGAGGCTGGCGTGCCGACTCTAGCTAAGGACGACTTTTAATTTTTTTTCTATTCGATCAAATCCACTGGCATGTGGACCCAAATCTTGCGGGATTGGTCTGAAAATTTCTACTTTGGACTCCGTCAAACTTTGTGATCATCGCTGTCCTAGTCAAGTGGGTGGATGGGGGGATGTGCTGCCAGATGTACCGCTGGTTCGGCTGGGGGGTGGAATATATACCTAAGACATGTGGCCAGCCAGGCGACTTAGGGTAGTGCACCCACGATCTTAGCCTTAGCGGAGAACACTAGGCTGTCTCGGAGAGAAAGTATAAAAACTCAAGCAAATCCCTGACCTGGCACATGTTTGCTTCACTTTATGTGCCTTAACCAGGACTCGAACCCGGCCCCTGGGCTAGACAGGAGGGTGCCCTGACGAGTATACTACTCAGCCATTGGGCCCCTTCCAACTGGTGGAGTGCACGGGTGGAGCCACACCTTCGCTCTTGGTCCTGTGATGTAGGCGTAGTTATCACGTGAGTGTCATTATTGATTTATGATTACTCAAATTCTCAGCTCGGCAACCGGCCCGCTTAGCTCATTGGTAGAGCGTTTGCCTAGTAAGCAAAAGGTAGCAGGTTCGATCCCTGCAGTGGGCACTTCTGAAATAGAAAGACTATGCCTAATATTTTTTTTTAAGGATTAATCTATTTGGCAGCCTAGTCAACTTTCAAGACTCTCTTAGGCAGCCTACCCAGCGTTATTTGGCCTCTAACTATTTTTTTTTTTTTTTTTTTTTCATTCCTAGGAACCGTATATGTTTATAACGCTCATACTTCAAATTAATAAAGCTCCCGTCTTCTACGTCATAGTTATGTGTAGTGACATTGTCTTCAAGTAGGTCGCTCATACAGTTTTGGAGGTGCCATTTGGAGATCAATACCTATGAGAGGTTTTCGCTCGGAGCAAACGCGTCTCACCTACTACCTAGACGTCTTCAATAAATCATTCCCTAACCGTGTACATTGAAGGCTGTTTTGTGAAGATGTCATCGCCGCTGCCCTTAGTACCTCCGGCGGCATTAGCTGTGCAAGGCAATGTATCCACAGAACGCTGCTTGTTTTACCACTGATGTTATGACCCTGTTATCAAAAAAAAAAAAAAAAAAAAAAAAAAAGTAATGTATTTGGCAGCCCAGCTGCCACCCAAGAGTGCGAAGTTAAGTGGCAGCCCCCAGAAGTAGGCTGCCAAATAGAGGCAAAAATTACTATATTTGGTATGGGCTGCCAAATAGATTAATCCTTTTTTTAATATTCGAGTCATCAGGCGTGCAAAAAGGATACTGCTCCTTTTTATTCTCGAATGGATGAAGTTATTTGCACGGGAGTCTTTTTTTTTATTTGCACTGGGCCTTTATTTCATCTACAAGCGGCAATGTGTATCCTACAGACTACATGATTCTAGCTTTTATTTCGAAGGAAACAAGCGAAGGTGAGTCTAGAGTAGAGAGGAGTCTGGAATTATTATTGTTGGAAGTTGCAGTGCCGTGGGAGCTGCGATACTCATTGCGCTCTGTTGCATATGCAAAATTATGATGGCCTAGCTAGAAAAAAATTAGAGTAAAAAACACTAATGCGCTAAAAAGATTAGCAGTAAAAATTAGTGGCAATAACGCGCCACACATAGACGCGATAAATCTTTGATATGAAGTTTTTAGAACGAACCTTTGTCATCCCATATCTTATTCTCACTTACTTTTCTACTGCTTACTACCTATCTACAAAATATTTTTCACGCTCTATTCCGCTCTATTGTCATCCAAAAGAAAGTCTGTTCAAAGTGGGTTATTTTAATTTTTTTTATTATTTTTTATTTGAATCTTTGATAAACAGCTCATATGCGACATATAAAAATACTTCACCAACCAAGATGGAAATTTACACTTTTGTTAATAAGGCCAATGTGGATAACCACTGAAGTCTTTGGGCAGTACATGCTGAGGGAAAACGGCAAGAAATAGGATTGAAGACAGTGTTTCTCTTCAAAATTTAATCTTTTGACCAAACCTTCTTTCAGGTGATTGTACAATATGAAGCTAGTCCCTAGACGCGGCGAGCATCTACATGTGCTGCTGAGTATGCGATACTGCGTGCTAAAGACGACCCAAGGCAAGTTCTGGTATTTTATTGGTGAAAAATCAACCCTGATTGAACATGATAACAAACTTGGAATGTAATGAGACAAAAATAAGGATCTTTATCAACGTAACAGAAAAGAGTATTTATGTCTCTTTTCTATCACTATTAGTCACGGCTATGCTATTAAAGTATTTTAGCTATTTAGATATAGAGATATAGGTGATTGTGGCACGATCGGCTTTGAGTGCGAACTGCCACCAACTATCAAAAGATAAGTAATCTCTCGGGTTACAAACGGGTGAGAGGACAGAGATTCCACAAAATAAACTGAGGTCTACCCATTGTATTTTGGTGAATTTGATAAACAAAATTTAGTACCGAGGGCGCTTGAGCTCTTAATAAAGAAAGTCAGAGATAAGGAAAGAGAAAAGAAAGAGTAGTAACACGGCACGCTATGCATCGTAGCAATGAATATGATTGTTTGTATATCTACCGAAACAAACTACACGTTAGAGGTTCCTAATTACTGCGCTCATCGTTGTGTGCTTATTAGTGTACGGAAATACTAGAGATATATGAACGCGCTAAATGAAAGAAAGCATCGGGGAACCGCCAACAAAAGTGCAAAGTAGAGCGGGATAGTATATTTCAATTATAGATAAATCATTTGTAATTCTTTATTTAGTCCCAGAGTCGCATAAAGAATATCTACATCTACTCTGAGCTACGTACGACATTGATAGATAAATATTCTGGTCAGTATTTGATGCTTGGGTATCGGCTCTGGATCTGAGCTTGTGTTGTGGAAGGCTTCCTAGTACTGAAATAAAGACTCCGTGCAAATAGTTTTTTTTTATTTGCATGGCAAATAGATTTTTTTAAGTATTTGTACGGCCCCCGTGTAAATAAAAGGTGTACGGGCCCGTGCAAATATCTTTTTCCTTCTCAGGTCTTAGTGCTTAAAAGTGCAAAGCAGAAGTACTTCACTGCTTTTCTATTTAAAGAATTATCCAACGTAATTTTTTTTTTGTTTTGTATTTAACCGTTCTTTGGACCGTAGGTCCATATCTCTTACCTCTAAACGCGCGCTTAAGTGACTCTTGTTCGGCTTATTTAAATCCTTATACCAAGATTACTCTGGTATTCCTGTATTGGAGCCCCCAGAAAATGATATAGTATCATTCAAAAGATAATGGGGAATATATTTATAGAGACGGCAAAATAAAGATGGTTAGTTACTTCCTTTGCAATAAATCGAGAGACGACTCAGTTTCGTATTAGCTGACTGACTAAAAAGTCCGGTATTGCAGGATTAGAGGACAACCTAGTAGGGATGGAAACAAAAAGAAAGCCCTCAGCTTGTCTAGGGTAGGTTAAATATCGCGGACACGACGAAAAAAGAAAGCATGGAGCAAAACGAAAGCTTTTTGTGCTAGAAAGTATTGAGTCATTCACAGATTGACTGACTCGATGTCTGGTCTACATGCGGTGGCAACGTATCTGTCTTCATTACTCCTCGTTTACGGCAATGGGCTATTCAAGACACATGCGCGCTCTTCACGCTATCTTATGAAACGTTTAGGGGATATTTTTTGAAAGGTAAGCTGCTTTCCTGCATCGCAAGCCTATCCTCCTATTTTCTATTATCTAATCTGTCCTTGTCCCCAGTTTCGGATACAAAGTTGTCGTATGGACAGGCACCCAAGCAATACAAAACACCCGCCAATGTGTAACTTGCTTAGAGTGTGGTGGTTATTGAATACATCACGAAGTTGATGGCAGGGTATGGGTTAGCAGTCTGGCCCTATATCAAATAGCTGACTAGCTTATTAATTTTTCAGATCAATGCAAATGTATGCGTGTAAAATTCAACCAAAAAGATAACCACCACTTTTCTTTTTGTCCTTTGAAAAAGACAAATGAATGCGTTCATCAAGACTATAGCGTAAGAGTATTAAGGAAATGGATCAGAGGGAATAGAGGACAAAAAACATATATTTTTTACTCTTTCCTGAGAGGATGAGAAGACAGGGCCAGCTTATTCGGCCAATGGCTACTATAGTTAATGCTGGAGAGTGATAAAAAGAAAAAGCCTTGTAAAGCTTAATGCAAAAAGGCTCCCCCTGCTTTCTTCAATAACCACAGTTTGTTTGCCTGTTTTTTTTAGCTTTGTTTCAAAGAAATAAATAACCAAAATCGTAACAATTGACCCTTGCATGCTTACCCAATTTATAAGCCTGTATTTTTAACTAGGGTCCCTGTTGAACACTATGTCATAGACATGGATAAAGGAGTTAGCCGTTGGGCTTTGACAACAAATAAAAAAAAGTGTGTCGATCCATGCTTAGACAACGACAATCGAATATAAAAATAAAGAAAGGCTATAACACGTAGCTTTTTATTCGATACAGGGATGGGCTATGAAAAAGGAAATTTGGCCAAAGAGGAGAGGAAAAAGAGATGGACGGATACAAATTGAAGAAGATAATGCAATGTCTGCATCAGATGTGAGAAAGAAAAGCTACTTTACTGCTTACATGTTGCGATGCGTTTTGGGGGATGTGCGCTTAATGGTTAAGAAGGAGGCAAAGGATATTCTCGAGTGATGGGAGCTTTGACAGTTGCGAAGCGAATGCAGTATGGGTGTAAATTTGTCTCGCTTTGTATTTATCTCTTTGTTTATATTGATGTAAATGTGCGTACATGCAATATGATGCATGATGGTGTGGTTATGCTTCGCTACACCGCCAGTTACTGGGAATGATTTTGTTTGCACTTTTGGGTGTTTGGATTTTGCCGTCGTTGAATTTATTATGACAAGTAAAATAAATTGCTTTAAAAATATTCTGCCAGTCAAACAAATGAATATATTTAGTATACACATGCATGAACATTATTATTCTCTGATCCAGTCCTTTCAAATAAGGATTCAGGAACCTCAAGTTTGACATGGGTAAAGAAACAGACGACATTATTAGAAAACGAAGAAAAAAAACGTCCCTCTTCCCTTCTTTCTTCATTCCTCTTCCCTTCTTTCCTTTCTCTTTCCAAAACATAACACACATTCGCATACATTCAAATGTTCACAGATATATAGTCAATCTATCTCTAGAATTGCATTCCCACATCTCCTTCACTTTCTCTATCCAGCTAGCTCTTTACAATATATAATCCTTTGTTCCCTTGCTTAAAATCATTACAACTATCGTCAACTACAGTCTGTGTGTTCTGTCCATCTATTCTTGCCACTGGTCGTGCATTCTTAGCCTTCCTTTTTTTTAACAATCGTAAGTCTTCATTTAGTCTTTCTACACATACCTCATGCTAGTCTACACCTTCCATAGAATTCAAATGAATTTGGCATGAAGGTTGAGCAACTATTCTGGAGCGTGTTTGCTGCTTCCCTGGCGTTGATATGGAGAGTGGAAAGTAAAAAAAGTTGAACCATCTCCTTTACCTATCCTTGTAGTGTTTATTCAAAAAGGTCCCTAAGCGTCTGTAGTTGGTCAATGACCATTCATTTCACTCATGCTCCACTTGAATTCGGCGATTCAATGTGCATTGGTGCTCTAGAGTTCAAGAATAACTTAAAAAAGCTTATTCAAACATCCATTGTAGCACACAGAAATGCAATCCCGTCCTCGCCACATACTCGATTTACCGGATGAAATTCTACATCTAATCTTGGCCTATTGTTGTGAGGATCTAGACTTCCTGCTCTATCCTTACGCGCTAGCCACAAAAGAGAACCATCTCTGTCCCAATGGGTGCTACTGCGCACCACATCACGAATTTAATGGTCAATTTAGCGGGGCAACCACAAAACCGCAACTACTTAGTAACAGCAATCGTGAAGGGAGGCCAACCAAAGTAAGGAGGATACATATACTGAGTGGTAGCAATTACCGGTACTTCATTTGCGGAGCCCGACAGGGGACTCTTAGACAAGCTATTACCGATGACAGCCTGATCCGGACGTCAGGCGAAAGCAATGGCATACCAAGAGACCTCAAAAACAGTATAGCCTATCATACTGCCCTTCGGAAACGACCACAGCGATTTTCAAAGCTTGCTTTTCGTTCACAACGATTGTTGGATCCATCGATTTCACACATACTTTCCTCTGGGTCGACAAACCCCAGTATTTCCTTTGTTCCACAGCTATCGTGCCAAACTCGGCAAACCTGTGTCCTCACAACGAAATCAGAGCGTACTGAGCCAACTGAGTTGCCTCAAGGTAAAATGATGCAGCGATATTACTGCTACACAACCAACTTTACACGGGTTTTTTTAACACTGTTGAGACCAGTTGACCAGAGAGGAAGAGAAAAAGGAAGAAATGCAGTAGTATGAAAACAGTATTGATATTTAGCGCTCTCACGACCCTTCTCCTTTCCTGTATGTACAATTCCGCAACACAAAGAATCATCATAGTAATTATGCTTTACACAACATGATCAATATTGCCGGTTATCGCCCGATCGCAAAATCCATCGCTTTTAATGTAACCATGTTCTTATTTTATATCATCCTATACGACTTACAGTCTTTTACTACATGTAACAATGTTAGGTTTAATAGCTTATGTCTCTAAAACAACACCATTGCCTGATGCACTCTCACTGTGTCGACCAAGCCTAGGTAACGACACTGCCGGAAAAGAGTATAACGCCCAAAATGTCCACTCATCATTGGCTTCACATTCAACACGACATCTTCAGCCCAGGAACAGAAACAGGAGGTCGATTCTCGATGCTGCTGGAAGTAGCCCCTATTCTCGAGCTCTCCACTCGTCCCTCTCTTTGCAAACTCTTCCTACAGAGATAGCATTGAAGAAGAAGGGAAATAAGATAGAGCGCTTATGCAAAAGAGACGATGAAAAGGAAGGCCCGGAGGAAGCACAGGAAAAAGTGCACAAGAATAATGTATGCCGACATTCAATACCAAACCAACTTATGCTTGTCAACAAACGCTTTGCAGACCTTGTGGTCCCAATGCTTTGGAGACGCATTGTCTTCCATGGTCATCAGACTTGCCGAAGCCGCTCCCTCTTCTCTGCACTGCATCAGGTCGATGAGAAAGCAGGCCTAGCACTCAAAAAACCCTTCGAATCAAATGCATTTAGCAGGGATGGGTCTTGCTTAAAACATCCTAAAAGACATGTTTTTAAAGCAAGCCTCAACATCATGACCAAGAGGTTTAACGCATATACTTCTGCAACTATAAAAGGGATCAGCGCGGCAGAGCAATCATCAGGCTTCAATCATGAGTCTTCATGCAGTCGAAGGCATGCTATCGAAGATCGGCTTACATCAGTTACGCATTACCAGAAGCATGCTGGCGAAGCACGATGGTCTTATGGACAGTTTGTAAGGCATGTGGTACTAAATTTTGCCCATCCACAAGCATCTCCAGAGATGCTCATCAAAGCCTTGGAATGTCTTGGGTCTCGCTGCCAGAACCAAATCCAAGCTCTTGACCTACATGCCAATGAAAAGATGCAAGTTTTCGGACTCGAAACTCCTACTGATATGAGCCGTTTGTTGGGGACTGGATTCTCCAAGCTTCGTTTTCTGCGAATGCAAGGAGGCCTCGTCGACAACCAACTCTTTTGTGCTCTTATCAATGGACTTGTCGAACCAACAGCTACATCCTGTCGCCTTTCTCAGGTGTTCTTAGGCCCTGGTTCGATTACAGATAGCGCAATTGATAAGCTAATTATTGCAGCAGCTCAATGTTTGGAGGTATTCCATGTGACGAGTTGCGTCGATGTTGGTGGTAAAGCCATTGCAAGCCTCCTCACAAGCTGTCCCAAATTGCGAGTTTTGAGTGTCCACAGATCCTTAGCGAGAGATAAAGATTTGCTTGAAGGACTGGGAATCGAAATCGAGGCCAATAACTCTCTTTCAGTCGTACCCACGCCCTACAATTTGAGTAGAGTGGCAACGAATGAGATTGTTGCTCCGCTTGAGCGATTTGAACTTGGTACAACCAAACTAACAACTTCTGGCATCACAGAGATAATCAAAGGGACATGTTGTTCTCTACGATTTTTGGTCCTTGAAACGCAGCATTTTCAGGATGATTTCCTGAGGGGTGTCATTGCCCCTCTTTGCAAGAAGCTTGAAGGCTTGTATTTCGACGAGTCTGATCGCTCATACCAACAACGCAATCCATCAGCTCTTAGGCATGGGCAAAATCAAGAGCAGAGGACGCGCAGACGACTTTTCGATTTTGGTCGATGGAGAGGAGCAATGGCTAATCAACTAGAGCAAATTTCTCTGCAACCTCAGTCAAACCTAGGGCCACACAATGTTTCGCAGCGGAATCATGAGATGCTCGAGGAACGCACAACGCCAAAGCAAAGTCCATGGCTTGCATTGACATCTACGGATGCATGGGTGCTACATGGAAGATGTGCGTTATGGGCTACAAATAGTATTAGATCAAGTGCCACTGTCCATGGTATGGGTGCCGCCTATGGTGGAGACAATCTTAGGACAAGTATTTCTGAGAATTTTCTTCCTGAACAGTCGAGGATCAGACCATTCACCGTCTATTTCCGCGCCATACGTCGACGTTTCATTTCATTACTCTCGACTACTAGTGCCACAACAAGCATTGACAACGACAATAATATCCAGGGCAGCGTCTCTACAATGTCACCATTGAGCAGCATCCCTTCGGTCTCATTAGGATCTGATATGAGCACAGAGAGTGGCTACCAAAGAGTACTGAGGCGTTTCGGGGTCCATACGACAACAATTGAGGTTATTCTTCGATCCCTTCAGCATTCCCTCAAGGAATTTTCAGTTATAGAGGTTGATTTGATTGCAGCAAGCGCGGAAAGTTCCTCGGATGGCAGTAAGATGAGTGCTGAGAACTCATTTGTGGCGCCAGACTGGACTCCATATTTAGGCTAGTTGTATTTTTGGAAGTTATCAAAATGGGAAGCTTGAGTCTGTAACTGATTTTTCAACACTCAATCCGCCAGCTCCATCAGCTTCTGGCATTGCGATTTTTTCTTAGTTTATTACACTGTCTTTAATTATAGACTACAGTGTGTATTGCTTTGTCCTACTTTGTCCCTAACTTTTTGAGTGCAAAAATATTTTTGTCTTTTCTTCCCACACTTGCTGTTAATATTTTTCGTACTGTACAAATGCGTTTATGTTTAGCTCAAATGAGAGATATTAATCGATTGGTGCATCAAGATCAGTCATGATTAGAGGACCCTTAATTGTAAACAGAGATGAATCATCGTTTTAGGACTGTCTGATGTAGGGCAATAAAACGCCCCAGAAATTTTTGCTTCATTTTTCTTTCTCTTTCTTCAACCCTTTCCACTCACAACAAGCATATAGAATTCCTTTCTCCTTCAAGCTACAAGCACATTTATAATCTGGTTCGCTTTTTTATTTTATTTTATTTTATTTTATTTTTTATCTATTTTTTAATATAACCTTTTACTAGTTGATCTTTTTGTACATTGTCCAAGATGGCTCCCTCCGCTTAAACGCCAGTGCACTTTCGATACCTCTTCAATAACACAACTTACAACAGAAAACAACAATAGAACAACCTTCAACAACAATACACCAGAACAACACTTTTCATTCCATAACAAACATTCATAACAACCTTCCAACGGTTTACAACAAATAACAGTTATTCAAAATGGTTACCCCAATTATCTCCCCCAGCTCAATCATTGACATTATTCCAGCAGCTAGAATCATTATCATCCCAGTAGTAGATATCGTTGTCTTACATCCCTTACAGTCCTAATTACTTTGAATATCTTGAACTCCTTTAATCGTCTCTTGAACGAAAGCAATCAATCCCATCCATCCTTCAGTCCGTCCAAAGTCGTACCCATTTTTACTTAAAAAAAAAAAAAGTATTTAAAAAAAATCAGAAGAAAAATGGCCATTTCCATCGATTTCTCAATGTTCGACGCGACCGACGCCAAGCTCTCAAAGTCTGCCGATTCGTTAGAGTCAGCTCTTGCCCAGTGTAAGTCCTATGTCATATTTAGGCATAAATGTTTTGTCTAGTGTACTACCTAGACTAACATTTTGTATAAACATACATGGCACACATTTGCCAATTCTAGTTGGCAAGAACGCCTCCGGCTTTAATAGCAGCTCTGTTGACATGTTCGCCCCCTCTGCCAACCCGGGCAGCGGGTTTGACGAGTGGTTGGCTGCTGATTTTTCAATTGGTGCTCACTCTGTTGATGAAACTTCATCTGTCTCGTCGATGAGCCCTTTTTCTGCCATAGAGGACTCACCTATCCTCGACTTTGCTTCTTTTGGTTCTGCTGTTGAGTCCTCGCTCTTTACCTTCTCTGAAACTCTTCCCATCAATGTGCCTAATAAGATCAAGTCTTCTCAGGAACCAGTATTGACCTCAGCTGCTGTTCAGCAGGCGGCTGCTGCACTCAATATTCCTTGGTCAGCGGAGCTTGAATCTGCTGTCATGGCGCAGGCAGCTCTTAATGCTGCTGTTGCCATTCCTGTGTCCCAGCCCTTGCCATCACCTGTCTTGGCCCCAAAGGCTGAGCCTGAGGAGATGGGTCTTTCGGTTTCTTCAACTTCAACCTCACGTGCTGGCTCACCATCTTCAACCCCTGCCTCGACTCAAGCCCCTGTCATCACAGTTCGTCCTCATATTCCTGTTACTAAGGGTAGAGGATCCAAGAAGCGTGTATTGACACCTGAGGAAGAAGCTGAAGAGATCGTTGTGAAGCGTGCTAAGAATACGGATGCTGCTCGTCGCTCTCGTCTTAAGAAATTGATTAAGCTGGAGGGGTTGGAGGCCAAGGTGTTTGACCTAGAGGCAGCTAACAACGCGCTTAACATGAAGATTGCGATCCTTGAAACGGAAAAGAACGGCTTTTTAGTCAAGGATGCGGAGCAGACCGCACGTATTGCTCAGCTCGAAGCCCAGCTCGCTGAGGCACATGCAGCCTTGACTAACCGTGTATAGGGAGAAATCTTTAATCATCCAAGTGATTTGATTGGTATAATTAATATAATCAATGTAGTCATAGCTTTCAGTAGCTTATCCTGTGTTTCTTTCAATAAAAACGAGTCAGACAACATCCTTGTGTGTCTTCGCCCAAATGAATTTTAGACTGATCCAGTTTACAAAAGTTATTTATTCTCTCCTTTTCTTTCTAAACCAAGCTTCCCTATCATTTGTCAGTGTACCAGTACAGCAAGAGGTCGATATGTTGAATGTGCTTGACCTACCTGAACTCAGAGCTTACTTAGGTGAGTTCCTGGATGAAGAAGACCTTGCCGCATGTGTTTGTGTCTGTCGGGACTGGTATGCTACGTTCATGCCACTCCGATGGCGTGATGTTTGCATCACTGGAATTCATTCTGGTCGTGCAGATGTCAATCTTCGTCGACATGCTCATCTGGTTCGCTCTTTATCGTTTCTGCGAATTATCTCACTCAAACATTTTTCCACTGTCGATCGGTATAACCAACTGGAGCGGATCCATGTTACCAAGACGGACATTGATGGTCGAAAGGTCTGGGATAAGCTATCCGCACTGGTACGGCAGAACTACAAGACACTAAAAAGAGTGGTTCTAGAGGACATGATGCCGCTAAACGAGTTTTTGGCGGCATTGAGTGAAAAGGACTGTCAAGGAAGGGTGTTGAAGCTTAATAATCTGACATGGAAGCGAACCACTTTGTATGCATCTTCTCAGACCACCTTCTGGAAATCATGCATGAGGGCTCAAACGTTGGTGTTGGAATGCTTGACCATAAAAGGGCTGCGTCAGGAGTCGCCAGAGAACTTTAGCAATTTCCAATCCATATTGATGTCCGCAGAAGGATTGCAATCCGTAACAGACGCATCACCTACATCAGTATTATCAGCGGCATTATTTCCAGTATCAACGCCATCACCATCGTTATCGCCATCATGGTTATACCAGCTTGATAATATCAGAGGGGATTGCCACATTCAGCACCTTCGTGTTTCTTGGACAATAGAGCTGTCACCCGACCTACAGCTCATACTTTGGATCCAACCCTGTTCGCAATTGCAAAGTCTTACATGGGAGGCCTTCACGTTCCCAGAATCATCCATGGTCCGTTTCACCCTCCTACTCAGACAGAATACATGGCGATTTCTTACGTCTCTGGAGATCTCGAGTTGCACGGTCCAATACCCAACAGATTCTTCTTTGTCAATGATCCTTGATGCGTCACCGAATCCATTCGAACGGTTTTGTTTGAAGAACGTTGATTTTGGGCCACAGGCGTTTGAGAGTTTGAGGCGGCGACATATGCAGGGACTTAAAGTATTAATGTGGGTGAGTTGTGGGCCAAAGGTAACGAGTGAGATGGCACGAAAAGTCCTAGAAAATTGTGAAAAGTTGGAGGTTTTTCAAGCGCCATACTTGCTAGTTGAAGATATAGGGACGGGAGAAGATGGCCAAGGTCAAAAGGACGAAGAGGATCGTCGACGAGTAAGGAGGCAGGGTTCATTGGAGCAGATGGAGTGCAACGAGCAAATCGGCATATCAGATGCTAAGGATGTGGAAGACGATAGTGAATATTTGGAAAAGTCAAGATGTTCGCCACCGCTTCCACAACCCTGGGTCTGTCTGGATTTGCATACGCTTTATATTTCTGCTACGGTTGCATCGTATGGCTTGCCTCCGTTAACAAAAGAAGAAGAGGCTGTGATCTGGAAAAGACTAAAGTCCCTAAAGAAATTGCGAGACTTTCGAGTTGGTGCGAGTATTTCATCCGCAACCACAAATCCCCCTATACACATGTAGAGTCTCTTAATCTCCCTTAATATATTTTATAACTGTCTTGCCGTGGATTGCATTTATACTCGCGTTTTTCATTTTGGAATTGGTGGCTGAAAAAAATATAACCGTAAAATGGGCTTTGCTTTCCTCTTTTGTCTGAAAGGATGTTTGCTTGGTTCGTCATTCGCGTCCATCTAACAAATCATCGACTATTTTCAAGAATAATGGCATTGCAGGCGTTCTCAGCCCAACTAGATCTCATCCTTAGTGAGTCTGAAGCCAAGGTACTGCTTTAAATTCCTCAAAAAAAAAAAAAAAAAAAAAAAACATTGTCATGACCTACGTGCTCAGGAACCATTGCAGAATTTGACAATTAGAGAAGCTTGCTGAATCTATTATTGCAAAGATTAACTTTTAGTTAACAATGCACGATTGATATTGATATTATTCATGTATCTATAGTCTTCAATACCTGTAGGAGATTCAGACAGTTTCTTTTGGTAAGTACTAGGTATCTTATTCACTCTACGAATACGTTCAACTGTAAAAAAACGCATTAACTTCAATATGATCTCACCGTTTCTTTTCATCAACAGTATATTCCAAACACCTGCTCCAAAAAAGCGCATGCTTAGCCCCACGGTTTCATGGGCAAAGTACCTTGGTGATCCAGAGAACGCACGATATATCACGGTTCTTGCAGCAGAGTTCCTGAAAGCCTGCAAATCATTAGATAATGTGGTAAGGAAATAATTGGAACATGTCGGATATCTTTGGTGGCGCATAGTGAATCATTGGATCGATAAATCGATAAAGCAGTCTTTCAAGCTACTAAACAACGATGGTCAACTGTTTAATAGGCCGAGCCTCTGAACTTCCTGTTCACGAGTTATCACGGCTCATTGCAGTTTCCTGCCAAAGCGTCTCTTTTACTCGCTTTAATTTACAACATATTTCACCCAAAATCTAATCTGCCAATTTATGACCGGATCAAATCACCCATATTACTAAGTCGATCTTTTGTACAGTTAACACAGTACTTGGATGTCACTAATCATCTGCAGTGGATTGGGACTATGTCCCTAATTCTTCAATGTCTCCAGCAACCTGACTGCGCGACTTTACCAACAGAGACAGCAGTGGGAACCATGACCTCGATCTTGAAAAAGCTCAATCTGTTGCCATTATCTTGCAATATGGAGCAGCGTGAATGTGCTTCAATAGGCTTGGATGTTATTCGAGCGTTTCTAGAAACCCCAAGCGCCACCAAAACTGCGCACGCAACCTACTATGATCTGATGAAAGAGGTATGCCGGCGGGAAATATTCAGCATCTAATAGTTCATGGCATCATCAGCTTTTATTTCAAGTTTTCTGATCTATTTAACAAGGAACTCTTAGATTCCACAAGTATTTCCTGCTGGTGTTGTTATCCATTGGACTCTAGAAGGCTTTATTAATTACCTCCAGAGGCGACGGCAGGGCATAGCGCATTTGGTTATGCCGCCAGATGCTGCGTGGCCGCTGATCTCACAAGTCAGCCGACAGCATGAGTTCACTAGTCTCTCACTGCGGCAGACCCATTCGTTATTCATATCGGATTATGTACGTGATAATATACAATTTTTACATAAGGCTAAACGAAAGTCAATTTGGCGATGCCTTAGCTGATATTTTATTTTTATTTTTATTTTTTATAATATTTATGTCCATTGATCCATACTAGACGAGCGGAATACAAGATGGACAAATCCAAACCTACGTTAGCTTGTTTAATGACCTCTTCTTTCAGAGGGCTCCAATGGATGAAATTGCCTTGATGATTCGCCAATTACAACCAACGCCCATAAATATTTCTGTACTAAGGGAGTCTTTAGTAGCCAAAACCAGGGATGTTGTTCGCATTATCCAACGTCACAGTCGCTTTCATGATTACCGGCCCGTGGATATGTCCATACCTGTCGGGACAAATCCGGATATGGTGATTCCTGAGAACTTGGATTTCATGGAGCTGTTGATCGAGCTATCGGATCAACTCTATGCTTTTGTGGGCTCAGAGCTTTCGCATATATCTTCTATTTATCCAACAGGATATGCTATCCTTTATGAGGACTTAATTGCAGACTTTTATGGATTAATTACGGGGACTGAGCGTACACCACCTGAGATCGAGAAAGACAATACATTGATTTTCTTACTCTTACAACTGATCCACATCGAAAAAATTGGGGGCAAGGATAAACTGTTGTCTCAAGATTATGCTGGTGACGAACATCTTTTCAGACTTTTAATCGCATTGTATAACGAAGAGCAGGTTAATTCTAAGGATGGCTTCTATCTACGTGATCTCGCTCTGCAGTGCGCCATCAGCCACCAGCAGAGCTATATCCGTGATCGGTCTATGATGAAGTTCCGCCATCCAAAGCTGGCAGTAATTTGGCCATACTACTCTCAAATTTGCTATAACGTCCAATCCTATTTCATATCAACGTATAAAAACAATGTCCATGACGCGACATGCCTCTCCAACCTCCCCATACAAGAGATAGTCAAGGTCGCAATGGAGTCTCAACTTAGGTTGAATATTGTTGCCGGAACCTTGTTCCTTTATCTCGTTCCCAATCATCAGAACAGGGAGCTGGATACATCAGGCATGTTTTTGAAAGGAGGGACGTTAAACTACAAGTTGCTGGATTTCCTTAATATCGAAACTAAGCACAGGTATTTAACACGTTCCTTGTATAACCTAGGAGGCCTGATCTTTTGCTGTATTCGGCTTGACATCGTTTTCTTTCATTATCATAGGTTGTTGGGGTTAATCTACAAAACCATGCTTGATGGAGATCAGGGGCCTCGATTCCACGGTGGTCCCCCTGCTCAAATCAATTTCGTGTCGCCATATGTTATGGATGTTGTTTACAAGCTGTTATCGAGCTCGCCGATATCTGTTGAGCCTATCATAAAGCTTTTATTCGACAAGCTCAGGCGCCATGATAGGTTGCTCATGACCACTAACGATGTCCCTGCTGAGGTTATTCGATGGCAGTTCACTGTACTTCAATTGCTCAACTTCCGAATGATTCGACCACTCAAGTTTACAGCAATATGTGCCAATCTACTACATTATTTGAAATTCGCGATTTCCTCAACCAAGCACCGAGCGTTGCATAACCTTGTTGAAGCATGTAATCATAGCATCCTAAGCATCCAAACTAGTCCCAAATTCCTACGATCACTTGCTGACAATAGGCGTGAGAAACCTTATTGGTTCGAGGAATCTGAGGCGCTAGCTCGGCGCGCAGTCATGACCATTGCGCGCATCATCAAGCTCAAGGGCCAAGGGGATACGCCGCTTGGGATTGTCACAGATATTCTCCAAATCCTTCATAAGCATCCCATCGCGTGGTCAGAGGAGATTGTAGCTTTTTTCCCTGATGTTATTCGGGACTTTTACAAAACGCAAGAGCTATCAGGAATCGGGAAAGAGATACCTGGAGCTGTTACAGAGAAGCAGGTTGCAACACTTCTTGAGGAAACATCAGTGCACAATGTTCTTTTGGTTCCCAAGGGTACAGAGCCGAACACATATCTGCTGAGCCATTATTCTGACATGGCAAACCATCCATTCTTTTTGTGTGTATTTTGGGAAATCATCGTCATTAATCCACAAATATCGGAGTCCATGTTGGATGATATTCGTGCGGTCATGCTTCAGTTCCCACCATCGCACATGTCAACTTATACACAACAATTGGTTGATTATGCGCTATGGAAGCTGGATCCCAAAAACCCAAATGCGTCAGGCTCAACCGATTTTGTTGTCCGTGTTTTCGAAGAGCTAGTTTGGAAATACCAACTGCTTTCTATTGAACATACACTACTGGCGCTCATGACTGGCCATCCAGCACGGTCTGTAGATTTGGCGCTCAAAATATTGATCCAAATGACAGTCAACTCTTCGGAGTTGTCGAACCGTATCGTGCACTGGACTTCAATCGGGATTAGCCCTCGCCCATGGGAAGAGGATGCATATTATGATAAATTGCAAAGCTATCTCTCACGGTATCCAGAGTATTTTGGTTTTGAGGCCCACGAAGTTAGGAGTGGCGTTCATCCTATTAATCCACCACTAGAGTTGCCGCTATTGGTCAGCTACAATAATGTGTTGTTGCGCTTACTCAATGTTTTCGATTTAATCATCGGCAGGTTTATCGAATATCAGATGACCGATACTCTTGTTTCCTTTCTGGAAAAGTTTGGTTGTTTATACCTTTATCACAGTACTCCTATGGGATTTGTCCGTGACACCTTGCTCTATTATTACGAGTCTCCAACGATGCGGGACCCTCGTGTGATCAAAGCCCTAATCAAGTTGCTAGACTTCAAGCAAGTGGAGTTGTCGCCCGTATTGATGGATTATATTCAAGAGGTGAACCGTTCTGAAGAGCAGTTTGATGAACATTATGTTCATGAAATTTGCCGCAAGTTAGCCATCAGCATAGATCCGAAGGAATGTGGCTATAAGAATGACCCAGGCATGCCAGAGCGTCATTACCGCGAGATATCAAACCCAGCTGCACAGGGTCTATTTATTGCCATCATTGAGACTTTGGCAGCACCAATCTCTAAAGAGTATTTCATGGAGCAGTTGCTTAATTTGGTGGTAGGGAAACGCGGTTGTGTCTCAGCCAATGTAACTAGCATGATAACGTCTGGGACATTGGTACCAGCAGCAGCAACGGGGGGAGCTACAGAATCTAGTGGCAACAATCCGGCATCAAGAACCATACCAGAAGCAAGGGTGATCCATGCTGCAGGATTATTACTTTCAACTTTACCATCAGGATTCATGGATTTGTTTTTTTTTGAAGTGGATGCATTTACACGGTTGGACGAAACGCTTCTGGAAGCATCTACAGTCTCTGCGAAGGAATCCCCTCAAGCATGGAGCATAGGGGGAAGTCTATATGAAGGATACATGGCCACTGGAGACCTTGGAAGAACTGAGACAGAGACAACAAACAATGCAGCCCCACCTTTTTCAAATAAAGGGTTCAAGCGGACGACCACACAGAATATGTTGTTTAAAACCATTTTTAGCAGCTATACCAATAATCGCAACAATTACCAGTCCAACATGCCCAATTCTTTCTTGACATTTTTCCATGCAGTAGCCCACTATTCTTCTGCGGATGTACTGGTGCGGATAGTGAAATGTATTGAGAACTGGAGACAGGGAACGGATTTGGAGCCCCCGACGGTATCGACACTTTCCAACTACAAAGATGTGTTGATTCGAAAGGCCGCTGCTCCTGCTGATGGGGGAGAGGATATAGTAGGAGCAAACGAAACAAATCGAACTATCTGTACAGATGTGCAATTGTTGTTCATCTGTGCGTTGGTTGGCCCACTTTTGCATCGAGTGGAGAAGGTGCAGATCGAAGGATCAACGAATCATTTCCTTGTGGTTTTGTTAGAATTGATAGCGACTGTTACTAATTCGATGAAGGTTGCAGCACGACCTGGACTTGCCACTCTTGAACAAGTGATTGATTTCATGTAAGAACATGCTATATTATCATTATTCGTATTTATTTTATTTTATTTTATTAAAATAATTATACTGATATTATGGCATGCACTTTTTCTTTGTAAAACGTATAGATATCACGTAAGGGCGCATATACCAAAGGATCCAGAAGTGAATGCAGAATTGGCGCTTGCACTGAAGAAGATGCATCCTTGGCTTCAGGCACGTTTGAGTAGAATTTTATAGGATTGATGCATAGAAAACCCAAAGCTCATGGAAGAAAAAAATATAATGCGAACAAAACAATACAAAAGTTATGGAGGCATAGTTATTGATGTGTATTTCGGATAGAGGCGTTATAAAGTTATTGAAATTGTTAATTGTCTTCAGCAAGGCTGTCTATTGAAACAAACGAGAGAGTTACCGACATAGCGATGCGAGTAGACCGCAGCATTTTAGAGACTTGTACTTACAGTACTGACCACTCAGACCTAGCTGTGATATCAGAAGTGGTCATTGCCATTGAGAGATCTGGGTAGAGTTTACACCTGAAGAGACAGATAAAGGCTAATAAGACGCATTACACAAACCTTCACTATCAGAGAGTACGACAAGTATTATAAAATACAGGGCCGTTGCTTCTGCAGTATTAGTGAAAGATAAAATAGGAAGCATTATCTACGCTCGATAGGCACAGCTGACAAGACTTGAGAGCCTAGATTTGGTTTGTCATCTCCATTCTGAAATCCTTGTTCAGCACGTTCAATCGCCAGGGCACGAGCAACAGTGCCAAGCATAAGGTTTCAGTTTTCTAGTTTGACGAGATTGGGTCGGATCTGTATTTTTCGGTCCTGATCTGTACACGAAGTAATGTTGGTGTTGTAAGGTTATAAACCACGACATAACATTTGGAATATGTTGATGTTGCGACAAGCTAGGCTTTTTAATAGATATGTCCGTTTTTTTTTTTTTTTTTTGATGTCACAGTAAAAAAAAGGAGGGAAACTTTTAAAAACAAATTGCATCTTTTCATTTTTTTTGTTATTGAATAATGCAGAATCAAAACCTCACAGGGCCGATGTTAGCTGTCATGGTTATTATTGTGCATTGTTGATGTCATCATCATCATCAATCTCAGCGATTACGATAGACTCTCTTATCCGTGATGATTCACTCATCTGCAGTTCACGATCTAATGCTGTCAAAGCTTGAAGCGCTATTGCGGGATCTGAGAGGTGTAGTCTCACATATTGACGCAATTGTTGAACAAGTTGTTGTGCCTCACGAAGGTTCTGGGACGTCTTCAGGGCTGAGGACGAGGACGAGGGCGAGCTACTGTTGAGTAGTACTTCTAGCGGAGGCGGAGATGGTATGAATGAACTTGGATGGGTAGAATGCCTTGCGATGGGTATATTTTGCAAATATTCTAAATGAATGGTGGATGCTGTTGACTGTTGATGTAAGGTGTTGGGGAATGAGGCATGATATATGTGGGGCCCTTGATAAGAAGGAAGGAGGTTTGATCCATGCTGATAGGGTGATCGTATTCGCTGATGATGAGCCGCAAGTTGATATTGACTATCTCCAGAAGGGTCACATTGTGGTTTTTGGAAAGCCCGATGCTGCTGCTGCTGCTGTTGGTGATGATGATCCATAAATTCATGTAGTGGTGTCTGCGAGTTATTAATGATTGCAGGTACCGCAATGGATGGTCTGACATCCATGAGTGAAACGTTATCTTTGTCTATAACGCCTTTCATACTCAAATCGCTATTGATTACCGGACTTGAAACACATGTTGATGCAGTAGATAATGAAATAGACCTTGGTGAAGCTGGCGTCAGATCTGATATATCGGCTCTAGCAGTTGTGGTCATAGTGGGTGAAATAGATGAGGCTGAGGAAATCTGTGCAGGTCTAGATATTATTGGTTCTTGTGGGTGCTGGCTAGATTGGCCACGTTGTCGCCGTCTTTTTGCAATGACTGAACTTGCTGTGGAACGTGAAGAAAATGGCTTGATTCGAAACCTTGCCTTGAATCGTGAAAGCCATCCAGCACAAAACACAGTATCGCGAATATCCATCTCCTTTGCGATCCTTCTAGCTTCGCGTATCAAAACTGGCCCTGTAATCTCCTTCACAGTTGCTTGTCCACTGACATTATCATCTTCATAATCATTATTATCGGCACCAGAAGCTTGCCTTGGTTTGCCTTGTTCCTGGAGCCACATAGTTCTCCCTCGCTGTTCCTGCAATAGATACTGATTCTTAACCCATTCAAATAAAGCAAATTCCAATTCGGGATGTCTCACAGGCCGTTTCCGAACACGTGTAGTATCGATCCCTGGGGGGGTCAGTCCACTAGCCAGGATCTCTGAACTTCGTTTTAAAGAATAAGAGATCGTTGGTTGACTGATAGAAAAGAGATATTTGCTTTTGAACCATGCAGCGAGATCTGATTGTTTCATGGTTGGACATTCTTGCTTTTTAAGACATAAATGATATCGTTGCTCATGTGTAATGCCTCGGATCGTTGAATTCTTACGATTGTCATCAGGAAGCCTCATCTTTTAGCACGATTATCCAATGTATATACAAAAAGAACAGTTTCATTCCGATTGTAGTTCAAAGTAAAAATAAGTTTTATATGCTTTGAACAATAGTGGTAATTCTTCATAGTTGGGACAAGTGGAACGCACTCCATTAAGGGGTAGAGATAGCCAAATTATTTTAGTAGTGGCTTTAGCAGTCGCCTTTGCTCTTCCTCTTTCTTTGATCAATTCTTTCAAAATGGTACTGCTTGATTAAGGGGTCTCAATACACATCACTCATGGATGTCAAGGATAGAGGCAAAGAGGAAGAGCGAGAGAGATAGTTCAACCATCCATCGATCAACAATATTATTATCTTTACAGCTAGCTCAGTCGTTGCCAGCATCTCCAATTTACCTATTATACAACGATTCAAAGAAAAAGAAATCAGAATCAACATGGCCTGAAAGAAAAATAGATCAAGAACTGGATACTTGCGGCGCTTTACCACAGTAATTACTCAACAATGTTGAATGACAATAAAAGCAATTTACACCATGTATTCATTCATGGAGGGGAGGAAACTATGTCAAATCTATTTTTATTTTGGATTGTGACCACAGAGATCAGGAATTCTGCATGCGCTCATTTCACCGGCTGTGTTTTAAATATTATACACTCAATTAGGACAGGGCTTAAGGAGAAAAGACCAAGATTTTGTAGACTTCTGTTCTAATCGATTCATCTAATATGTCGTCGATTTTTTTTTTTTATTTTTTTTTATTTTATTTTATTTTATTTTATTTTTTCTTGCTCTACAGGATAAGGCCGTCGTCAAGCACGCTAAAGTTACAAAGGTCCTCGGCCGTACTGGCTCCCGTGGTGGTGTCACCCAGGTTAAGGTCGAGTTGCAAGAGGACCCATCCAACCCTGCTTCCATTCGCAACGTTATCCGTAACGTTAAGGGACCCGTCCGTGAGGGTATGTTTTTTTCCATATTTTTTTTTTCATAACCATACAAGGATCCTTGGACTGTGATCAGTATTAGGAGCGATCTGAACTATATATACCTCTCGTTTCAGGATTTCATGATGATCAGCACAATTGGCATACACGATCTATTTCCGACGATTCAAAGAGCAACACCGTTACGCACTACCAATAGGATAGTTAGACAGCCTTTCCTTTTTTTTTTCTGGAGGTGTCTTTAGGGCGTTGTATCCATGTGCTTTTAAAGCTAAATATTATTGTAGAATACTTAAAAAGAAACTGTCTTTTATCTTCAGGACTTTGTTCATCTTATATTATTTCATACCTAATATCCCTAACGCTTTCTTTCATTTTGTATGATCCTTAGGCGATATCCTCTGCCTTATGGAATCCGAGCGTGAGGCCCGTCGTCTCCGTTAAAGAGCGATACTCTACTTTTTCTTTTGTTCTATCCATCATTTAAGGAGAAAGGCAATAAAAAAAAAAGGATCCACTTACAATACAATTCAACTTTGGCAATATATTACTATAATAAGGGTATAGATCATTGAAAGATTATTATTATGTTTTCATTTTTTTTTTAGTGTACCGTCTTTATTGCGCGGAACAGCTTCTACCGATAAATGAATTTAACATGCTTATCCATAGCTAGGATTTGATCCATTTCTCGCACGCTGCATCCGAACATCGTGCACAACTCGTCATAATGATGTTCACCATTTAGCAATCTAAAACAAGAAAAAGTTTAGAGTCAAATTTGGACAGATCATTAGTGTAAAAGTGCAAAAAGTTCATATGAAGATCGTAGCTTCGGGAAGTTTACCGTTTGAGCGCTGGGGGTATCGCAAAAGAATTGAATGGGGCTGACTCGTTAGCATGATGGTTGCTGATATGAGATTGGTTTGAGGTCGAAGTGTGATGCTTTCCATTGAGTTCCGTCGAAGTTTGTGTGTCCCCAGGGTCCTTCTTTTGTTGGTCTATAGATGTTCCTTGCCTGCTTGCCAAACTATTTGAACCATTGGTCCCTGTAGAGGTCGTTTGTTCATTAGTATTTGCACCAACAACTGTTGCTGCTCGAACAACAGGAGTCCCTGCTGATGGGTGTTGTTCAGTTGGTTTTGTAATTAAAGGTATATTGGTGGTTGGATCATGATAATCAAGAATAGGATATTTGTGGACCCTATACAAAAAACCTTTGATTACTCCAAACGAGATGAACCGTCGAACATCGATATTGTAGTCTGCAATTTGGTTCTGTTCGATCCAGTCTTGAAGGACAACTCCGTATTGAAGTGAACAGTAAAGAGAAAAAAGCTTTGCAAAGGATGGAGCGTGCATGTCTAGGATTTGAACGGAAATACAAGTAGACATTTTTTTCTTTTTTTACTTAGTTACCAGACCATGAAACTATCTCGATTATTTTTAATAACAATCTGCTTCAGTGGGCCGCCTACCTGGTAATGTAACATAGGACACGCATTCGTTTTGTAAGGCAACATCCTCGGTCAAACGCATCATCTCCATCTTAACTGCATATATATTCTTGAACTGGAACAGATCTACCATGATGATACATCCATAATATCTAGCAGTAGGATTCATATCGTTTTAGGAAAAAAAAAAAAAAAAAAAAAAAAAAAGAATTGCTCGGAACCTTTCTCTATCAACTTTGAAGCTTACAGTAGGTGTTGCATGCACATTCTTGCTAGACCAGTCTCGACGTCGGCATATTCAGCGATGCGCTTCACAGAACTGACTCCGTTAATAAATCCAGTGAGCCGCTGCATTGTCATGTCCCAGCTCACATCCGTAAGCGCCTCTAAATTTACAGTCGAGATTGGAACCTGGTAGTCATACACAGGTGGAGGATTTGGATATGTTGGAAACAGCTTCAGATTGATAGTATTTGCAGAATCTAATAATGCCCAAGGAAATATTGTTATCAGCAATTCGAGTTAAACTTTCATGCCCCAGGACTATTTGGATCTATAAAGTATGTCAACCCTACCGATCGGGATCTGGCATTCGCAGTAGCTATTAAGGTCCTCGATCAGCTGGTCTATTAAGTTCTGCATCCCACTACCGTCCTCTTGTTCCTGTTTTGTCAGTGCTACCAAGCCTACGGGAGTAAGAGCTTTTTGACCATTGGCTCCAGATGGCACTGAGCCATTGTTCGGAGTCCTGATAGCTGAGGTGGAGGAGGATTTTGATGAGAGAAAAGGCATCGAAGATGGAGGTGCAGTCAAAACGGATGTGATTGTGTCATTGATCATAGATGGAGGAGAAGATGTCATTGTGGTAGGCATAATATTGACCCTATCCTGTGTTTCCACTGGCACTGTTGCAAATGGTGTAGGGATAGGAGCTTGCGAGGTCGAGACTAAAGCCAATGATGCTTCAGGAGCCATATGTATATTGGACGACGATGGCAAAGGAGGTAAAGATGGTGTCACTGGTGCTCCTTGTGGTCCCAGGGTTTGTTGAGTTTGTGCCGGTTGAGTCACGCTTGGATCGGTGCCTGAGACGGCTGAGGCTGATTCTGATATCGGTTCTAATCCACTGCTGGTACTCCCATTACTTCCACTATTCACTTGATTACTCTCACAACCAGTCATACCACTAAAAGAAGACTTTACCGCTCCCGCATGGTTGTTCGTCATTGATCCTAATGTGACTACAGCACTAGTTGGCGTTGCCAGCGGAGTTGTTGTTGCAGACGCTGAAGCCAAACTAACATTTGTCAGTGATCCTATAGGTGCGCTGACCAGCATCGCTAGTCGCGTTTGTCGACTTAAAAATTCGCTTTCCTTTTCTAACGCTTTCAAGACTCTTGCCATCTTCCGTACAACGGGTCCATACGACGAAGTTTCTGCATCCCTGTCAAACACAAAAGCCAAGTTGAACATCAAAGCATTGCGTTGAAATTTTTTGTGTTCAAGATTGACAGGGTATCCCATCACTTTGCATGTTGGCGTTGAAATGGTGACAAGTTTTTCACAAAGTTCAACTTTAGGGATCAGGTAGTCAGAAATGGAATCAAAGTCAACAAGAGGTGAGCTCTTGGAGAGAATAGAGCCTTCAGGTACCTCGTAAAGCACCTTCGGCCCTTGAACCGGGTGAAAGGTGCAGTAAAAGATCGACAGTAGACGAGGGAATCCCATAGTTCCTGATCGAGGACGAGGGCTTCACTATACCGAGAACCATATTCAAGGAACGAAGGCTAATGAATACACGTGATTTATAAGCCCATACGTTCAAGTATCTCCCTTTTGTCATAATGGCAGTCTTGAAGGTGTTTTCATTTTTGCGGAGTCAAAGATCGGTTGTAAACTTTCTCCATACACCTCTACATTTCCCATTAACTCACTCGCTCCTTCTTATAACATCAACTATGTCTGATTTCGGAAGCTATGGAGGTGGTTCAATGGTGCGTCCTTTGTTTATAGGAATCGGGCTGGACTGGAGATCTCAATATTTTGCATTAACTGGAAAGATATACTTGTAGAGGGGATCTTAAATGTATATAGGCCTAACATTGATATATCCTTATGCTTGATTCTAACGAAACAGGAAGCCAAGAAGCAACAGGTTATGGACCAGGTTCGCAGCGAGCTTGCCCTTGCTAATGCCCAGGAGTTGATCAATGTATGTATTTGTCTTCACACTCTTTCATTCACATACGGAAGCAAGGCCTGATCATTCTGAGATAAAACAAAGCAAGAAATGCAAATGTGGGGGCACATTCATATTGGTTACTTAAACAATTTCAATATTCATCTACTTGTTACTTGCAGAAAATCAACGAGAAGTGCTTCGCAAGGTGCGTGCCAAAACCCAGTACCAAGTTGAGTGGCGGAGAACAGGTCAGTGCAGGAAAAAAAACAGTTATCATTCTTATGATAGCTATAGTATGATGTAGGTTTAACTTTTCTTTAGTTATGGTATCTGATCTTTACCCTCTCTCTTTTTTTTTTTTTTTTTTTTTTTCTTCTCGCTATCACCTTCATCAATCTGCAACGCAAAATCAACAGGATTGCCTTTCCAAGTGCATGGATCGCTACATGGAGGCATGGAACATTGTTTCCCGCACTTACATTAACCGTGTTCAGCGTGAGTCGCAGAACATGGGTGGAAGCCTCTAAATCAAACAAATCCTCAATAGTTAGGTCCCTTTTATATGTCTTTTTTTTTTTTTTTTTTTTTTTCTACCTACTGTTTTGTTCTTCTAAAATACTATAAATCATAGACACGGCGTTTCTTATAATAAAACAGGAAACACGAATTGGCTTCGATTCTATAGTTGACTTAGCCATTACTTTTTTTAAACTAAAGCATATACTTCTCTTCGGGTAATGTGGTGTATTATTCTAGGAAGCTTGCTTTCTTTGCTACTCCTCCCAGCGCCTTCTAACGCTTGAAAAAGAGCTAATTTGTAATGGTTGGCCGAGAGGCTAGCTCAAGAGGAAAGTTATATAAATGGGGCGATTTAGCGTAAAGTGCTGAAGAGCCAATTCACTCATCTTGCAGAGATGATGCTGGTATTATTAGCAGAAGAGTACTTCGGTGGGCTGAGGATGAAAGGACAACTTATGCTCGGTTGTTCGTTAGGGGGCCAGATGAGGATGTTGTTATTAACAAATACCTTTGAAGAGAGCCCTGTTATCATATCCTGAAGTTATCAAGGTTTCTCACAAGGTCTCGCTCTTAAATGTAAATGTATGCATTCTGAAAGAGATGCTAGTCTTTCTCCTCACCACTCAATGCTATTACTCTCTTTAGCTTCCATATTTGCACGATGAGCAGTTACGTAGTTCGTGATACGCGTGGATGAAATAGCCCTTCCAATTATGGGTCGTAGTCTTTTGAACAGTGCTAGGGTATCAAAGTGCAATTTGACGACTGGATTGATGAGACGATACAGCTTCCGATCAATGAGCTTTGATTGAATGTCTGGAAGGTCATCTCGGGCGTTCTGCAGAGAAAAATGTAGATCTTAGGAGTCCTGTAGGAAGGTTGCGAAGGAGAGCGACCGCATTGATGCAGCGATGTAGCCGAAAGAGATGAAAAGAGCGTTTATCTGAATGTATCGGCAACAAGGCGAGCGAATACTTCTTGGAGCTTCATGGCAACAGCCATCTGTAGACAAGTTGTGCAATGAATAAATAAACTCTTTTTTCATATTTTCATGCATTTTCATTATTCACTCTAATATGGCTCGATTCTGAACCGATCCTTTCATGTAAATCTGATTGCCTTTTTGCCGAAGGCTTTGCAACGAACTATTTCATCCTTTCAGATACACAATGTTGAATCCTACATGTATGAGCTTCCCGCTACCGATTACAATGTTTTAATTTCTCCTTGGATAGCGGACGGACAGATGGTCGACCGATCCGAACGGATTGAGTTTTCGCAAGGTCGCCTGAAAAGACACCTAATTCGAGAACCTTCAGTTTATCAGCTGCTAGCCAATCAGAGCTTTAAGCCACCAATGGACTATTATCTGTTTAATCTGTATCCTCGCGCAGAATGCATTGCATACGATAGTTTTAAAAGATTGGTCATTGTAATGTAATATGAGCCTATTAATGCTGCCATCGCCGCCACGGACCCAGTAATTGGTCTTCTTTTTTGGCCACACGCAGCACTCAGGATGCGGAGGTGCGAGACACAAAGTCTAAGATAATCAACATCGGTTTCTTGTACTTCAAGACCTTTTCAGACACGACCGTGAAGTGACCATGAGAACACTAACTCTAGAACACAATTTTTCATTTCACATGTATTACGCTTCCCCTGTTGGGCTCACATAATAAGGCTCTGGAGCTATCGGGATCAGGGTCTTCTGCGTTTCTTTGTGCTTTGATATTGAAAAACCCACAATTTACGTTGACGTTCCTTCCAGCCTCTGAAAGCAGAATGAATGCCAATAGAGCAATATTCAGTCCAGTCAAGTTCAGTACCACAAGCTGTGCCAATGGTGGGACACATGCATGAAGTGGTTGTTCTCCACCTGTTGATTTTTGGATATCAATAAATGCAAAAATTTCCATGAACCACACACGACGCGATTAAAAAAAAAGCTGTCTACGTCACATTTATGATGTTGGAGGTAGACATCTCCACATCATTGATTCGTAGCCTCCCATCATCTCTTCTTTAACACATTTACAGTTTCATCATGACTGGAACCCCTCCTGGTAAAAAGCACATTTCAATATCATACAATATCATACAGATTGTTCCATGGAAATCAGAAAAATAAAAAATAAAGCAGCTATCTACTGAACTGTAACACAATGTCCTTTTTTTTTTTTTTTTTTTTTTAATGTTTTCCGCCATCTCGCTTTCCCATATTTCATTAGCCGGCTGGGAGGCCCTTAATGGCCGTCAAACAGGCCTGCTCATGGACCAGCGGAGGGAGATTGAGCTTGCAGAAGCAGGTACAGCCTGTAACAGTAGAATGAGTTAGTGGCAACATTATGAGAAAAATAATATTTATTGGTAATCCTAACGTTAATCAAACTGAACAGGGATTCTGAATAATGCCCAGTCACTTTTGGGTACTGATACTGTGAACTCGCTCTCGGGGCTTGTGGACCCACAAACACTCACAGTATTTCGGGATCAAGATCGATGGAAAAAACTTCCACGAGGATCTTCTTCTACTAATTCTATACCTATTAACAATGAAATTTTGAAGACTTCAACCACATGGACAGGATTGAGATCACAGCTTGATGCAGAAGGTATTACAAGTTGATCGCTGCATTTAACAGAGCAGCTATGAGGCTTTAATGCTAGATCGTAGTCATTGTTCGCTGATTCTCATATTATTCAATGTCCAAAATAGAATATCATAATCTCTCGGAAAAGATCTCACAATCCAAATCGAAGACGCCAACAGCTTCTCGATTAGAGTACAAGGAAATGAAAACATATGGCGGAATGCCCATGCAGGATGATATCGTAGTTGTCAGCTGCAGTAATTGTGATAAACCACTGATTCCAAGTGCATACAAGGAGCATCGAGGTAGGATTCTCTTTCTTAAAAGTAGCTATAATGACATAATTGATGTTATCATATCACCAGTATACACACAGCTAACCAAACTTACTTCTGCTCTTTGTTTATTATACAGCAAAGTGCAAGGTACAGCAGACAGAAACACTCACTGATACATCTTCTGCGATTCGGACAGATATTCCAGAAAAAAAACCTGAGATTCAAAAGACGAAAAAACGAAAGGAATCTACTGCTATGGAAGGTAATGATTATAGTCCAGTATCTTGGTACGAATTTAAAACTATCTTCCTGTTTTAATACACCATCAGATCATTAATCTGCCTTTATGTTAGTTACTGAACCTGAAGTACCAGTATCTATTTCTGAGATGTCTCCCCCACCCACGCCAGAAAAAAAACCACATGAAAAGAAACAAAAGGTGGCTAAACCACCCAAGGTCAAGCCTCCAGGCCGTGTCAAAGGCCCCTTGGATCTAGATAAACAATGTGGAGTAATTGTTATTCCTGGTGGCCCTGCTTGTGCACGTGCACTGACTTGCAAGAGTCATTCAGTGTCATCAAAGCGAGCAGTCGAGGGTCGCTCCCGGCCATACGATGTTTTGCTTGGCCTGTATCAGAAAAAACCCGTACCTGGTACGTTGTTTCTTACTTCGGTCAGCAGTTGTTGCCACTGGATGAACTAAGATTGAAGTCTGGACTGGACTGGGCTGAATTGAATTGGATATATCTTTTTAAATTCTATTTTAATAGTCAAAGACGAGAAAATTAATCGGGATTCAGAGGCGCCACTGGCAGAGAAAGAGGATGTTAATGTTGATTCTGATGAGGAGTACGGTGAGCTTTTAGATGCAGTCAGGAGCTATGAACCACAGCCTTTGGCCGCACGCCCTATGACATACTTACGTAGACGTAACAACTGCCACAGGATCCGGGATTTACTTATGGATGCTTTAAAAGGCCCTTGTAGGCCTATTCTCCCTGGGGGAACAACACATGAGCAATCCTCAATGCATATTTGATATCTGAGCGTTTAATTCAGCCTCCTAATATTTTTTTTCTACAACGCTTGCAGCTTTGGCTTTTTCTAACGGCTGCAGCTTCCAGTATTATCCTTGCTATCCTTGCTCTGTAAAACTTAGCCATTACTATGCTGTATTTGTATTCAACCTCTATCTCAAAGCAAAAAAAATAAAATAAAATAAAAATAAAAAGTGAGAGCTTCCAAAGATGATGACACAACCCTCGTCTGTGCAATTAGGACATCCACTTTAGTGGGACTTTTTCTACCTAAAGGGGAAAAAAAAAGGAGGGGCACATATTGTGCTAACAGAAGAGTAAGGGCAGGGCCAGAGGTAAAGAGATAAAGAGGAAGAAAGGGATGAAAAATTAAGGGATCTTGAATGGATGTGATTACTTCAACTCCATACGACCTCTTTTGGCGTACATCCAGTATGAACCAGGCGTGATCTTATGATTCATCGTAGCGAACGTTAAAGTTTTTGATAGTGCTTAGATGTCCTCCTTTTATGTCTTAGAGCAGAGCAAAAGAAACAACGGGCCTCAAATGAAGCTTTGTTAGACCTTCATTTTGTTGTTCAAGCATGATAACATTGTAATCGCTAAATCTATCGTGCAACAAACTCAACCAATCAACAGTGTATATTTTACGCGTCCAAAAGATCTCATGTGTTCTAAAACCGAATGTTAATATTGCTACAAAATGTCTACGGCCACCTTAGCTGAAGGCTTAATAACAGAATTACCAGCGAAGGATTATGCCTGAAATGTACCACAAGAGTGGTGACTCCTACATTTGTGTGCGCAGCACATCATTGTTGTATAAAAAAGAAGCTAGGAGATCGAAAGAGTACTTAAAGCTGAAGGAGACGTTTTTCTTTTTTTTTTTTTTTTTTTTTTTTTTGCTGGCACCAGTAGCCCGAAGTCCAGAGTAGGTGACCACGCTTTGTTTTCTACATATTCAAAAAAAGAGCCCCTTGTGTGTTCATGTTAGTAAATGTTGGTAAATGTTAGTAGACACGGGATTTGGCCGTCAATGATGTTGGTACTGGGCTTCTATCTCCGAATGGGTCAGACCTTCTTGTTCGTGTACTTGACAACTTCCTAACAAATGATGCTTATTGACTTTTATTTGTGATTTGTGTTACGGCAACCATGCTTCATCGGGACAAAATCCGTGCTCGAACAATCAACAATGCAAAGGCGTGCAATGCATCGGCCACAGAAAAAAAAAAATTCACACGGCGGTTGTCATTGTCTCTAGCCTTTTTCTTTTCTAGTTTGTTTATTTATTTCAATAGGGTTGATCTGCTCCACTTACCCGCGCTTCCTTTCTGTCTCTTTGATCTTTTTTTCTTTTCCGTCCCTCTATTTACATCTCTTGCTCTTGTTCCTCCTCCCTTCGCCATCCTTTCGTTTCTTCCCCTTCCTTCTCTTTTCCTCTTTTTTATCCATCTGTTGTCTTACTACATACACCTCCCCTCTCAATAACTCTTGTGCTTCCGGCAGTAGGTAGATAAACTTTTCATCTTATCTTTCTCATAGATCTCCAAGAGTATATTGTCTTTTAAGAAATAACCCTTCTAATCCTTTCTTTCCGTCAACACCTTATATCATCCCTTCTTTTGCTGTAGTCTAGTCACATCACTGTCTTTCAGCTTCGTTTCTTTTATATATTTCCTCTCTTCCACGTATCTGTCAGTCTTCGGTGTCAGTTTGGAATAACCTTTGTACAGCTGAAGTAAAAGTAGCTTCTTACTTGGCCTTTCATTGCTTTTCTTGTCAGCATTCAATATCCTCTCAACAGTCGGCGAAGGTATTTGTGTTAAGGCCTGGTACCTTCGTTCTTCAGCTCTTCAAGTACGAGCGCATTGTAGAACAAAGAATCTCGGTCGATAGCGAAATATAGCCGAGTTTTCAGCTTCTATATTTACTACAAAATAAGATTACTGTCAGGCACTGTCGCGGCGTAAAAAAGGGAGCTGGATCACTCATTACTTGCTCAAAGTACTTCATTCAGAAAACTATTCACTAAACAACACCTAAGAACAACATCGGCCGCACCTCAATCGATAGTGTGTACGTATAGCCTCTTATGATAGAGCATTGCAATCACTATACCGATACAGATATTGAAACCGCAAGTGCACAGTTCATACTATCTATCGACAAGTCTTCCTTTGAAGTAGAGCATCCGCTCGTACCGTTGAATAAGAAAGTAAAGCATTTTGCGTCGCCATTGCCATCATCATCCCGGCGCATGGACCAGCATTGTTGCGGAGCTGATACTTCAGCCTGGACTCAAACTTCATTCGAGCAATATCATCCAACCAAACTTGTCGCAAAGTCATCGGCTATTATAGGTGAGGCAACATTACCAACTAACATTGGTAAAAGTGGCGGAGAGGGCTGTTACAGCTGGCCGAACATGGCCGCTCAGGATCCTATCCAAAATATATGCTTCTCACCATCCTTAATTTCCACACCATTGCCATGGACGCCTTTCAGTACAGATCAAGAACAAGTGCACAGTTCCCTGACCTCTATTAGAAGTGCAGTAGATACATTTGGTCGGAGAGCTTCCATGCCACAGATCTCAGGCAGTAGAAGCGTTGCAGGCCAGGTATGCAAAATGAAAGGCATCCAATTGTCAATGCTTCTATACGTGGAACGAATAGTTTGATGTGAGCCGCCTTCCGCTATTCGGAAGGTGGTAACGATTTGGTTTTAGTTCTCCCTTCCCTTGCTGAGCCAACATGTCATCGCTGCAGGCATTGGCATAGCCTAAGCTTGAACCTTATTAGACTCAACAACAAACAATGCGGTACAAAAAAGCTTCAGTGTACCGTAACAAACAGTGTGCATATTTTTTTGTATTTCCTCAGAAGTCTTTTCTGTCCCTTACAAGCTCACATTTCAGCCTTCATTTACCACCAATCCTGCCTCGCTCATCACCCTCAATACATCTTTGATCCTCAGGATCTTTAATAGCTTCTATAGATCAGTGAGTTCTCTCAGGGGGGACGGGAGGAGAGGGAGGAAGGGAATGAGTTTGTACACCCCTGTTAGTCTTAGCGCCACATGCTCAAGCTGCAACTATCTGGAAGAGCCCCTATCTTTGTGACTACATGGACTGGACTTCTGACCTTCACTATCTTGCACAACACGATCTCTTGCAGTGCTCATGCTATTAGGATATAGAAAGTCACTCCACAATATGACTTATATTTCTCATTTAATGCTACCATAGGCTTTCGCTAGCTCCCATAAGCACTCTGGTTCAGTCGATACAAGCTTGCTCGTCAACAACTTTTCCAATCCATATACCATGCGAATTACGGAGCAGAGGCGAACTTGTGCCAATAGTCCCTTCATGACATCAACTAGCTCTGCCAAGGGCGGAGTAAGGGACACAAGTGGCGAGAGACTTTTCTCAGCGCGCGCATTTAACTCTTTGGTCGGGGCCTCCGGAAGCCATCACCACCACCATCAAGATCCTCATCATTGTGATAGCTGCGTGCTCCCGAATATAATACAACTACCGGCGTTTCCTAATAAAAGGGCTGACGACATTGACTGCACATTTGAAGAGCTTCAGCCTGGGTTCATATTCGGTCATAGTGCTTGGACGTGCCAGAGCAAAATACAACATAGTGAGCCATCATATAGTGGTATTGGCTCAAAGGAAGAAATTGTTCAGCTTAATCAATACTGTAACTCCGAAACTACTATTCATGACTTTAATCCGAAGAACTTGGCACGTTTGGCATTAGATGAGGCTCCTCAGATGCCCGTCAGTCCAAGTAGCATTGCATCATTGTACCCTAATATACCTACCTCTTCAAGCCTGAAAAGTTCAAAAGACGAATTTCCTCCTGGATCTCTTAGCAATAGACACACTATCAACTTGACTTCTATATACCACCCGTTGGATTGCTATGACCCAGTAGTGCAAGGGAAGCGCGATATATATAACTTTAGTTCGCAAATACAGAGTACATCTACGTCGCAGCAATTCATAGCAAGTCAGCCTAAGGGAGAAGATAATACCACTTTATACTACGACTCTGCATTGGATTTGAAATATGGTTGTGGGTTTTGTGGATTCCAACCTGCTAATGTTACCAAAAGGAGCTGTGGACATAGGTATAATCAATTAAGCGGGGGGTATAACGTTATTAATAGTCTGCTTTTAAGGTATTTACTAAGCTATCTCTGTTTGCACTATCATAGTATCTGCAACACATGCCATCAATATGAAACACAAATATACATGCAGCCTTCCCAATATGCTGCGCCACCGTGCCTCCTACGCGCTTATGGCTTAACTCCTACGAGCGGTGGTGCCCAAAAGGATCGGTGCTCTTCGACGAACAAGACTTCCAATGGTAACTCAAGCAAGCAACAGCGACATTTGTCTTGGCCTCAATTAGCTTCAAGAAGGCATAAAGCTCAACAGCCGCTAGGCAATAATATAATTGAGGATTACTTCCAAGGCTCTTGGGAGGGCAATGTTGCCAAAGCTAGGGGTTATGGTGACAAGCCTCAATATAGCAATCAATATCATCACGCATCCTTAGGCCATAATACAATGACCAAAAGGCCTACCGCTCAGTCAACCCCTACTTTTATTGATCACCAACAGCATGAAGGCAGTCCTTCTAGCGACTGCATTCCACAACCACAGCTTCAAAGTCCCCACCAAACGCTTAAATCAGGATATGGCGTTTTGCCCGAACCAATGGGAATTATCGGGTCAAACAGCCAGCGCCTAGGCCATCACTACCATCAACAATATCCCATCCAGGCGCCCTTAAGTGGTGGCATTTATGCATCAGGGTCCCTACAAGAAAACATGCAGCAACGTTCAAGCAGTAATTCAGACGTAGTATCTGCGGATAGTTCGGAAGCGCTTAGTAGCTTAACTACCAGATGTCGGGAGAGAGCTATCGATCACTCTTGTGCTCAGAAGCTACATAGTGGCCATATGTACCCACTAAAATCACCACAGCCACCACGATGTTCGCAGCAACAACAGTTACGTGGCAGGCAACAGCACATTAATCAAGCATGCAATGAAGGGCTCTACGGGAAAAAAGCTGAACAACAAGCCATTGATGGAGTGGCAGGAACTGCAAAAAGAAGCATTAAGGATATCGGCTTTTCTCCATCTATGACGGCTTCATCGGCTTCACTGCAATTACCAAAAGTTGTTGCGCCTACTCCTCGAACCAAAGCAGTCCAATGGGCTGTCATACGTGTCACCAATGTGCGTTGTAATCGACACCTCTGTTCTCGAATGAATGAGGTTCTATTTTTTTATATATATTTAATCTTAATTTATAATAGCCTGATACTAATCATCGGCTATTATCGCATTTTATTACAATCATTAGATTCCATGGGATATTTCTTTGCAGGACATGTTATCCTTTTTCTCTGGGTTACCTCACCCGGCAGAGCACTTGTTATGTCAAAATGTACACATACCCATGGATAGATCTACGGGGAAAACATTCAACTCAGCTTTCATTGAGCTGGCACTGACACCACGTGAAGCAGGCATAGCAGCGCAGGCCCGTAACCTGAAGGTGCTCAAAGGGAGAGTCGTAATGGTAGAGCTGTCAAACCAGGATGAGTTGATGTCTTCACTATTCCCTAAATGGCGAGGGCAGTTCCAACATGGCGAACCAATAGTTCCTGGAGAGCACCTAAGAGCCCAAGGAGAACCGTTAGATGTTGCCAAATCCACCATAGGAGATACAGCCGAAAATGCAGTCAGCTCATCGACTTCAATAGCAAAAGCAGCGCCGAGAATGGTGGATACGCCGCCATTTGTGGCCCGAGAGGAGATCAGTTCGTTGCTCACTATCTGCCGCAACTATAAGGTGCGCCATTAGCAAGTCCCAGTTGACTGACATTTCATTTATAACAAGCTGACTTTCTTTTTTTTTATTTTTTATTTTTATAAATATATATTATTATTATTAAGATTCACTTTTCGAGAAAGTGTGCTGAAAGGCCATTCGAAAACATTATCTCTATTCTAGCAAAGTACCCGTGGCACCAGGCCCATCGAGTACTGCCGCTGCAAAGAGATCATATCTTTGAGTTATTGAAACTCTCTATAGAATCGCTTAGGGTTCACCTTAGCAAGGAGTACAATACTATACATCCTACATTATTAATACGCCTTGTTCGTTCTGCCATCTATACTCCCGCATTCACTGAGAAACAAAAAGCAATGGTCTTATGCACCGCAGGATGTCCATGTCCCGAAGACATCGTCGGATGGATGGCCGCCCCCACTTCGAACGATGCATCGAAAGCAGTGGAAGCATCTCTTCCGCCTCTACAAAGCCAAGCGTTTGAGCCCGATGGTCAAGAGAGAGCTTGTCAAAGCTCAGCCATTAACAAAGGGGATCAAAACAACCATTTAGCTGAAGCTTTTGCCAATTGTGACGAAGAAGTTATTGAAAACTTTGCAGTTGGCGATCCATTTGAGACTGGCATTATGCATATCAGAGACCATCACGCCCTCTCTGCAGATTCGCAAAGCTCTACCATGAGCAGAGCATCTCCTCCATCGACATTGTCAACTGCACAGATACAGAAGGATTCACCCAACTCAAGAGTCCTGTGTATCCAGGATTTTTTCTCATGTGGTGTCGGTTCCAAGGGCGGGAAGACGAGCAACCCAGCTTCGGGAGTAGTTGCAGCTCCTATGGTTAAAGAGGCTGCAATTGATGAGTATAGCGCTAAAGCCTCCAGCTCACCTGTGATGACGAGATGCACAAAGTCGCTATCCTCATCAAGTTCCTCCAGCATTTTATCACATATATCATTGCCAACAGGCATCCCCTTGTCTATGTCACCCCCAACGCCCAACAAGGTCGCCACTTCATTTAGTATTCCACGCACTGTCGTCGGAAGTGAGAAAGTAAAAAGTGGTACCATTTTGGACGCCATTAAGACAATAACTCAGTCTACACCACGGCTACATCGCCAGACGTATTGCGGGACCGACATGATCTGATCATCAAAATTGAGCAGAGACCGAAGGATTCAACATGTATTTATGTGTAAAATCCAATGCAGAGTAATGACTTACGACTGAAGTGATGATAAAAAAGTATTGCAGAATAAAAATGCTTGGTGAAAAATGCGATGATCACTACTTTTACATTGCAACTATTAATCTATGGGATATTTGTATGTTCCAATTCTTTTTTTATTTCTTTGAGGTATTACTAACCAGGCATTTCAATGGCGTTGCTGAGCAAGTTTTGCATTCTTGTCACGAATGCTTTTGTGTGGATGCTTGACTAGTAGAGTCATGTCAATCCTTGACCTCCTTTTCGGGCGTTGAGGACTTTAAAAGGCAGATGACGCAGGATGACCACCCAAGCACATGCATACAATCACATATACATCTGTAGATATGCACTATCGCGTAGCCATAACTCTTACTTTTCAACCTTGATCATCATCGAGCATCAAAGATGCCATATGTCAAGCTATCCAGCCAAGAATTCGATTGTATATATCTGGGGACCTCATTATGATGAGGCGGAGGTACGGTTGTGAGCTTTTTCGTAGAGGTAAGGGCGGCATCAGTGTAGCCAAGTAACAGATCTTCCCTACCTATTCTAAGGCAGTTAATCGGATTATTGCACCTTCGAATCTAGGGATAAGGGTTCATCCAATAATGAAAAGTGAAAACTATGTATATTGCAAAGTACAATCTTCTGCCAATTATTCCCAAAGGCAATGCCGGAAATAGACAAACCATTGACCAATGTTCCATCCAACCTCATCTTGGCTTAACAGAAATGTCAAGCGCACTTCATTGTGCGCTACGCATTAGGGAAAGGAGAATGAATTAAAAAAAAAAAAAAAAAAAAAAAAAAGTGATTTAGAAGCGTAGTTTTGGAGCAGTGTATCGGCTGCGAACTATCGATCAGCCTATAATTGTCCCCATGCTGAGCCGTATTTACATGGAGCTGAAGGTCATGTTGATGGGCTACGTACCATGTCTTTGTCTCTAGTAGAAAATAATGAGACTTCGGTATCGGCGGAGACGTTGGGAGCTTGGGCTATGGAAGAAGCGAGAGTCTTTATTACTATGATAATTACTATTATCATTGAATGCTATTGTTATAGTTATTATTATGATCGATTCTGAGCTATAGCCTATAAACCTGATAGAGTTAACGAAGAGGGGATGTCTAAGGGTTTGATTTGAAGAGAGGTAGGACAGCAAATAGATATAACTGTTTCTTTCTCGCTCCCTCTTCCTTGCTCCTTCTTTTAATTTCGTGGCTCAAAACGGTGATGTTGAATGGACAAAAGTTCATGTACAAAGAGCAAGTTGAAAATTAAAAAAAAAAAAGGGGGTAGCATTTGCCCCATGAACTCTTTCAAGCGGAAAATGGATGCTTGTAGCTGTAAAGAGAGTGAGAAGGAAACAAGAAAGAGATGAAATAGAAGAACACTAGGGCAAAGGAATATAGAAGTGGGATTTTTGGGCGGGGATTGTAAGCATTCTTCAATGAATGGCAGAATTACCTTATTCACCCATAGAGCACCGTTTGTTAATTATTCTTTATCAAATTTAAGCAACCAATAGCCGACATGACGTTGTGAATCTGTTTGACCGCCAACGTCTTGAAAACGCGTTAGAGGCGTTGGATGATAACTATTATGACAAGAATGATTTGTAATGAGCGAGCAGACGAGTGAATAGATGAGACTAAGATAGGAGTGGAGTTGAGGCTTCTCTTCCGCCACTGATCACAAAAACTGTTGGCGAAAGCATCTTTAACATGGTATCACAAATGCATGGTTTGCAAGAGTTCTTTATCCCATGCGTCTCCTTTTTCTGTGAGTGGAAGCTCTTCTCTCTCCTGAGACTCATATTCTTCTGTCTGCGTTTCCATGCCTTTTTTTGTCTCTTAATGTGTCTTTCGCATTTGCTTTTTTTTTTTTATTTAAAATTTTCTTTCTTTCAATTGCGTTGGCATTCGCAACATTGCATTTGCATTCTTTTCCATCTCATTGTGAGGCGTTTACTTCATATAAGGTTTACACACTTTAGACTCCTTCGAAGGTTAGTACGAAACCCATCCAGAGACCAGACAACTGAAACGCTTTTTAGATTGTAGTCTGTCTTTTTACACACAGCCATACTGTTTATATTAGACACGGGGTTCTAGCTGAAGTATTAGAGGAGGCTGACAATAAAAAAAAAAAGAATGTTGCACTGATGGGACATAGTGGGATTCTATAACACGATGTCTCTGTCCTTTGTCAGACTACTCGTTTTTTTTTTTTTCTTTTTTTTTTTCTTTTTTTTTTTTCTTTTTTTTTTTCTTTTTTTTTTTTGCAAAGGAAAGAGAAGCGCAGAGGAGAGAGAATTTGTTTCTTCTTAGTGGTGACATTGCCCTGGTTGCTGGTGATTATTACACATCATGCTACACTCGCTCATTCGGACCTCTCAACATCCACAAGCATTCACACATCAAAAAGACGTAAAGTTGAGCGTTAGAAAACTGTCTGGTTGCACACGACTAAATTTATCTTGTCCGTGCACTTGCCACCAAAATTTATATTTTCTGTCCCTCGTTTCCCCTGCTCCTTTTCCTCAGTCCTATCTTCTTGGGGTACTCAAGTTGTTCATGGAGCTTGATGACGACAAACAATAATCAGGAACTTAATTGTGTTTCGATGACTATGAGGTGGCTGGAGCAAAGATGTGGTTATAGATTTCGATCCATCATCAATCATCTTTGCTTTATTTGATTTGATTTGATTTGATTTGATTTGTCAATTGATTAACCACATTAAGGATCTCTTTGAAGGAAGAAAAGCGTTTCTTTTTACTTTCAAACGGGTTGAGAATACGGACCTTTGACAAAAGCAGAAGAGTGGGAGCATTATTGATCAGCTTCAGCATGGCCATTCTGTTCTGAAAAAAAAAAAAGAGATACGTCACCACTACAAGCCTGACCAGCTTTATTCTTTGAAATCATTTTCTCATTCTTGTTCTTTGCTCCGCCTTGATTAATCCTCTTTTTAACACCTTTGGGCTATGAGTCTTCGGGTTGCAGGTTAGTAAAGCTGAATGTCAAAAAAAAAAAAAAAAAAAAAAGAATGGACCAGGCTCATATTTAAGCTAGGGCGTGAGCTGTTTATATTCTTGTAAAAGCGCCCCGGGCGAGGTAATTATCATCATTGTCTCCTTCTTTTTCAGGTTCTCCTTCCCTATCTTCCCATCGCTTCCCCTTCCTCTTCTTGGTCATTTGGTTTTCCCTGAAGCATTTGAAAATAACTGTAATCTTTGATACAATCACTCGTGTGGTACCTCCCTTGGTTCCTTTTTTTACGATCTATGCAAGGATTGCATTGGGTCAGTCTAAAACAAAAGTCTAAGCCCAAGACAATTGCCATTTTGTGCATTTTGCGGTTGTTACATGCCTTGATTGCTTTCCTTCCTGTCTTACGAGTAAAAACGGTATCGAAGGGGAGAGGGGGGAGAAGTCTGAAAAAGATGATGCATATATTTATCCATCTCTGACTTTTATAGCCGTTGTGGATTAATTGCTCGTTCATGTGTGCTTGCCTAACAAATACCCGCATAAACTTTCACGTATCTCTCTTCTTGCTTCCTTCATATTACTTCCATATTCTCTCTTCCGCCCTTGCTTTTTTCCGTATCTCTTGAAGCAATATTTGTAGGCAAATAGCAGGCAGACTGATCTAAAATTCGCATAATAGCTTTTTTTTTTTTTTTTTAACAATTTACGTGGGCCATATTAGAAAACTTACCCCTGGTTATCTTTTTGGAATTCATTTACAAAAGTCAGGAAAAGTAGCACATCTCTGTCATAGCGCAATAGAAAAAAAATAGATGGTTTGTCAATTGTAATTAAGGTTCTTGCAGTTTTTTCTGGCATTTATTGACAAGGACGACGTTCATGTAGGTCAGAGCGTCCATCAACTCCATTCAGACTTTATTGCTTTTCTCTCTCTTTTTTTTTGACTTTTCTTCTTTATCCGCTCTCCACTGTTCATTCTTCCGGGAAGAAAATCAAATATATAGCCCTCTCCTTACCATTTATCTTGATATCTAATATTTTTACTTTTATTTTTTTTCTTTATTCTACAACAAATGCCCTTGATTTTTACGAACCCTACGGGTCTAACAACGTTCACGAAATCCTTGGATGCTTTGAATACTCGAACAAAACGTACAATGATGAATCCACCGATGACATCGTCTATCGTTATATCATCAACGTCCACGTCTATGTCGTTGACGCCACCGGCATCTCCACATATTCTTGCTGATGCCTGTCCCGAATCACCTATTTTGGGATCAATGTCATCGACATCTGAATCTATTGGACAAATGGTTACCTCCACCGGGCTTGGGCCTGAACCTGAAACAATTTCCACTTTCACAGACGCAAGCGATTACCTCCCTACGGCAAACCGGCTATCGAAAACAACATTCAAATCAAATCAAAGGATATCTCTAAATAATCAATCTAAACAACCGTCTTCATCCTTGATCTCCTTTCCTGCTGCTATCACCAGCATAAGCATCACAATAACGGCAGGTACATCAGCATCACTATCATCACTATCATCATCCTCTCTTTTGGCACTTAAGAGACCAACGCCCACTCTTCCTTCAGTGACAACCATAGGTGCCAAAGGGACGCGACCTTTATCAGAGGCTGCTCGAAAGGCTACGACAGTAGTGCCCCAAGGCCCTATTAAAGCATTTTCACCGCTAACTCTGAAGCCAGGTTCATCTGAAGCTCCTACTTCAACGAACTTTGATACTGATATACAATCATCCAAACCCTCTTCATCTATTGTCGCTTTTTTATCTTCATCACGTACATTAACATCAACGTCAGATTTTGGTCACCCATCCTTATCCTTTATTAATCATAATCAAGCACAGGAAGGCGTGCCATCGTTATTCTCATCCTCACCACCTGTCAATAAGCTGAGCGACACCGCCATGTATAGCAATAATAACAGCACCACCAATACAAGTGTGTTGCGTAATCCTTCAATGAGTAGTGCTGGCGGAAATGCCCTGAATGGTAGTAGCAGTAGTGGGGACTCAACCTTTGCATCATCTGCAACTACAGCCACGACAACGACACTGACTTCCACTTTGCTAGGCAACGGAAGCAATGCTAATGTGGGAGGCACGTCAGCAGGCATGTCAGACTTGAAGCTCAGGAGGTTTCTGGAGCAGAACCAGCGGTTGAAAGAACAACTTGATATGAATCGTATCCCTGTGTCGGAAGCTAGTCAAAGGTATTAAAAAAAATTAAAAAAAAATAAAAAAGTGGCCATGTGTGCGTGTTTTATTAATTTGGGGTTCTTTTTTGCTAATTTTCTTTTTTTTTTTTTTTTTTTTTTTTTTTTGTTGACTTGATTTTGTCAGCTTGATCAAGTTTGTGACAAGTACCAAGGACTCTTTGTTGCCTAGTCTGTGGGGGAATGCAGCCTCGGATCCATTTTCAAAACAATCAACAGGGTGCTGTACAATCTTTTAAAGTTGCCCAAGAAGGAAAGGGTGGAAACAGGGCAGGAATCGCTTTTTCAACGCGAGCAATGAGCTTGTATTTCCAGGCTTCATACGGAGTTGCTTTTCAGCCTCTCTCTCCCTCACCTTCATTATTTAATCTTCATATACCTTTTTTTTTTTTTTTTTTTTTTTTTTTTTTTTCATTTTCATTTTCATTTTCATTTAATAAAGCAATTATAACGAAGTTTAGAGCACCTGTAAAAATATTTGTCAGTGATAAAAGATCGACCAAAACTATAGTAAATGTGTACCAAATAATGTTATATCGATCATTAGGCAATTCCAATCTTTTGTGTTTAGTATTCGGCCCGATCTCTAAAAACCCTTGTCCCTCCTTTCCAAGCCGTTCATGTATCAATGAAAATCTCTCAAAATCTAGTTCAATTTGAAGATCCCCTTCATTGCCTTTTCCTTTTTTGTAGAGCGAAGCCTCCTTTAGACTCCTCTTCAAGATTTGTTTCAAGATTAATTTATAACTGAATCTATTTAGAATATCGCAGCATTCAGTATTTCAGCCTTTTTTCTCTTAAAAGCGCGGACAAAAATCCTCTGGATTGGAAGGATCAAGACCTTCAATCTAACCTGCATCACAAAGCCACCTTGACCCACATCCATTCTCTTGCAGAACCCATTCAATCGCTTAGTTTTCATGTGTCTGCTATTAGCTCTTGGATGTAACCAAAGTATGTACCATCCCTAGGCATGAAGAAATCATCATTGACACACCGGACTACCAACTCTGATTCTTCTAGTTTTAGTTTTTTTTATCATTTTACAAAATGGATCAGCATCCATGAAGAAAAGTACTTCGGGTTTATAATGAATAAGAAAAATAAAAAATAAAAACGACATAAAACAAAATAATAATAATAATAATAATAATAATAATAATAATAATAATAATAATAATAATAATAATAATAATAATAATTATATAGGATGCATCTTTATAATATACAAAGCGTAAAGAAATTGAGACATAACTATTTTAAGCGGGAGCAGTATCTGCTGTAGCGGTTGATGGGGGAGATAGTTGCAGTGGTGACGAAGGACTTTTAGAACTGGCAGATTCTTCTTGTGTCGGAATAGGACTCATTTGCGGCGATGATGACCCAATCTGTGGTTGCCCCTGAGTCTTTGACTGAAACGGTAATGGGGGTGGGCTTGGAGATTGCTGTATGCCAGTCTTTTTATTGTTAACAGCTGCTTGGCTCGCTGTTGCAGGTTTTGTTGAAGGAAATGCTGGCGCTAGTGCTGCTTTTGCAAGCCTTGCTTCCCGCACGAGAGCTCTTTGAGCACTTGCACTTCCGATGATTGGTGGATTCGACGATTTTGTACCAAGAGTTGGTTTCATCACCGCTCCACCAGAGCGTGCGCCTCGTAACAGATCATCTTTTCCTGACGTACGAGATGCGGATGTAGTTGTGGAAGATGTAGTAACACGACTGACGGGCTTCGGGCCAGCGGACCGCGAAGTTGAAGCCGAGGTTGCATTGGTTGGTGTAGTCTGTCTGATGGGCGTTGGTTGTCGGCTACTAGACATGATCTGCTTGCGTCCTTGTTTAGCTGCTGCAAGAGCTGCGTCTGCTGCTGCTTTAGCTCGTGCACGAGGCCCCATCGGCATTTCAATCGAAGTCTCCACAGAAGAGCCTGAGGCGGTTGAAGAGGTTGATGACACGCTTCGTTGGGGAGGAGGGGGGACAACAGGTCTCTTACGACTGATATTCAGGTTAATTCCTGATGAATGGTCGTTCATTGCAGCTTTCCTCTTCTGCCCAAAAATAGCCGAAGGTGGTTGACTCTTTATGCGTGTTTGCTGCATATGCTTCTTATTTTCCTTCAAATCATCACTTCCACGAGCAGAGAGAGCTGTCGAGCCCGTCTCTGAAGAGAGCGTAGGCGAACGGGATGGTGAGCGATGAATCGGCATGTCATCATGCAAGCCCTTGACCATCTCCATACCCATTCCATCCGACCCAATGCTAGTCTCAAGCGTACTTTGATAAGGAGTGACGCCGTGCATCTCGTGCACCTGCTTTCGCAGGGACTCGACATTTTCTTTGTTGCCAAGCCGTTCTTCTAGCTCGATCGCCTTAAACATGAGGCGTTGATTCTCTATCCGGAGTTCGTTGTTCTCCTGTTTGATCTTGACATGGTATTGAAGCTTTTGCTTGGGATTCTGATGCCTCATCATATTCTCGTTCACCAAGCCTAAATCCCGTACTTGCTCCATCAGTTTTCCATTTTCGGTCGCAAGTCCTTCAAAGAGTGCTCGAGTCTTGTCCCTTCTCTCGAGTTGTTGCTTAATAAGCGCCTGCTGTTCTTCTCTCATCTTGATCAGCAGCTGCCGTTGGGCCATAAGCTGCTCCTCTTTCAGCTTTTGTCTCGTCTCTTGAACAAGCAATTCCTTCTCATTGGCCTCTTTTTCTTCCTGCAGGGCTTTACCTCCATTTAAGGTCTCCTCAAGGCGTTCAACTCTGGCGTGCTCTTCCTTCAGTTCCTCTTCGAGCATTAGAATCTTGTCCTTCTGGATAATGACCTGCTCCTCCAAAGCTTGCAGCTGAGCTGTCTTCTGTTGTACTGTCTCAAGAGCTTGTTCTACTTCTCGCTCAGCACTCTGTCGCTGAATTTCAACATCCTTGAGTCGTTTCTCCATTTCCTCTGCAATCTTGGCTGTGCTTGCTTTAGCGTCCTCATGAAGTTGCTCGTTCATTTCTTGTGCCAATGCCAGATTTGCTTCCAGCTGGGTTGATCGTGTTTGAGCTTGATTAATCTCTTCACGCATCTTTTCCATCTCCATAGTGCGTTTCAGCTCGCGTTCGTGGAATCCCTGTTGCTGCCGCTCGGTGACGGTTGGGCCCAAATCTGCAAACTGTGCTCGAAGCTCTCGGAACTTGCGCTTGTATTCCTCATTCAATTGGTTTTCGCTAGTCTTCACAACGAGTTCGTTGCGGGCCTTGCTGAGTTGATGTTCCAATTCATCTTGCACTGTCCTGTACTCTATCTCTACATTACGGGTTTCATCACGCGCCTGTGCCAGCTTTTGCTCGCTCTCTCCAATCTTGCGCGCCATCTCCGAGACTTTTTCGCGGAGTTCATTCCTGGTGATTTCAAGACGGTCCTTCTCTAGACGCTCCTGTTGAAGTTTAATGGTCAGCTTGGTCAATTCTTGTTTTTGTTCATCCAGCGTCGTTTCTAAGGTCTTGCACTTGGAAGCTAATGACTCCATCTGACTCTTAAGGCGGCTCTTGTCCAGCTTCAACTTTTCAGCATCGAGGCCCAGAGCATCGTATTTCTCCTTGATAGCAGCCAGCTCTTCGTCAACCTCCTTCTTGGATATCAAAGCCTTCTCTGCGTTTGCGATACTTTCTGCGAGTGAACTCTTGGCTTCTTCAAGCAAGCGAGCTTGTTCCATAGCCTCCGATTCAAGCTTTTGGAGTTCTTTCATATGGGCCTCAACAAGGGTTTCACGTAAAGTATTAAGTGCACCTTCTCTTTCCAATCGAAGTTTAGATTCGCACTCCTCCAATTCCTGAGCCTTCTTTAATTCTAGTGCCTTAACCTGATCCTCCAGCTGCTTTTCACGTTCTTGGAGGGTCTGGCCCGCCTCATTCAGTTTAGTTTCGAGCAACTTATTCACCTCTTCAAACCTTAATTTCAATTTTGCAAGGTTATCCTGAACAGTCCTCAGCTCAGATTCCAATGCGCTCTTCTGCGTTTTCTCGGCCTATACCACATAACAGCCACGTCAGATTACTATACTCCATCTAATATAAACCTGCGCAAGCATTTTAGATAACGCTTCAATTACCTTAAGGGCTGTATCATGTTGGCTCACTTGCTGTTGCAGCTTGGAGTGATATTCTTCGGTTGCCTTGACGTTAGATTCACGCAGTGCTTCGAGCTCTTTTTCTAACGACGCATATGCTCCTTGCAGTCTGTTCTTTTGTAAATTCAATTGCTCACAATCATCCAATAGTTTTCGATGCTCCTTTTCTAATTCTGACCGACTGTTTGTCATCCTTGACTTCTCCTGTTCTAATTGGTTCTCAAGCATCTCCTTAGTCTTCTGTAGTTCAGCTTTAGCTGTTTCCCACCTAGTCTCTTTATCTTGAAATTCGTTGATTCTCCTCATGTTAATCTCAACTTGGTGATCATACTCTTTTTGATTCTCGATCAATCGCTGCCGAGATTCATCCAAGTCCTTAACTGTTAGCTTGAGCTGCTGCTCAATCTCTCGATGATTCTCTCGAAGTCGTTCCATCTCCTCTTCCAGCTGGACAGATGCCTGGCGCATCTCCTTCATCAACTCGACTTGTTCCTGCATCTCTCTATTCAGATCCATAATCTTTTGACCGGCATCCTGTTCCAAGGTCGAAAGTGCATGTCGACTGCTCTGGAGCTCGCTACCCAACTGCTCAGCTTGATTGGTTGCTTGCTCGAGATACTTCTCCATTGCCATCAACTGGAACTGAGCATCGGAGAAATCTTTTTCCAATGTCAATTTCTCCTCCATCAAGACCGAGTTCTCATCTTTCAAGCGATCGACATCACGCTTCAAAAGCGTCATCTCCACTGAGTCATCACTATGCATGTTTGTGTGAGCAAATATGCTCTCTGAGAGATTGATCCCCGCTGAAGAATCTTCTGCATTAAGGCTTGGTCGTTGATCCTTACGTACAGGCGTCGACATCCCAGTAGAACATCTAGCTCCTTGCCCTGCACCTTCTGCCGATGATGAGTTTGTATTCCCAAAATTTCCAGACAATCTACGATATTCAGCCTGCCTGGACTTTGTAACGCGTTGCAGAAGGGATTTAATGTCACTCGAGAACCGCCTGTCACTGTCTCTAACTTTTGGTGGCGACTCTTGCATGATGTCGTCGATACCTTCGATCTTTGAAAAATCAATATCCTCTAGATCCATATTATTTCTAGGCGTGGCACTACCAAGTTTTGAACGTAAGGTCTCATTTTCCTTTTCCAATTCAACAAGCTTTCCGGCAAGATCGTGGAGAAACTCTTTGTCCCTCTTTTGCTGCTCCTCCAACTCTTCAAGTCCTGCTTGGTATTTTTCGTACTTTTGTAGCATCTCTAAATAACAGAAAGAAACTCTTGGTGAATAAAGATTGCAAGTATAGGTCCAATATATAAGCTTCTTGCCTGTCCGTTGCACCAATTATATTACCTCGCAAACTCAAATTCTCCGCTTTGACCTTCAATGCTTCTAAAATAGACAATGAATGAATGAAAAGTGATTAGAAATACCCTTCATTATAAGGAAAAAAAAAAAAAAAAAAAAAAAAAAAAAAGCTTCTCACAGTACGTTTAGGACTTACCGGGATGGAAATCCAATTGTTTCCTAAGCTGATTAATTTCCTCTTGAAGAGCACTCTTTTCTGCTTCCAGCGCAGTGTTAGTTGCTCCCTTACGATATGAGGCCAGAGCACTTTCCTTAAATTTGATAATCAGTTGTGCTGATTGAATCTGCTTTTCTCGAGCTTTGCACGCATCATCCAACATAAAGCCTTTTTGTGTCATTGCTAAATGCTCCTCCTGTTCTAAACGGAGTTTAGCCAGAGTCTCAAACAACAGCTTCTCAGTCACAGTTGCGGGCTCGGCTAAAAAAAAAAAAAAAAAAAAAAAAAAAAAAAAGAAAGAAGCGATAGCATTGTTTGTGTCAGATTAGACCCCAGGTTTGTTGAAGATGATCCGAAATAGGAGAGAGTTGATAAAAGCAGATCTGTCACTTGCCTCCATTCGCAGTTCGCCTGCCTGCAAGTTCTGATTTGAGTCGTTGAATTTCAGCCCTGAGCTCGTTTACATTTCCTTGAATATCCTCATTTACAACAGCCTAAAGAAAAATAGCAAAATGAAACACCAACAGACAAAGCGTTTACTATTGATAATACAGATCATCAAAGAAATGAAAAATTCCTTTTTGCCTCAGTTTTAGCTTCATAATCTCTACCTTGTTTCTGATCATCTTTGCTCGTTGTGCAAAGCGAAGCGTACTCAGACTCTCTTGATAACACAGGGCTGAAGGTGATACATTAGCGACAATGAAAGTGTTTGAATTTCCTCCGAGTGAATCCTTGAGTAAAAATGTCAGTCGGCTATCGCGATAATGCTGAAGTTGAAAAAAAAAAAAAAAAAAAAAAAAAAAAAACTATATGTTGAACAAAAGAATAGCAACAAAGCATCATAAAATATACTTGGTTAATTTCATACCACGTGTCTTGAATGTCCTATTGCAATTTCTCCCAGAGCATTAATAACGGAACCAAGGCAAAGCAGACTTTTATTGATGTTTCCAGCCTCTTTTAGTCGGAGCCCCTCAGTGTTGGCTAGTTTTTGACGCTCTGATCCGGCAAGGTCCACAAGGTTGAACCTGGACTCACGAATGTGATTAATGCCGTCGATAAGCGCCATAGACTGAATGGTCAACATCAGAACAGTGTGAGAACGACTGGACTCACGGTTCATGGATGTTGCACTGATATGGCGGTTGGCTGATCCTTGCTCGAATAACTAATATAAATGGGGAAGGAGCGATGCAAAAGATAAAATGCCACAATGATAGGTCAGGATAAAAAAAAAAAAAAAAAAAAAAAAAAAAGAAATTGTGGTTCTTCTCGCTGGTAATAAATACTCGTCATGCTGCATTGGTGCTATCATACTTTGTAAGCGTCTTCTGGACTGTGAATCGATTCCTCTGTGACGCCATCAACATATACTCCTCTTTTGATATCCTCCCGAGTTGCTCTTGCTGTAGTTGAATTATCCAGAAGATCGTAAATCATTTCATTGTATCTAAAGCAATAAAGGGAATATTAAAAATGTATTGATATCAGTATGATTTCACAAGATCAGCTACACTTTGTTATAACCAAACAGTGTAATTTGTGCCCTACATTTCAATATAGGATGCTTTGCACAGGTATTTAACAGAGCTGACCATTTGTTCTTCTCTTTCGATGAGTTGAAATACTAGTATTGTGTATAAATATTCAACAAGAGATGAAATGATTTCAATTAATTATCTTCATAAGACATTTATGAATGTTGGGGAACATGCCTAGTATATGTTCTTTTTTTTTTTTTTTTTTTTTTTTTTTCTTGTTCTGCTAGACTTACAGTATTCTAGACAGCGCGGAATGATTCCCCGGTCCTTATGATTAACAACATTTGACATTTTAGACGGCCCTTGCATTGTATATGTTTTCCCACTTCCTGTTTGTCCATAGGCAAAGATCGTCTGCAGGAGAGGGAAATAAGAAATCCTAATGAGCTATCCTGATTCCTAGAGACTAGGCTTTTTTTTTTTTTTTTTTTTTTTTTTTGTTCGTTTGTTTGCTTCACTATTTTTTCATTGAAAATCTTTTCGCTTACTCCATTGTATCCTTTGACGCATTGCTCTACAATAGACTTTCCGACATCACTGTTAAGGCATTGACGATGAAAAGAGAGATTA